TGTCAACCGAGAGACGAGTGGCACCAACCTCCTCCTTCCAGTAGACGTTGTGGCTGTGGCCGTCAAGGAGGATGAGGAGACCACCATCGCTAAGAGCACGAACGCCAACAGAGCACTTGGAGCCGTTGATGAAGAGGTGGTAGGTGTCGAGACCGGCACGAGTAGCAGTGAACTTGTATCGGAAACCCTCGTAGATGAAGTCGATGGTGAAGACGGTCTTCATAATCTCCTTGGAAGGCACCTGGCCCTTTTCAAGTCCAGATCGGTACTCGGCCAGCAAGGCCTCACTGGTGATGTGAGCTCTGGTGATGGCACCGCACACAACCGCCAGCATGGTGTCGGGGCGCTCAGCGGTAAGTCGCTTGGAGATGAGCTCGTCCAGCCAGCCAGTGGAGATTGTGTTGTCCTCGAAAGCCTCAGTCTCGAGCAGCTTGATGAGGTACTCGACGGTGGTTCTGAAGTCACCACGAATGCTCAGCTCCTTGAGCGCAATAACCATGTGCTTCCGTGAAGCCTGTCGGTTCTCACCATAGGCGAAGATGTGACCGAACTGACTGTCGGAGAAACTGTGAATTCCACCCTGGGTACCGACGGAGAAGTAACCCCACACGTTTGAGCTGGAACGGAAGTTGAGCTCGTGCATGACACCGTTGGAAGGCTTGAAGCCCTCGCCAGGGTCCTCGGAGGTGATACGGCAGGCAGTGCAGTGGCCCTTGGGCTGAGGTCGGCGCTGAGACTCGACAGTGCCCTCCAGCTTGAAATCGAAATCGATGTCGCTGGAAGTTCGGGGATCCACGCCGTACAGCAGTCTGATGTCGCGGATTCTGTGCAGGGGGATACCCATGGCAATCTGGAGCTGAGCAGCCGGCAGGTTGACACCGCTGACCATTTCAGTGGTGGGATGTTCGACCTGGAGACGGGGGTTAAGCTCGAGGAAGTAGAATTTGTCGTCGGCATGCGAATACAGGTATTCGACAGTACCGGCAGAGACGTAGCCGACAAGCTGACCCAGTCGAACGGCAGCGTCCTCCATGGCCTTGAAGGTATCAGCCTTGGCAATGGTGACGGGTGCCTCTTCGATAATCTTCTGGTGGCGACGCTGGACGGAACAATCACGGCCAAACAGGGAAATGTTGTTGCCGTACTGATCGGCCAGCAGCTGGACCTCCAGATGTCTGGCGTTTCCAGCCAGCTTCATGATGAAGATGGGCGAGCCAGGAATCTCGCTAGCAGCAGCCTTGTACAGAGCCTCGAACTCTTCCTCGTTGGTAACCTTTCGGATACCCTTGCCACCACCACCCTCGGAGGCCTTGACCATGACGGGGAAGCCAATCTGCTTTGCCTTCTCCAGACCCTCCTGCCATGAGTTGACGCAGCCCTTGGCGTAGACGTCTTCGGCAACGGTGACGATGCCCTTGTCATCGATCTCGACAGTGTCGACGCCGGTTCCGGACCAAGGAATGCAGGGCACGTTGGCGTGCTGTGCGACGATTGTGGAGGAAATCTTGTCACCCAGTGATCGCATGGCAGAGCCGGGCGGACCAATGAAGACGATCTTCTTGGGCGATGCGGCGAGAGATTCTGGGAGCTTTGGGTTTTCGGAGGCGTGACCCCTAGAGTTGTGTTTGTCAGTACCATGAACTCGTGCAGAATTTCCCAATTTTGCGCGAAAAAACTCACCAACCAGCCCAGACGGCATGAACATCCATGCGCTCGGCAATGTCCACAATCAGCTCGACGTTGGCATAGTTGTGGTTGTTGGTGCCGCCGGGAACCTCGACGTAGTGGTCAGCCATTCGAATGTAATCGGCATTGGCTTGTAAATCTTCGGGCGTGGCCATGACGGTGAAGTGGATGGCCCTCTCGTCGCCAAACGTCTCGTAGGCCCATTTCCGAACTGAGCGAATCTCCTTGACGGCGGCGATACCGTTGTTGGCGATCAGAACCTGTTTTGCAGACAAGTCAGCGCAAGCTCTGCTCTGCTTTGCTCACAAGTAAACGCTCACGTTTGTAATGACAGTGTGGCCGTTGTGCTCGGCCACAAAATCCTTGACCTTGCTGGCGGGGGCATTTGCCAGCCGGTTGCCTCCAATGAAGTGGTCTGCGATCTTGTGCTTCTCGGCGTAGGTCATGCTGCCGTTGGCAACAGGCACCGTCCGGCCATTGGCGCCGTTCTGGACGCCGTTTGCTGAATCTGCCATGGCTGCTGTGTGATTCTCTGGGTTGTAGAGGAGGGAGGGATAGAAAAAAAAGAGGGCGAGAAGCTGATTATAGAAGAATGTGGATCGTAGGAAGGGTCAGAATCGGCCGCGGCTGGTAATCTGACGTGGAGGGATTCTGCCGGCACAGCAGCAAGTCGATCAGAGTCGAGGTAGAATGGTAAGACGAATTAAGATAGCCCTGCCGGGGGGTTATGCGGACAGGCGATTAGAGAGTGGTTGTGATCCTTCGACCTTTTTGTTTGTTTCGTTTTGTTTTCTCCCAGCTTGTTGGCCCGCCAGGGAATGAGGCTGAAACAGGCGAAGAATAGCAAGAAAAAAAAAAGAGTATGGCCACAGCAAAATGAAGCCCGCTTTCGAGAGACGGATTAATAGAACGAGGAGGGACACGCAGACTCGTCAGCGGCGGAATTGGGTGTATTAAGAACAAAAAAAATCCATGGCCGTATCGCAGGATCTACGAGGGGCAAGGGAGGGGAGAGACTCGGTGGCAGGGGCGTGCGCGAAGCGTTCGGGGCGAATTTAGTGGATTTAGTGGGAATTACGGAGCAGCTCTGGCGACGATTACTGGCCCAGGCGGAGGCTCCAGGGGACGTGGCCTAGATCTGTTGGGGTCAGTGGGACACGGCTCAATGCAAACGTACAAGAGCATGTTATAGCACATACAGCGATTAATTGCTTGACTCTCATTGAGTTTTGCTCTGTGGATCCCTTGGGCACCTACAGCATCACTTCTGGCTGCTTCTGTCGGTCTCTTGGGGCTGCCTGTGTGGGGGAAAAGGGGGAAGCGTCTTGATTCTCGTGCTTAGCACGACTTCAATTCATGGTGGTGGAGTGAATTTTACCTCGTTCTTGGCCGTGTAGCCCTGAGGGAATTGATGGCGAGTGTATAAGATCGACCTAGCCTTTCGGAGGTGGATAAGGCATCACCCTACTTGCAAAAGGTTGGGGTGATATCAACTATTTGTATAGCAGCCATTGGCGATCTGGCTGCCGGGGAATCGATCGATCATGTCCAGCCAGAGAAGGCGTATCAGGAGTATAGCTGCAGGTCCTCGAAGCACTATCCTTGACCGTTCAAACTCTCTTCTTGTTAGTCCATGGCGTAGAATGGCGTATAGTAAATGATTCGGAGCTGCAATAACAGCCCGGGGCCATTGCCGTCACGGAGCAAGCCAAGTTGCGGCTTATATGACATGCAGGCCGGGACAAGCAAAGGATCGGATTGGCACGGCCGAATTTGGCAACGCGATGCAACAGTCCGTGTAGAATCAAGACGAGAAGCCTTGATCTATTTTGGTAATACTGGGTAGTCGTGTGACGAGTCTTGCTTACAGGCTGTACATCGGCACGTCTCTATCTAGCAACGGCGGAGGATCTGCTTCGAAGGAAGGGATCTATCGACCATCTAGGGAGTACGGATAAACTCATCATGGTGAGCAACGGGCTGTCTCTGCTATCCCTACGCCGTCTGCCCTTTAGCCAATGGCACAATCCCTTTTACAACTGTGATAAGCCGCCTATATGCACGCTACCGACGACATCAATGTTCCAAATCACTCACTGTGCGGCGTATTACCTCTTCTACCACAAGTGCCCATCTACCGCAGGTGGAGTCCCTACTACAAGATCCCATCCCAAGCACTTCCTCGATAGTACAAGTAAGACGGAGTACGGGCCGAGCTCATTTCTCACATTTTCCCAGCATCTGTCCAAGCCGCCGAGTTGAGCCTTCTCAGCTCTCGGCCCCCGCGGACAAGAAAAAGCACAGGGCATGGGGAGCACGAAGCCATCACGTAACTGTACTCAAACCCCCCTGAACCACGGCCAAACCCAAAACATCAACAAGCTATCGAACTATACGGAGGGTTTTACAAGCACAGCAACGCCAAGTGAGATCCATCGCCACCAAATTAAACATCTGCAGCCCCACCTCCGAGAATGAGATTCCGGGTCTTAGCCTCTCCCAGCCCGCTTTTGCTTCCCAAATCGGGTTCGTCGGCGAATAAAAGCATCATTGAATCATGACGGCAAGAAATGATGCGCCGTATGCAGCAACGGCAGGGACGTGATGCGGAATACCACCTTGTATAATTCCAGAGGAAACGGGTACTTGTTGCAGTCATCTCAAGTCCATACAACTACTCATACGTGTATACAGGCAACAACAGCAACAACAAGACAACGTAGCATCCGCCAGCAAACACCTCAAGAACATTGAAGCCAACAAAAAAAAAAAACTCTGTAATCCAGATGATGCTAAGATAGTCGCCGCCTAGCCCTCAGTAGTACACATTAGCAGCCGTGCCTTATAGCACAGCTCCAACCCGTCCCTTCTACCCGACTTCCCCCATCATTCTCTCTTTTTTTTCTCTGGGCCCCCCCAATTGTTGAGTCCCACCCAACACACTCACTCAGCAGCACTAAACGGACAGAGCAATGTACCGTCTCAGCGTTACTTGCGCGTGTAGGAACCTCAATCGCTGGAATTGCCTCTGGGTCCCAAAATCTCGGGGGAGCGGCTTTGTCAACCGTCTCGGCTGCTACAGTACTCCATATCTCGTATCTCTGTTTCTCTGCCGGCTATCTGACTGCACTATCTGCCTACAGAACGTCAATACAGTATGGTAGATGTGAAAATACCACCTGCCCAAGACGGACACACTCTTCCACAGTAAGCAGAGCCAGTGCTACTGCAGTATCAGATAGTCCAAGTAGAGACATGACCTAGCTTTTTCTGTATAAATGCAGCAACAGCACATTTTACGAAACCATCTCCATCCGACCAAGATCGCCAGCATCTCAAAAAAACCAAACCAAACCAAACAGGTAACAAAAAAGCAAGAAAAGAACACCCCCAACCATTACCATTGAATTTTTTTCGGACCCCGCCGAACCCAAAGTGGATCCTCAAAGCCCTCCTCCCCATTCCAGCCAATCGGACTCCATACAAAGCGCCGGAATGATCTCTCCCTCCGGACTCTGCGGTTTCCGTGGCTCCCGCTAGCATTTCATTTTCGGAGGGTTTTTTTTTTTCTTCTTTTTCGTCTCGCCTTTCTGTACGTATTGGGCCTTTTTACCCAAACCGGATGGGGAACGGATAGATCTCAGGTCTCGCTGCTTTAGGCGGTTAAAAGCGGAATGGGCACGTAGCTACCTTAGCTAGCTGGATTCAGGCACTGATAAGCCTTCTTCCAATTACATCAGAGATAAAGCTCAAGGCAGCTGGTGCTACCAGACAAAGCTATCAGCTATAAGAGGGCATATACTCATCTACCATCCATCTAACAAGAAAATACGGCACAAAAGCACATAGAACAGATACTAACATAGACGTGCGAGTATTGAATGCCATACTGCTGAGCATTTGCTGGTAGATCCGAACGCCATCCGAATCCTCGGGCTTACACAGCCAAACACCTTTGCATACGCCCCATCCCGGCCCGAACCTCTTTCGGCATTCCGATCCCATCTACATGACCTTCGCCGAATGCAGCACACCTTGGCCCTCCGTATTAGCGGTAGGTAGGAGTAGCAATAGTAAATAGGTAGCCCAAACAATAGTTCCATTCAAAATTCCCGACTCTGCGACATTCTCCTCACAAGTGCTCACCACCAAAACGGCCATCGAAGGGAGTGTGAAACAATGGCCAATTCTTTTTAGGTCATACATACTATCAATTTTGAATGTTTCAACGGCCATCACTAAAAGAGCGAAACAAATGTATCAATTTTTTTCCATTTGGGGCTATATTACCTATCTTACTACTAATCTTCAATATCAAGAGGTACTCCAAGTCCCGCTTCATCTCTTCCAACTCACCCTCCTAGTCTCAATAAAAAAAAACAGAAAAAAAAAGAACAAATGAAAAAGCAGTCTATAGAAATGTATGTTTTAATCTTTCGCCGAGCGCAGCCCGTGCCATCTCTTCATAACTTCCATGTGTGCGTATAGTGTAGTCAAGTGTTGTAATACCAAGAACAAGACCCTCCAATCCCTTTTTTGATAGTAGTAAAAGGGAAAGAAAGGATCGAGGTATAAGTGTTGTAACAAAAAAGAAAATTTCAAGTGAGCGAACAAGGCAATTATAGCAACCAACCGTGCGTTTCAATCAAAAGGAAAAAAAAAAAAAACAAGCCCATAATCATTCATCAACACCTCGTTCGCCTTTCTGTGACCGACCCATACTGCCACAGCGATCAAAATGCAACCGGTTCCCAAAATTACAGACAAGCAATTGAACGCAAAGCGAGAACGAGAAAAAAATGGATAAAAATTGGCAAATGGGAAGAGAATAAGTGAAAACAAAAGGTATCAAGGAAAAATGATATCTCGGAGAGCATTTCGGCTGTGCAATCTCGAAACAGGGAATCGCTCATTGTGCTCAATAAGTCTCGCCCAAGTCGCCCAGTTTCCTGAATCCAGTTGTGCTGGTGCGGCCCGATCGAATCGAGACGCCTCCGCCGCTGATGCTGCCGTTGCTCACACTAATTCGCCTACTTCCGCTCTGCCGCCTCAAGCTGGGACCGGGTATCGCACTGCCTGCTGCGGGTATTCCACTCCCAGGTGTAGGAATGCCACTCACCGGTAGCGGCGGCGGCGGCATGCCACTGATGCTTGTCCCTAGGTCGTACCTGGTGGAAAAGGTACCTCGCCTACTAGGCGTGCGATACACGGGCTCATAGTCTTCCCCTAGGAAATCGATCCCACTCCTGCTGCCACTAACACTGCCAGAGTGACCACGACCAGTGGAACTGAAGGAAGATGCCGGCCGGCCAACCGGTGTCCGAACCCCTGAAACGGAGCTTCGCGACACTGGTCGCTGTGGGGCCGCCACGCCGTTGCGAGACACTGGCCTGGTATACGATGCTAAGCTGGATGTATGGCTGGATCGTGAGACCGGCCGGCTCACTTCTGAGCCCTTGTCGCTGAGCTGGGTGCTGAAGGAGAGTCGATTCACACCAGATGTGCTTATCCTCGGCGTGTGGTTCGTCTTGGACGGTGAAGCATAACTGCTAGTGGGCGTCAAGTCGTCCCCGGCCAACGAAGAAGATATCGATATCGACGACTGAGTGGTAGCGCGCCTGCGCGAGCGAACCGTAGGAGTCGACGCGTTGGAGTTTGCAGCAGCCAAAGCAGGCCGAGAGGGGGGGCGAGGCGGAGTGTTGCCACCGTTGGGAGCGGGGAGCTTGGACCGTACAGAGTGCACTCTGGCCTCGAGGCGCTGCATCTGGGCCGTGAGCAGACGGATATGTGAGAGGGAGTTGGACGCGGGAATCTTGTAGTTGCTGTTGCGGGACGACACGTTTGACCTGGTGTTGGTGGATGAGCGGAGAGATGCGCCGCCACCGCCGCCGCTGCTGATGCTGATTGACGGGCGGCCGCCCGTAGCAGTTCGCCCACCCGTTGGAAGAGCCGGCGTGCTTCCACGGGCCCTCGAGCCGGCATCCACCGACGGCATTCGGGTCCGGCGCATTGTCGAAGGGGCCGGCGTCCGGATCCGTGATGGCGCCCGCGGGTGCGAAGAGACGTCTGACATTGGGGGTGACGGTGGATCCAGCAGCTCGGGAGTCGGCGCGCCCAGACCTTTGGTAATCTCGAGGGGGGTTGAAATAAGAGGCGAGCTCGCAGCCGAGTCCACGGACATGTCCGTCGCGGTCTTGTCGAATGTGGGGGAGCCGAGGAGCGATAAGTCGGACGACATGGTCGAATGACGCTCGTACTTTTTGGCCTTGTCTTGCATCAGCTCGGCTTCAATCTTGAGCTCGGAAAGCTCCTCTCGCAGCCGCTGTGATTCGATGCGGAGAGCCTCTCGCTCCTGCTCGCCCATCTTGATCTCCTCCTCCATCAGGACTCCTCGCTCAACGGCCTGGTTGAACTTGGACTCCATGTCCTCGAGCGAGGAGGTGGTGTTTCGCGCCTGGCGTTCGAAATCATCGTTGGCAACCTCGGAGTCTCTCAGCCTCAGCGCCAAGGTGCGGTTCGCGTCTCGTAGTGATGTAATTTCTTTTTCTAATGAGGCTTGCGCAGCGGCAGTCTCTGATTTGGAGTCTTTGTATTTTCTCTGTGCGAAAACAAGGGGAAAAAAAAATTGGGGATTAGCCGCTGTACCTGAGACATAAAAGTGAAGCAATCGCAATTGGAGAGGGGGTTGGGTAGAGCTAAAAACGCCCCCCTCTCCAAAATCGAATGATGGTTTGGATCAGAAAAAAAGAAAAAGAAGCGCATCTCAGCTTACCTTCCACTCTTCCACCTCGAATCTAAGGCTATCAGCCTTGTCTTTCAGAACTCTCTCCTGCTTCTCTGCTCGCTCAATATCCTTCTCCAGCTCCTGCTCCAGCTCTCGGCTGGACTCGCGGAACTCGGCGAGCTCTGACTCGAGAAGTTCGTATTGCGCCTTGTACCAGGACAAGGCATCCTCGGCACCGGTAGCCTCGCTGGGAGGCGAGGAAGGCGGCTCAGCCATGGCGGATCAAAGCTATGAGTTATTTGTTGTTGTGTCTTTTCTGAGTTCGTTTTTCTCTCTCGCTGAGAAGGGCGGTGTGGTCATGGAATGCTGTGCGACCTAACTGACAGGTAAAAAAAAAAAAAAAAAAAAAAAATGAAAAATCGGTAAAGAATGAATCGTTATGAGGCTCGGGGTCGCGAAAATATGTCGTCGGAGCGCTCGCAGGCGTTTAACTGATAAATGTTGAGACAAAGGAGAAACTTGACAAAGTGGTGGTGTATCGTGGATCGTCAAAGAGCGTAATCGTCGGAAAGCCGGCGAGCCAAACTGAGCCCGAGCTAGCAGCAAAACAGCAAGAGAGAGAGAAAGACTAAGAGCAGAAGGCAAAAAGAGAGCAGAAATGTCGTTTGGCGATTAGATTGATTTAATCGCAGGATCGAGCGAGATCGAGGATCGGATCGTGGATCGCGGCGATGCGACCGTTGGCGAAGCCCGTGTTTCGCGGACTGCCTTCACCGGGGGTCAGTAATGGCCGTTTCAGCACGCTGATGCCCCATGGACGCTAAAACCATGCGCTCACCGATATATTGGAGGGGGATTCCCAAGGCTCGATTTTGCTGCAAGCAGTTTCGATGCGCTCCCCCTGTTATGCGCGAGCAGGCGGACAGAATGCCAGAACCAGGAGCCGCGATGAGCGAGTCAAATTTGGCGAGTGCGGCGTCGCTATTCTGGCGGCCAAGTCGAGGCGAGGCGAGAGTTCCAGCGCAGCGCAGCGCAGCGTTTCGTCGTCCAGGCCGTGGCCGTGGTTTCGTGTTGCCGGTTGCCAGTTCTGGTCCTGCACGGCCTCAGACAAAGAAAAGGTCCTTCCCGGGAGCCGTCACAGCGTAAGAAGCCCGCAAAAGCCTGGATCTGGCGGTTTGCAGGTTGCATGTTTTGGCCCGTGACAATGTTGATGCGACACTCTCCTTGGGGCTGCATCAGAAATGGCGAGCGCTATGCTGTTTGCGGCCTAGGCGGGCCGCGCAGCCATGGGCAACACGGGCTGGCGGCTGTGGCCACTGCTGGCTCGGGCGCTGGTCGCTGTGATTACAGCGGGATGATCCCCCTGTGGGTCACGTGGCGCGCCGCCGTCGACCACTAGGAACCGCTGCAGGTCAGCGCTGGGCTCCGTTAATTCGGGGTGCAGTCTGGAGCGCAGCAGCAGCCAGCAGGTGCCCTGAATCCAGCACCAACGGCAGCAGGGAATAGTGGGCTCTGCTTAATCTGCCAGCGCACCCACGCATAAGATGCATGCAGCCGCCGGGCCACGAGACGCAGACGCTCGACTCCCGCCGCGTCTGATTGGAGCGCCGCATGCACAGAAATGCAGGCAATTATTGGCATGTAGGCCATGATGCTCGGGTGCATTCGCCATGCGTCAGATCGTCTCTGGGCGCTGGGCGCTGGGGAGGCTCCATAGCGACGTGCGTAGGGAAATGATCAAGGCCCAGTTTATTGTCGTCGATGGCTTCAGCTGACAGCAGCCCGTGACTTGCACGCTGTTGGCGGCCACGCGATGGTGCAAGCATTTTACTGCTAGACCGTTCTTGTGTTTATTAGTGACCTTTGTACCAAGTTAGACTTGCCTCTCACTACCCAATACTCATTTGTTGGGCACAATAAAAGATGCAAACCATGGCGCTCTTGTCTTGGTCTAGGGTAAATGGTTTATGCCTCAGCTGCCTTGGACCACAATGCCACATCACCCAAGATACTTCGCGTTGAGCTAATTTATTATTCCATTCTCGCTCTATTTTATACTAAAATTGAATATAGTTCATTGAACCGTCGTTTCCATCCATTTAGGTTAGTCGTCATCGCAGGTAGGTCGCTGCCCAATGTGAGTAATCGTCAAACAGCCTCACGTTTACCTGCTTGGGTGCCCAAGCCAACTATGCTAAAGTTGCCACCCTTTTAAATAGGTCCCTTGTCATTCTCAAGACTGATAGTCATCTGAAGCCCAACTCGTCCTAAGCATTTACCCGTCGAGCCCTGACCTTTGTCTTTTGAGCGCTCGATGTCCTGGACCCAAAGTTGTGCAGTCGCTCTCCAATCAGATACGCCTCATCCCGGACGCTCGCCGTCCACCGGTTTGTGACTTTAACAAATCCCACGGCATGCTTGGCGAGCATGGCGGCACACGCCGCAATAGGATACGACTGTCTGTAAATCACCGTCGCCGTCACAGCAGCGGCGGCGTCTTCTGGCGCAGAGCCTCCGGCAAGACCAGCGTGTCGGATGATGAATCCTGCCACCGTTGGCGGCCCGTAGATGGCCACACAGGATATCAAGAGGCCTGGGACGACAAATCCTCGGGTCAGGAGGCGCACGTTGGGCCGTAGCCACCATCTACGGCGTACAATGTTACGGACTGCCGTCGAGGCCCGGCTATCTGGAAACAGCGATGTAACCATCCGGCTGCCCAGCTTCAGATAGAGCAGCCCCAAGACCCAGGACTGGATAACACGGACCGTGTGGCGGTTGGCTCCCTCGTCCTTCAGCGAAACTGCCGTTGGGGGATGCATATATGTATGCAGCGGGATGGCCACGTACAGCTCCATCAGCGCAGAGGTCAGCAAGGGGAACACCACGAGCAGAACAGTATATGCGTAAAAGAGCTTGGCCGCGTGGATAGCGATGCGTGCCATTCGTCCAGCAACCTCGCCCTCGAGTATATCGCGCTCTGCCTCACGAATCCACTTTCCAATCTTTTCCCGTATGACATGCTGGCGGGCTACGGCGTATGCAGCAGAGCCGAGCAAAAAGACTCCGATGCTGAAGGCATAAATGTCGTTCGTTCTGATGTAGTCTGGAATAAGCTCTTTGAATATTTTTCTGCCAAGCACCAAGGGTATGATGGTGAACCCAACGCCGGTAACCGAGGCAAATAGCCAGATCAAAAGAATAAATGTGAAAATCCTTGTGCGGAAATTCGGAGGTATATAGACCTGCAGATACTGATCTGACGAATATATGTCGTCGTCCGCACGGCCATCTTTCCGGTGGTTGCGCTCGCTCACGGTCAAAAACACTTGTTGCCCCTTTGGAATCTTGATGCGATCAGAGGCGGGGGCTCGGATAAATCTGCCGTCTTTGACAAGCTGGTGGGTTTCGACGAGATGAGCCTTCCTATGCCGATGAGCCTTCCGTTCGCTAGAACTCAAGCGTGTAGTGGGCTTCGAGTCACCGCCCTCAAATGTATCGCGCCAGGTCTTTGGAACAATCTTGGCATTCTCAGCAGGTGTATTCTCAGCGTGCGAAAGCTCGAGCAGGTATCCCATATGAGGAATCCTGCCTGCTGGCGTTTCGGCTGGGAGATGTAAAACACCCTCTTCGTCGACCCTCCTCTCGCCAAAGAGAAAGTACGAGAGCCTCAGAGCCCGTGCACATCTGCGGAACCACCACGTGTACATGGTATGCAGCGCATCGCTGGGCTTGAAAAACTTGACCGCAAGTGGCATGAGGAAGTTGTAGAAGAGCAGGTCAACCGGGAATTCCAGTACCGGCTCGTTGGAGGAGTAGTGGATTGGAAGTGCGCTTGGCATGGCGAATGACAGGCCCCATACGATGCCACCGAGACACACGATGACTAGAGCTCCGTATACGAAAGCAGAAAAGAGGATTTTCCTCAGTTGCGTTGTGAGATTTCGCTCAAGCACGTCGCGCACTGGGTGAAACTCGGGATCATCAGGATCTCTAATGAAGTCTGTGATATCAAAACTGTTAGCCAAGAGAAAAGGAAAAAAAAAAAACCAAGAGAATGGATGGAAGGAGGCAATGAGAACTCACACAATACGCCTGGCCGCATTATCTTTCGACACATGGAAACGAAAAGAGCAAAGTGAAACATGTAACCAGTGCCCACAAACCAGTGTACAAAAATCGACGTCATTGGATATTTGCAAGTGAAGATAATTCTGCTCGTAAACGTAGTGTTCTCAAAGAGTGGCAGCAGGGCCGCATCGAGAAGTAGACCGCAGTAAAGGGGGAAAACGAGCATCTCGATACTGATGATGAGGATCACCTTCATGATTCCGCTGGCCTGTTGGAGAGACTCGATAACTCCGGTTTCCCACGCATGCACTATTGCGTTTCTCGAAAATGGGCTGCCCTTTTTCAGATACAGAGCACCGATCAAGAACATGGTGGTGTAACCAGCTAGGATGGCCCAGAATCTGTCCAGGCTAGACCAATACGTCAACTGCGGATCCAACGAAGGCCATTCTTCAGCCAGGCTCAGGTCAATGACCCACGAACTGGGCTTTGTGAGGAGAGACGAGACTTTGATAGCTGTCTCAAAGACGGAGCTGAGCAGAGTCGTTGAAGTAGCCATAATCTTGTCCAAGCCAACCGCATTCGCTGTAGTTAGACTACCGCTGATGTTGGAAAATACGGACACGACATTGCCCTTGACAATGTTGAGCGCATCGTGGCTGACTGCGGAGAAGTTGTGAATTTCTGTTGCTGACATGGGGAAGAAGTCTTTGAAAAGGAATGTGCAGATTCTGCTGCCAGCACCAGTCCATAACGCCCAGGACATTTTCCTGGCTGAAACGATATGGGCCTTGACGGAGCCGCCCATGACGGCCGCGAAGATGTCGACGAAATTCAACACGCACCAGGAACCCAAGCCACCAACTAGGAACGTGGCGTCCTGCAGCAATTTCGAGAGCTCGAAGAGCAAGCGCACGACCCGCATGGGACTTGCAAGGAGCCAGACAGAGACACGGCCGATGTTGTATGGGATAAAGATGCAAGCAAAGATGGTGACTGACACAAGGACGGCGCAGAAAATGGCATTCTGGAAAAGGCCTGCAATAGGTCCACGCATGCCAATCAACTCCATGACTCCTTCAAAGTCTTCCATGTCCTCGATTGCTTCAGGGTCCAAGGGTGCAGCGTTGTCGTCCGCAGCGATGCCTTCGCCATCGTCGCCGTTGGGCTCCGCAGGAATGTCGACCCAAAGATCCTCCCGGTTATTGTTGCCAGCTGGGGCCCCTTGGCCAGCAGCTCGCTCGACCGCTTCCTCGGCAGCCATGTCGTCAAAAGCTGCTCGATGAGCGGCAACTATAAGAGCGCGGGGACCGGCTGGAGGATCCAGGTCGTCCATGTTGCCCCACATGAAATCAGCAACCTTGTCGGCGAAGCCAGCTGCTGGGGCATCACCGCCATTGACGGCTGCTTCCTCGGTAGCGCCGTTGGCATGAGGCGGCTGTGGTTCGATTCCAGCATCCAAGCGCTGTTCTCTCGCATTCAGATCCGGGAGGGGTTGCTGGAGTTCTCTTGGAGGGTGGCGTTGATAGACATCTCCATCTGGGAGGCGCCTATAGGCGTCTCGACTCAAATGGCTGTCGTCTTCGTCACCGGAGTCTCTAGACTGTCCCGAGGACCCTCCCGAGGGCTCGTCATCATTAAAGTCTTGTGCAAATTGTTCTTGAATAGCAGGGAGGGACTGGAAGAGTTCATCGGACTTGTCATCTACGGGAAGTGCATCGAAAGACCATGAATTATTCGCCAGCGGGTTAGCCGAGAACTGTCCCTGAAGGCCATCCGACATTGAGCGTGGTCTTGAGGCAGCGCCAAAGAGCTCATCCTCATGTGCATCTGAAGGCCCTGAGATGTCGGCATCTGCCTGCGTGGGAGACCATAGCTCCTTGCCTTTCCAGTTAGAGGAAGACTGAAGTGTGTCATGATCCGAGTCAATCTCGTGCTCGGGGTGCTCTTGGTCTGCCTCGTCCGTTATATGCTCATAACTCGTATTTTCAATAGTAGAAGCGGATCGCCGTGTGAATTCAACCCAGTATTTAAGCTTTTCTTGTAGACCTTCTTCTTCGATGATTCGCAGTATGTCTTGAAGGTCGCCGTTAGCGCGGCCATAAATTCGCTGATAATCATCGAGACTGCTCGGTTCCTCTGCAGCATCACCTTCATCGGCATCTTGGCGTGCATGAGAGTGTAGTTGATCGTTCTGTAAGGAGGTATTCGTGCTAGAAGTCGGAAAAGAATCGTGATCGGGCGTCGAGTGGTTTGAAGAGTCTGGAGTCAATGCTTCCTCGCCAGCTGGCGCGAGTCGTCCTGGCGGCATCCGTTGCCAGTCCTGATCACCAACTTGATCGCTGTCTTCCAAAGTTTCATCGTCTGAGTCTGTTGGGCGAGGATTTGCTGGTGGCAAGTTCTCTGGCTGAATAATCTCGTCTGGTTCAGGAACCTGAAAGTCATTTTCGGGGGCAGCAAAGGCAGCCCGCATGTTGATTTCTGGCTGTTGCTGGACAACATAGTCTCTGACCAAGATGATGAGTATGAAAGAGATGATTACCAGAACCGTGATGATTTGCCCTTCCAATACGGATACGATGGCTCGATTTAGGCTTGCATTCCGAGTAAGGTTACCAAGAAAGCCAACGTTGCTGAGGAGGGTCGTTGCAGTAGCGAATTGACTGCCGTTGTTCAACGCTGCAGATGCATTTGCCGCGTATCCCAGCTCGCCGTCGGAGGCCAGGTATGGAGAGGTGAATGAGTTGAGTAGGAATCGCACAAAGTAATCGGAAACATCTTTGCCCTCCAGCTGACCTACCACGGCTTCGACTTCGGCCGCAGAGGTGGTGGTGGCCGCTAACAGGGGGCTGGCAGGACATGTTCCAATGGCCAAGATGGAGGAGGGAATTGCCGACATGGTGTTGTTGGTCTCGTTGATCCGCGATATGATGGAGCCACCCAAGCCTTCGTCACTGATCCAGAACATGAAGGACCACACAGCCCTCATAAAGTAGGGAAGCCAAAACACCCATACGCTGATGGCGACGGCTGCCCGCAGCCACACCAGCAGGTTGCTGAGCAGATGACTGGCCATGTGCTTGGCAAAGACGTGTACAGGCAGCGACTGCGGCATGTCGGGGGCGTACAGCTTGGTGAAGCGGAAGGGCGTTTTGCACAGCTCGCAGTACTTCTTCTGCGAATGCGAGAGCCACTCCATCAGGCAGTCCTGGTGGACGTGCTTGATGCTGCCGCTGCATTTGCACGGGTGGAAGAGCGGCTCTTCCTCTGTGCCTTCGCCACGACATATCCGGCATATCTCGACTGCGGCGGCGTTGGGACGATCGTCGTATCGCTGTTGTTGGGCCGTGGGCCCGGCATCCGAGGCGGCGTCCTCCATGATTTACGCAGCAGAGGTGCTGTGCTCTCTCTGGAGGCTGCGAGGGAGAGAAAAAAGAGACGCCCACGATGGGGAAGTTATCGAAGGAGGAAGCCGGGGGAAATCATGGGCTTAAGTTGTTCGGGAAAGTTTGTTGAGCGAGGCGGGTTGAAGGAATACCGACAGACAGCCTTTGTGGCGGGTGTTCCGCGCAAAGTCTCCGCCCCTCTATCAGTTGTTATCAAGCGGACCTCGCTTTCTGGTGGCTGATCGGGTCGGGCGTCGTTTGGACTGGGAGATGCCGGGGTGTCGTAAGCTATCAATGCTTTGGGTGAACCTGAGGGGAGAAGCGGGGAGTTCTAGATGCAGGAGAATGAATGTCGAAGAGGATGGATGAGACAGAGAGGCAGAAATTCCAGGATTCAGCGGAACACGGAGAAACGCCATGGCGGGCGTCCGTCTGTGCGCGAGCGGGAGAGTCGAGGGTACTAGCGGACGACTTGATGATGGGTGAAAAGCTGCAGGCTGCGCGGGTATCTGCAAAGTAGCGCCGCGTGAAGAAGGAAGAACATGCACTGTGGTTTATCATTTGGCAGACAAGGTTCGAAGATACGGGCAAGATGCTTTGTGCCACGTTGATGGGGATAATTACATTTTCTTTCTTATCTGCCAAGGAAAAAACTCATCAGAACAAGGCAAGAATGGTATTCGTATTAGATTGAGTTGTAGGACTTGTCATGCTCAAGGTCAGTAATTTGTACTACTAATGTTCACTGCATTCGCCTATGGCTGGGTTGATATAAGTTAGCACAGAGCTGATGACAGCGATTCATAATATTTATTGCATCTTATTTTCTCATGTTGGTTTATTTCTGATATATTTTATATATACGTGTAACCCAGAGGCTGAGTTCTAGATTGTGTACATTAGTTTGACGCCTCACCGAAGATGCTCACTCTAGCGTACCCAAACCATATACATGTATTCAGCTTATGCATTATAACACTACGCATTCAATAGTGAAGACTTGGAACTGGGGCGGAATAAAGTAGACGTGATAATGGTAATGGCGGTGCTCATCCATTTGCTATAAAAAGCACTTTTATGCATATGCTGCACGGCCCTTACTTTCCGCCGCGGCGTTGATGTCATGACGATATCAATGTGGCGATATTGCTCTCAGCTCGCATCTCACTAAAGGCCACGAATCTACTGCGTTACCCGCAAGATACTTGCAGTAGTCGCATCTGTTATCATCCGTTCGAATCGGTGCCTTGGCAACTTGGCTAATGCTGTCCACCACTTGAGAACTATGCATTAGTACCTGGACGGTGTTGTCCAAAGGCATCAGCTTCTGCTCATCGATATCATACTATACTTACGTGTGCATAGCCATCTAGACCACGTTTCTTGCTCGTCGCAGTCAACCACACCCACCCTTTGCCTAGTGATGGCGGATCTACAGTCTAGTGGCCAGCCGGGGGTCCAATAATTGTGCTGTTTCATGTCTCCAGCCCATGCGAGGCTGCTGCATCGCCGATGTCGATGGCAGCCAAAAACAAGCTTCTGGCCAGCGCCGTCAACCACGAAAGCGCCATGACGTGTGCCGGTGAAGTAATCAATGCCCAATAGCATGTGTAAAAGCACAAACAGAGATAGACGATCGCTTCTTGTTTGCGCGTTTGCTCCCGTCTGGTGTAATGGATGCCGTGCGTGTCCGAGTATATAAAGCAGCGCTGGCATCTCGGCACCGCAGAGCCGTGTTCCCCAAGCTCCTGACACAGGGCTAATCTCGCAATCAATCCCTTGAGCTAGGCAAGGCTCAGAAGCTGTTTCGAGTCCAGGCTTGCGCTGAAACGCCGTGATTAATATTGATCTAATATTGAATCCTGTCAAGTGCCAAAAAATCCCCTTCAGTGGGCAGCTCCAGCGCCAGCTCCAGTGGGTCAGCGGAGGTCGATGCTGCCCCGCAGTCACGATGCGGTACTTTTACAGGGATATTTGGGGCGACGATACCTTGCCGCTACTTTACGGGGCTCCCCCATCCAAGGAGATGCTACCTGCTAGGCTGCAGCACCAATCCACTAGAAATATGGTAGGGACCCTCCAGTGTCTTTCAGCGCCTTCTAGCCTCTATTACGTCCTGAGCTGGCCTCTATTTTTTCTTCTACACTCTTTTCTTTTTTGTGCTCACCTTCGTTCATGATTCGACCTTTTCACCATCTTCTTCACCCTTTATGCCCTGCTTCTCTCCAGCATTCGCCGCGAACTGACCGCCACTTCTAGTACGACGCTGACCGAGCATACTTTTCTCTCATGGCCGAGTCCAGCGGCCTGAAGCCGGGCAACGGCTCCTCGCATGTGAATGGCAAGATGAATGGCCAGACGGCGGGCCACAAACGATCTGGATCAAGACCACGCGGATTGCTGGGCTTTTTGTTTGGCTCGATTGCCAGGTGAGTAATTGCATCGTGTTTATTGCCTTATCGCGGGCCAATTGCTTGCTTTGTCCGGCGGAGAGATGCGCCCATCTTTTCCTCCTCCAGTTGCGTGCCGATGCGCGGGGAGATATCGTGTGCTGATGTTTACATGCTCAGACTTGCGACTTGGGCCGTTATCCTTACGCTTCTGTTCCGCTGTCCTTCCACGCTGGAGGAGTGCAACGAAGATTCTCCTTACATCTGCAAGCCATATTTCCAAGCCAAAGAGGCCATCGTCCCGTATACGCTGCCCTGCTACGAGCAATACCTTGAGCCATACGTGGACTTTGCGAGACCTTACTACAACTCCGTCGATTCTCACATCCTGGCGCCGGTGCGCGTTTATGCCGTCCAATATGGTGCGCCATGGGTTGAAAAAGGCCAGGAGCAAGTTTGGGCTCAATGGGAGAAGCACGGTCGGCCTCAGGTAGAGCAGCTCCGCGCTCTGTCCCAGCAGCAGTACGAGGAGTCCATTGCTCCGCACCTGGGGCGCGCAGGCGAAGTCCTCGGACCCTACTACGAAGTCGGACGCGATAATTCTCTCCAAGTGTACCACGAATATGTGCTACCGACATACGAGCTTCTGCAACCCTATGCCCAGCAAGGCTACAGTGCTGCTTCCAGCTTCGCCACGGAGACGGCGCTGCCCGCTGCTCACTGGACTTGGGCGAGGACGAATGCCTTTCTTAACAAGGCAGTGTGGCCTCAGGTCCGAATGGTTTATGTCGAGAACGTGGAGCCTCAGCTTGTTCGCATTGGCGAGCGCTTAGAACGATACAAGAACCGGGCCAGGACCAAGGTGCTTCCCGAAGTAAACTCGTCTACGTAAGTGCTGTCCTGGGTTTTCCATTACCGCTCCCCCTTGTCTAACAGGAGATAGAAGACGAAGGACAACTACCGAGCCTCCGCGATCTTCTTTCAGTAAACCGGCTCCCCAAGCGACACAATCGCAGAGCACAACGGCCTCCGAACGTGCCACGTTTAGCTCAACCTCCAGCGCCGAGGAGCAGCAGTCGACGGAGTCAACCTACTGGATGCCCGTTCAGCCCCCTCCCCCTGGAGAAAACGAATCCGAGACAAGGAGAAAGGCCCGTGAGATGGTGACGGAAGACCTTGAGCTGTGGCAGAGTAAATTCGCTACCCAAGCTGACGAGGGCGCTGTCGATATGGAAGACCGCATCGACGAGCTTGCGAACCGTATGATTGCCCAAGTGATTCCCTCTAGTGGGAAGCCACTTGTTGAGCAGCTCCAAACCACAGTGGATTCGGAGACTGATGGACTGAAAGCAAAGATTTCCAGCATTGTCGCGGAGAGTGCAGGTGGATCGCTGGAAGACGCTGAAGAGCGAATCATTGGCGCCATCAGAGCTGCCGGCATCGCTATCAAGCAGGCCGCTACAGAGATCAGGACGTGGCGAGAAGAATACGATGTTGATCTGCAAGCCAGAGTCCTTAGAGCCGCTGATGTCCATTTCCAGATCCTTGACGAGACTAGAAATCTTGCACTGCAGCAACTTGGCATGAAGTGGGCTTGGACCGATGGAGTTAGCTACAAGGACTGGGCAAAGTATCACGAGCTAAAGCAGGTGCTCGCAGATTGGACTGAAGATCTGAAACAACTCATCATCACCCACCCTACCCTGCTCGACGCACAGGATGCTGCTGCATTTGTCGAAGAGGATGGAATGACCATTGCCTCTGCGGCTGCCAAAGAGCTGGCTCGCCTCAAGCGAGTGGCTCAGTGGAAGCTTATCGCAAATGATGCTACAGACAATTTTGATTCAGAGGCAATGGAACAAGCTGCTGAGGCAGCACAGAACCCTCCAGTAGCTGAAGAGTCAGAAGAGTCTGAGAAGCAGGAAGAAGGAGATGTCGATGCTGCCGCTGAGGAAGCCGCTGATGGCAATTCTTCGTTGCCGGTATTTGACACCGTCCAGGATGTCGTGGATACCATCCAGAAAAAAGTAACCGGGGAGGTCACTGAGGAGACCACTGAGGAGACGACACCTTTGGAGTCCGAACCCGCCGTCAGCAGTGCTTCTTTGGATGAGCATTCATCTGTAGATTCGAGCGAAGCTTCCGGTGCTACTGAGGAAGCGACCTCGGATATCTTTGAACATGTTGCGGAGCCCACTGACATCCCCACTGAAGACCAGGAGCCGCTTACCAACCAGACTGAGGAACTCCCACAACTTGTTACTGAAAGTATCAAGGAGCCCGAAGTAGAAACCGAAACGCCCCAGGTTCTTGTCAACCAAGTCGAAGATGAAGAATCGAGCCCAATTGTTCTGGAGGACCCTCGTTCGACACCCAACGATGATGAGGCTGACACTGAACCTGTCGCCGAGCCTGCTGCCGAAACTACTACCGACGAGGTGCTGGAAACCGAGCCTGAAATCCTGGAAGAGGACGAAATTTTATGGCCACACGAACAAGCATCCCTGGTTGATGACACCGCTTCCGTAAAGGCGACATTCTTCGGCGCGGCCGCTCAGGTAGTTTCCGGACGACGACAACCCATTTTGGACGAGGACGATGAAACTGATGATGACGATTTCCTATCTAGCGCGACTAAAGCCGCTGAGGCAGCCTATTCCAACGCAGTCTCTTTAGCATCTGGCCAGTATTCGAGTGCGGTATCAATCATTTCCGCGCAAATCCATGGCACGCCAACTCCAGCCGTTCAAAACCAGCTTCTTTCCTCGGTTTCCGGTGCCTATGATCAAGCAATCGCCGCGGCTAGTTCCAGGCTGCAAGAGGTGGTTGATGCTGCGTCTGCCGGAGTCTATGGCACGCCAACGACCGCCCAGGCTGCCCCAACGTTGGTAGACTGGAGCAAAGTAGAGGCGATTGCTGCGGAACGCCTGAATGAGGGGAAGCTCTGGGCCGAGCTTCAATATCAAAGTGCTCTGATTGCCATGGGACTGGCGACGGCAACACCCACTCCAACTGGTGCAATCGAAAAATACTACGAACAGGCCAAATACAACTATTACGCTGGGCTTGGTGTCGCACATGACCGCTATAACAACTTCATATCTGCCGCTTCGTCAGCATGGTCCTCAGCCACAGCCACGCCAACCCCGACACCCATGGCTCTTACTGACTCTGCACTTTCAATGGCCTCTGCTGCGGGCAAGGCTGCTGAATCTGCCTACTCCAAGGCCACTGAGAATGTTGCTTCTGCGGTTGATGCTGTGGACGAAACCATAAACTCTGTACACGATGCTGCAGCTGAACAGATCTTCAACGCCGGACTAGCCATTGGAGAGACGTGGGGAACAATCGTTAGCCAGCTGAGCATTGACGTGTACGGTCAACCAACACCAGCGGCGATTGGATGGTACGATAGTCTGGTATCAGACGCGCAGGCCGTGGTAGCAAGCGCTACATCGGCCGTTGCCAAGGCTACTCAGACTGCGTCGGCTGGTGCTGCAAACGAATATGAAGCTGTGAGCGAGCTTGTTTCGGAGTTGATTGTTGGCCGAGAGCCGCCCTTTACGGAGAGTGTACTATCAAGGCTTCAAGCCGCGTATGCCACGGCGTCTGAGAACGTGGCAAGCTTGGCGAGCGAAGCCAGCGCGGCTGCTGGATCAGTAGGCGAGAAGGTGGGAAGCATTGCGAGCAAGGCAACCGACGCGGCGAAGCATGGCAAAGACGAGTTGTAAGATGACGCAGAAATGGGCGGCGCAGTGCTTGAACGATACCCACTATTGTTTCCTTTTTGTCTGGCCAAAAGTGTTGAGAGAGTGCATCGCCAAGGCGATGATTTTGGATGTGTTTTCTTTTTATATATATGTAATTTCTATGGCATGAACAACCAACAAGGTGGCATTTTTCCTTTGTAACGAGTGGTACCAAACAAGAATGTTTGTGTATGTGTGTTTTTATGTATATTTCCTATGTCTCATTTGAAGGAGAGGATATGGAGTGGACTGTACATTATCAAAGTCCATATATTGTACGCTACTAGCATAGTTTAAAATGTGAAGCCTTTCTTTTACAATCTGTTTCAAGGGGTAATCACAAGGAATTATCTACTGATTGTGGACAGAGATTCTGCGTCATCTACGTTGCAGTATTCGACGGCAAGCTTACTGCCATGACTCGTAAGTTCAATGACCTTTTTGCTTTTGAATAGGAACGGGGCGGGCCATCTCCACCTAAGCCGAACCGCTGAAGCCAACTGACTGTCTTTATAAGTGAAGCAAGAGAAACGAAGAGGCACACGTTACATGCATTGGCCTCTTTCTCTTCTGCTTACTTGTGGTGGAGCAGATGATGGCCTGTTGATGCTTGTATCGACTGGGCTAGATCCCACTGCGGTATACGGGGCCGAGGTGATGTCATTTCCGGATCCTTTCCACCGAGGCTGTTTGCTTGGCCCTCTTCAGATGCTTTGGCCAGGGGCAGAAGAGGCTGGGCGGTCACTTAGTGCATGAAGCAAGTGTTTAGTAGCTGTCCGGGGCGTTTATAGTGCCGGGATGGGGTAGAGCTTTAGAGTAACGCCACTGGTTTGATAGAGTACAGCAGGCGTGGTGGCTTCAGTTGATCTGTAAGACTTTCTTCCAGATCCATCTCCAATTATAGACCGCATGCCCGCCATAACGCATGATGTATCTATTATGCAGCCTCTTTCCGTCACATTCGATAGATGGCCTGTCAAAAGTCGTTCCCCACGCCCGCTTCCCCCAACTTTTGTCTCTTGATCAGCGAGAGGCTAGAGCTAGAGGTGCATTAGCCCTGCAGGCCTGGACCTAACGGTTTTGCTGTTTTGAAAATTTCAGTCAGATTTTGCTTGGCCGCGGGATTGTGCTCGTTTGTTCCAAGGGACAAGATGGATTGATTTCAACGGCATCTGCTATTTGGGCATGATTTTATTGAATCTTGAAGGAGATGTCATGACATACTATAGAATGCTATATTAGAGTTCTTCGATCCCCGGATTTGGCATCGTGTGGGGGACGTCAGAAATGCTGCGAGCATCAAAGCCACAAGAAGCCCCAGGTTGTAAAAGTACATGCACACATACGGGCAAAAGATAGCAAACACGCTTCAAAATGTCTCCATCTGCCCGTCCCTGCTTGCTTTGCTCAACGGCCAGACCGCTTTCAGAAGCTCAGGCGATGAGCTCAATTGCTCGATCTGGCCCACTCTGAGAAAAGAGAGAAACAGACCCGCAGACTAACAGAGTCGGCTCGGCTCCCCTCCCTCGGCCCAGGTAAAAACGAATAAATACACACGCGGGCGGATTCATGTTTTTTTTTTTGAAGATTGTCCTTCTCTCATCTGACTTTTTTCTTTCTTTTGGATGACGCTTGTTCGATATTAAGATTTTTGTCTTGCTTTTTTGTCTCAGTTGCTTAACCAACAACTGCTGCTGCTCTTCTCTCAAAAAAACAGGTTTTATTTTGCTGAAACACAACTGAAAGGAAAACAGTCGCGACGCATGGAATTCGTAGTCGAGTTCTTTTCTCTTCTCCTCAAGTCTATACGCTGAAAGAGTTGGAAAGCTGCTTTCTGCTCTTTTCTGCTGGTGCGCATAGCTTTTTTGCGCTCCTCCCTATTTTGGATACTTGTCTCGCAATTGGCGTAAGATAGACGATAAGATCCGCTGCCAACGTTGATTCTCTTGGCCCATTTCTATACGCCGCAAAAGCTGTGAAATCATCGATAGCCGACAAACATAACAAGATTCGTTCCAATGACTTCTTCCGGTATCCTGCCGGCGTACTCCCGCCAGGAGAAAGAAAAAGCCGGCAATGGTGGTGAAACCAAGAGCGGAGGCGCCGTCACTGAATCTCTCGACGACATTCGAGTTTCTCTGTCTTCCAACGGTAGCAAGAATCGAAACACGACTCACCGAAATCTCAAGGCCAGGCATATCCAGCTCATTGGCATTGGAGGCACCATTGGCACCGTTCTCTATGTGCGTACAGTACAGATACTCTCCCCCTGAATCGTACCATGTGGCTTATACGGTAGTCTATTTCCTCTCATCGTATAGGTTCAAATCGGCCAAGGTCTCCTCAACGGCGGTCCCGGCAGCCTCTTCATCGCCTTTAGCTTCTGGTGCACAATCGTCCTCGCCGTGACGCTCTGCATGGCCGAAATGGTCACCTACCTGCCCATCTCCTCGCCCTTTATCCGCTTCGCCGGCCGCTACGTCGACGAGGCCTTTGGGTTCGCGACGGGATGGAACTTTTTCATCTTTGAGGCGGCGCTGGTGCCCTTTGAAGTGACGGCCTGCAATTTTATTCTTCGCTTTTGGACCGATGCGATTCCTACGGCGGCAGTCATTGCCATTGTCATTGTTCTCTACGCTCTCATCAACGTGATTGCGGTGAAGTGGTACGGCGAGACGGAATTCTGGGCCGCCATTGGGAAAGTCCTTCTCATTGTGGGACTCATCTTCTTCACCTTTATAGCGATGCTGGGAGGAAATCCCCAGAAAGACCGCTTTGGATTTCGATTCTGGAACGAGCCGGGAGCTTTTGCGGAGCTGTACTATGAGGGCGCCTTGGGACGCTGGCTGGGCTTCTTGCAGTGCCTGATTTTGGCAGCTTTTACCATTGCCGGACCGGATTACGTCTCCATGGCAGCTGGTGAGGCTGAGAATCCTCGCGTGGTGATGCCTCGAGCCTACAACGCCGTGTTTTACCGACTGACTGCGTTCTTCATCCTGGGATCTCTCTGCGTGGGCATTCTCGTTCCTTACAACGACAGCGAGCTCATTGCGGCTTTTGCAAACTCCAAGCCTGGTGCCGCTGCTTCTCCATACGTCGTTGCCATGAACCGCCTGGGAATCAAAGTCCTGCCACACATTGTCAACGCCGCTGTCCTGACTGCTGCTTTCTCCGCGGGCAACTCCTACGTCTACTGCGCGTCTCGTTCTTTATACGGACTGGCTCTGGAGGGAAAAGCGCCGAGGTTTCTGACGACATGCACAAAGGCTGGTATTCCCGTCTACTGCGTTGGCTGTACTTTGCTCTTTGCGTTGCTGTCATTCCTCCAGCTCTCGTCTAATACTGCCGTTGTTTTGAACTGGTTCGTTTCTCTGGTGACGGCGTCCCAGCTCATCAATTTCTGCGCCGTGTGCGTGTCGTATCTGTGCTTCCACCGGGCGCTCAAGGCACAGGGTATCAGCCGGGACACGCTGCCGTATAAAGCGTGGTTCATGCCGTATGCTGCTTATTATGCACTGGTGTGGACATTTGTCATGGCTTTCGTGGGCGGGTATACGGTTTTCTTGCCGTTGCCTGGCATGTGGAAAATTGCAGATTTCTTGTTCTCGTGAGTATTTTTGATATGACTGGAAGCAATTGATGGACTAATCTCTTTGAATTGATAGGTATGCAATGATTTTTGTATACCCGATCTTGTATTTCGGTTACAAATTCATTCGTAAGACGGAGATTCGCAAGCCAGAAGAAATTGATCTTTTCAAGGACTTGGATGAGATTGAGGAGTACCAGAGGAGTTATATCTCTACTCCACCAAGGTATGCTCCGGTAATACATGTTGACAGTGATATTTGTTAACAGTGTTTAGAAACGGGTTCGAGAAAATCCTCGAAAAACTCTTTGGCTAATTCCAAAGCACGGCAAGCTTCGATTAATGATATAAAACGCTTGGTTGGTGATGAACTGGGTGTTTTATCTATTGTCAATATCCGTATTTATTGTAGATGGACGCTTGAATCTACATATTTTCTATGTACCACAAAGCAATTTTGTAGGCTATTCCATGATATATATCCTAAAATAAATGCTTTCTCTAAAAGCTCGTCCCCTCATCTCTATTCTTGTAAGCTTCCCCATTCATAAACTTCTTTTCCTGCTCCATAATTGCGTTTGGAATCCCAATACCAATGCCGAAGAATACGAAAAGTGCCCACTTCCATCGGAACGGGTTGAATGTCACGCAAAAGACAAACCACCAGACCAGCTCGAGATAGGTAAAGAAGTCAAAAGCACCCATTGGGCTAAACTTCTTCAGCGTGCGCGTCATGTCGATCCAGCGCTCCATCCACCATCGGCTTGGTCGTGTTAGGGGGTCAAGCAGGAACATGAGGAGGATGCGAGTGTAGATGCCAATGTGCCAGTTACCGACAGTACCAATTGCCTCCACAAAGGTAGAGTTGATGGCGGAGATGGATGGGTGTGCTGGAGGGAAAGTCTGCAGGTACCAGTTTGGCGGTCCATAGGGATCTTGGAAACAGTCATCGGGAAGAATTGCCAGTGAGGGTCGCTTGAAACCAGTTGCCATGATGACCATGTCGGCCTTGATGAGCTCCTCGTGGCCAGGGCCGTCTTTTGGAACACCGCGAGAACGACGATTGACCTGGACGCCGCTCTTCTTGAATCCTTCAATGTCACCGCGGACCCATTCTGCTTTGCCCTGACGAAGCTTGTCCATGACATCAGAGTTGACCATTGGCGTGCCCATAAAGATGCCCTTGTCATGAGTCGGCGCCAGATCCTCAAGGTCGCGGTAAAAGAACTTGCGGAGGAAGAACTCGGGGATGAAGGAGAGGAAAGTTTCTTGGCCAAAGATGTTGAGACTGAGGAGCGTGTCGACAATCATGTTTCGCGGGATGATCCATTTGTCAGATCGAGAAAGAATTGAGACCTTTGCCGCACCGGCGGAAAATGCAAATTCGAGTGCTTCGACGGCTGAGGCTCCTCCACCGATGATGGCGACGTGTTTGTTTTTGGCATCCTTTCTGTAGCCGTAACTATTAGCTCGCTGAAATTGAAAATAATTCGTGATTGGACGTACCCAGTAAGCTCGCTAGAGTGGTAGATTTCTCCCTTAAACTTCTCCATACCAGGAATGTGTGGCATTTTGGGATCGCCGCAGGTTCCAGTCGCCGCAATCAAGCCGTCAAATCGACCCAGAGAAGGATCATTGTTGATGATCCATCGCGTCTGTTCGTCCTGCTTGAGGCCCTTGACCTTGACGCCAAACTTGGTCTTTTCGTCCAGGCCGTAGCGTTTCCAAACTTGCTCGACTTGCTCTACAATTTCCTTGCGAGTGGGATAGCCGCGCTCCCATTTGACAGAGGGATGGAAGCGGTACATGACGGAGTGAATTTGGAGGCCAGATGTTTCATTTACCCTCTGTAAAATTTGTTAGCCAACTTGTATTTTTCTTCCATTTTGGTGTAAGATTTGGCTTACGCTCCAAATACCACCAAGGCGCTCCCTCGGGCCCGCCTCGAAAATCGTCACGTCAAAGCCATGGCCAACGCAGTGAGCTGCCGCCGAAACGCCAGTGAGTCCAGCTCCGATGATGGCGATTCTCGGGCGCTTCAATTCAGTATTTTTAGGAGGAGGATTAGGGGCAATGAGGGTGCTGATGACCCATTGCAGCAGCTGGTAGAGGAAGAGTAGTGGGTGGAAGAGCGGATTCGCAACGCCCGTGTCTCGAGGCATGGCTGCGGCTCATTCAATTGCAGTTTCTGAGAGAATAATCATGAAGAGAGCCGAGACTGAGAGACGGGAAAACAAACTTTTATAAACATTCTTTGCTTCCAATTCCCTCTCACAATCCTACGTTCGTGATGCTGACGTCACAAGTTTCAAAGCCGGCTCGGCTCCACATGATGAACTCATCGATGCCGAATCTGGCAACAGTTTTTCATCGCGAGAAGCTCCCCTGGTTTGGCATGTGATTGCCAGCTAAGCAGGGACGAATCCCTGAAACAAACGCCAGAAATGGCACTCATAACGGCCAAAGTTTGCGCTTTTCAGTTTTTTGCAACTCAATTCTGCCAACTTCATTCTTTGTCGCGTACAATTTGCACATAACATCACCATGGAGAATCCAGGTAATTTGATGAGCCTCTCTCTATCCTCAACAGCTTCATTATAATCACTAACAAATGATTCAATTCCAGCTCAAGAAATCGCCTCTGTCATTGACACTCTCACCAAAGGCTCGCCGCAGCAGCAGGAAGACGCGCTCAACACCTACTTTCTCCCCAATGCGTCCTTCATCCACCCGTTTTGTCGCGTGCCGTCCTTCTCACAGGGCTCTATCCCGCTGGCAAGGGATCTCGACTCGCGCTGGCTCATCCTCGGCATCTATCGCTGGTATCGCACGCTGAGTCCGCGCATTGATCTCACAGTAGACTCTGCTGGTACGTTGTCTTGATTTATGATGTAGAGAATGAGTGGCGGTGTACCAAAATGAGCGCCCTTTGGCTAACCTGGAGCTGTAGTATATGATCAGCGCAACAGCACGTTATTCGTCTCTATTCGCCAGACCTTTTCAATATGGTTCATTCCCTTCCATAAATCTTCCGTCAAACTGGTCTCTGTCTTGCAGCTCGCGCAGAGATCGTCATCAGAACCTGGACAACTGCCCGCGAAAAATGGCACAGACGGTCGATCGTCATCTGCGCTGTCCGGCCCAGGCCAAGAGAGGCTGAGATACTACATTACCAGCCAAGAGGACTTGTATCAAACAAACGACTTTGTCGCGTTTGTGCTGCCATATTTTGGGCCTCTATTGGTGTTTTTGTGGCAGCTGTATGCTACCGGCCTTTCTGTAATTGGGTCTCTCTTATTTCTGCCAGTGTATTACTTTTTGAACGGCAGCGGTGTAAAAGCCAGAAGAGAGGCATAGACAAATTTGACTTCTGTTCTTTTTCTTATATACAAGCTTGTATAGGGTGGATCTTTTAGGTGTATTAATTATTTTGAATGTACGCATATTGCGTTTTAGTGCCTTTCTACGTCCTGTTATTTTATGCCATCATCTTGCCTTACCTCGAGTCACGCCCTTCCAGCCTACGGATTATGTCTTCAAAGTATGAAAGTCTTAGCAATCGAATATTAATAGCGATATTGTCAGTAGAAACCACCGCTTCACTTGAAAATATAACAGTAGCCCTGTCATTTGCGAGGAATCTGAAGGACTTCATTACGGTAACAATCTCATGCTCCTACACAAGTCTCGCCAGCTGAAGTAAAGACAGGCATATTTTCATGGTTGAAAGACATTTATTCCACCACTTCGATAGCCTTATCTAAGTCGACCGGCATGGTGCTAACATTGCCCTCAATAGACGCATGATTTTTGCGAGACCCGATTCAGGATTTGGCGAGTCAACGCGCACTCCGCTCGTCATTTAGCAGATTACAGCAGATCTGCATAAAAGATCTTGAGATTTCTCACTTGAATATCCCGAATAGACAGCAGTTCTTGTTTGACTCGAAGAGGGCTAGAAAGTATGCGTTCGATCCTAATTAACTGATAGAGCCCCAGGGTATGAATAAGTTGTAACAAGGTTATGTATACAGATTTACAGGTTACCTACGATTGAGAACATTTATAGAGCTTGAAAGGAAACTAATTCTTTTTTTCCTAACTAAAAATGGGTTGAACATTTTTTTTTTTTTTTTTTTTTAAAAAAAATATCATTTTCCAAAGTCACAAATTCGATATATCTTCCCCTCATTTAATACCTCAATCTAACGCAGTTTCTGCAGTTTCTCCGTCTTTATTTTGCGGCCCAACCACGGCTCCATATTCAAGCAGTAAATCGATTATTAGCTCTGAATCTTGGTGCATAGCTGCATCCAATGTAGTTCCCCAACGCTGGTGAGTCGCAGATACATCAGCTCCGTTCTCTAACAGCAGCTGAACAATCTCTACATCACCATAACCCATGCTCGGATCAATAGCACAAAATAATGGTGGTTCCCCTAGCGTAATGTCTGCTTCATGCTCTAGAAGAAGACGTACAACTTCGATGTCTCCGTATTGAGCAGCCCTAGCAAGAGGAGTGTAGTCTTCCAAGTCAATTGCATCGACGTCGGCGCCGTTCTCGAGTAACAGCCTGGATAGCGCGACGTGACCTCTGCTGGCAGCCATATGTAGCGGTGTCTTCCCCTCGTAATCCTCTGCTGTACTAATATCAGCCCCTTGATCAAGGAGTAGCTGCATGGCTTCTACATCACCAGCCATGGCGACATCGAAAATACGTGAAGTGGCCAGCCAAGCTTCAGAATCCTCTCCGTCAAGGTGCTCCAATAGGAGCCGCACTATGGCTTCATGGCCATTCCAAGCTGCGAATTCCAACGCAGTCTCTCCGTATTCAGTCTCCGCAGTGACATCAGCTCCATGTTCGATAAGTATCTGCACGACAGTGTCGCTTCCGAACTTGGCAGCGACATGCAACGCAGTCTCCCCGGTGTCGTCCTGAGCGTCAACCTCAATTCCGCTCTCTAGAAGCAGGCGCGCCGTTTTATCGCCCCCCATCATCAAAGCGCTAGCGTGAAGCGCTGTTCTTCCATGTCCCTCTCTGTTAGAAATATCTGCTCCTTCCCTCAGTAACAGCCTGACGACACCGTCTGGCTTATAATTAAGTCTATAACCAAAAGACCCCGCCGCGGCGTGCAGAGGGTATTCGCCACTTGCACCGATGAGATTTACATCAAAGCCTTTGTCTAGAAGCAGCTGTACTATCTCTACATTTCTACCTTTAGCGGCGAAATGGAGGAGAGAATCTCCCTCGGTGGTGACCGAGAGATCAGCGCCTCTCTCAATCAAAACCATCACACCAGCTTCTTGCCCACTCCGGGCTGCAGTACATAGCGGTGTGAACCCGTGTACGGACTTTGCTTCCAAATCCGCACCTCTGTTCAACAACAGTGCAATGGCTCCTACGTGGCCCTTCCCTGCTGCCCAGTGGAGTGCTGTTTCGCCGTCCCCGGTCCGCAAATCAATGTCCGCGCCGTTATTGAGCAAGATATCCAGCACGTTCTCATGACCGCTTCGTGCGGCCCAGTGCAGGGCTGTTGCTCTGGAAGTCTCGTTGTCAGGCACGTCTGTCACCGCATTGACGCTTGCGCCCTTGTCAATCAATAGCTGCACTATTGCCGCATGTCCTCTTGTGGCAGCTATATGAAGTGCCGTCCAATCATCTTCGTTCTTCGCGTTTACATTTTGACCGTCTTCTAATAACATCGTCACTATTCCTTCCAATCCGAAGAATGATGCTAGGCAAAGGCCTGATATTGAAATCGGAAATCTTTGTCCATAATACTCCTTCTCGGCCAACACCTGAACAGATGCCTCCAAACCGGTTCGCTGCTGCACAAATCTCATGAATAGATCTTGGGTGACCTGTCCGAGCATATCCTTAACATGGTCTCCCCAGTATCGAGCTGCGTAATGGAAGAGTGGGTAACAAGTATCAAGGTCCCAATCGAGGCACTCTTTCTCGATATGCCTCTGGAATGTAAGCATATAGTAAAGTTCTGGGTCCACGTCTATGTGTTCTTCCCTCGCTGTTAGAAAGTCTTCAAACTCCTTGCGTTCGAAAGACAGGTACATGAGACAGGTCTCTGCGATGTTTATTTCCAAATGTAAAAATCGTTCAATTTCTTGTCGATCCATTCTCCGTTTGAAGTATTCCTTTGTGGTGTAGTGGATGAATGATACCGTATTGCTCTCAGCGTGGCAAGTCACTATGCCAGCACATACGGAGACTATGATTTCTTCATCGGGGAGAAAATCCTCGTCCAACTCAATAGCATCTGGATCAGCCTCGGCCACCAGGTTGACAGCCAGGCTGTGGCGAAGTTGCTGGAGATTTAGAGGTCGGGCAGCATAGTAGAGCCAAGTCAAAATCTGTTTGGCCATCATGACGTCGTCATCGTCTTGATTTTGGATTCTCGTGATAACATCGTCGTAAGCTGTGTCCAGTTCTTTCAACCCTTCTGGAAGATTTCTCAGTGTACTTTCAACCATTCCGAGAACGTTTTTCGTGGCCAACAAGTCGATATACATTCGAACAAGCAGGAACCTAAGGCGTTCGTCAGCGCAAATATCTTTTGTAGGTGGATAATATTGTTCAAGAGAGCTTACATTCCATCTGCTTTTTGTGCAACCATCTCGACAATGGCCTGTTGTAAGCTAGGCTTTCTTTGAATGTGGCGACGCAAGTTCTTCGAGTTATTGATGCGCGCCTGGAGATAGCCCTCGATAGCCTGCCTACTTGCGTGAATCTCCAAGCGCTGATCTGTTGCGAACCTGAGCGCAATGGCTGGCAAATCTCGAGAAGTGAACAGAAGCTGAGTTTTGAGAGGCAGGTTTAACAGTTGGTCTAAAAGTTGGTCTCGGATATCATCAATCTCGCGGTGAGGACATTCGTCGAGCCCGTCGACCACAATAAAGACATGTGAGAAGCTCTCAATGACATCTCGAAGCAATATGGAACATTTTCCAAGTCTTGGGTGAACAGTGTCCTTGGTATAGCTTTTGTAAATCTTGAGAAGGTTTTCAGGACTTTTTGGACTTTGCCGGAATAGCTGTTGCAAAAGGTTCGCAATGAAGTTGGGAACTGTGAGCAACGCATTGTTGTAGTCACAGTATATATATGCGATACCAATACCAGGTTGTTTAACCTGAGTCTCCAAGTAGTTAATAATAGACGATCTGCTGTATGCGTTAGCTGAAAAGGCGCGAACTCCGTGTAAATCATAGCTGCCTACGATAGTACAGTCTTTCCGACGCCAGCTGGGCACCCGTTAGTATGAAATAATGAAATGCATCGGTGAACAGAGTTACATACGTTGTCCTGGACACCACAATACTCTTTCTGTTCTGGAGAGCCAATTCTTGAATTCTTGAGTGTCTTGAAGCCATTCCCACGTCCAGTCTTGTCGGCCAGGTAATGCGTAGACATCGTGGTGCTTTTTCTCAAACACATTGAATATAGGAGAAAGCCAGTCGCAAAATTTTTGAAGATATTCACCTGTTTTCATACATAAGTAACTATACTTGACGGCTGTAATACTTGGTGATGGGACGTACTGCCATAGAGGGACTCTATTGTATCGATTCTGCGATCAATATCTGCCAGCGAGTTTTGAATGTTCCCAATTCCTATCTGAGTTTTATTCGCTTCGATGGATAAATGTTTGAGTTGACCAGACACGACATCAAAATGTTGAAGGGAGATGTTGCTGTATGATTATCAGAACTCAAGCAACTGAAACTTCAAAGATAGGCAGTACTTACATATTGAGTGTTGTGAGAGTCAAATGCAGTTTGGCTTGCAACTCTTCCACAATTTCTTGCAGTTTGATCAATGTGCTTTTCTTGAATGGATATAGGGCTCTCCGAGCTTGCGAAAGTAACTTCTCGCCTGTGGTGCTGGGCAACGAGATGACTTTGATCTTTTGAAGCTTTTTGTTCAATTGGGCAATTCCGCCTTTGCAGAGTGCAACATTGTCATGGATTTTGACAATAATCTCTGACGTCTGGTCTTGACTATTGAGAGTTGACTCCACAATAAGTAAAATCTTGGTGAGATCCTTCATGGAGTTGTATGTTGTCATCACTTCACTCTCGGCATCTTTCCAAGAACCGTAATACTCAAGCAGGCCTTGGCAGACTTCAATACCAAGAGACACTATCCCCGCAACCCCAGATGCAATCCCAAGTGCCTCTGCCATGGATGAAAAGAAGGGTTAAAATAACAATGTCTTATTTTTGGTAATGATTCTTATTGACATATGTGATATGGAAAAAAGTAGAAGGAGGATGGAAATAGCAGTGGAAAGATGACAAAAAAAAAACGCATCAAAAAGAAATATGAAAATGAAAAGGAAAGCAAAAGAGGGGAAAGCAAAGAAAGGGAGGCTGAAGGAGGGGAAATAAATAAGGCTGGGGTCCTGCAGTCGTGATTGGATGCCGTTCCTCGAATGATACGTCGAATAGAGTCGCACAGGCGAATAGGCGAATAGGCGAATAGAAGTCAAGATTCTTTAGAACTAAGGCTCCAAGCCTTTCTCCGCGGGCATAGCTATTCGCCTTGGGCCTAAGGATTGAGGGTTTTGAGACATGGAGAAGCATAGCCATATTGGGTCCTAGGTATTATCAGATTTGACCCGACTGCAATTCTCTACCGTGCCATGTGTCAAATCGTGCCTTTTCGTCTGAGAGCCAAATATTCTCACTGTATTTCTTTCATTTCAGAGAATATTTTGACAAGCGAGACGCAGGAATACCAGACTGGAGGAGCAGCGTCCGGCAGCAGACGTACACGGGTCTTGGTAAAGCAGTCGACATGGTTTATCATGGCCATGTACTTTGAGGATCTCTGTAATATTGCCACCATAGCAAAGTTAATTCCTCTGCTCGATTGTACAGACAAACTGACTGTAAGAGGCTCGGAGAGAGGAACAACCAAGCGCTTTGGCGAAAATTTGTTATTTTGTACTAGGAATCAAGATTTATATGCATCTATGCGTGCCCCTTTCTACATATTGATTGTATCCAAACGATTGAGATCAAGCTATAACATCAACAAAGGATATCCAACGAGATCTTATGAAAAGACTTATCCATCAATTTTAAATTCCTCATACCCATAGCGCGAGTGATTCCGTCCGCGACCATCCAATCCTTCCCCGTACCTGTAAACTTTGGAGCGAATAATGGGCGTAGCTCGTTTGTAGCCGCTTGGGCTGGCCGGCATGGTGTTTGTCCACGGAAAATGAGGGGGAGCGGGGGGAGGGGTGGGAACGGGGGGAGGGTGGGAAATGTGGTCATCTCTCGTATTTTTCGCGACGTTCTTCGATTTATACTCCAGCAGCCGCGGGCGGCGTTTGGTGCTCACGACTGCAAAACTGATGGGCAGCCCAGGCAGCATCGGCGGCGACACTACTCGACCGGAGGTGACGATGATTCTGATATTGCGCGGATGCATCTTGACCAGCATGGAAAGCACTTGCGCAATGTTGGCATGTCGAGCGGCCAGATCTGCGGTGCACTCGTCGAGGCGGTCAATGATAAAAACTACGGATCCGAGCAGAGCAATGGCCGCGCAGAGGAGTTGGAAGACGCCATCAAAGGTCTCTGCTTTGCGGAATCTCCTGGTATTGAAAACCTCTGGCGCTGAGATAGTCAAGCTCGGTCTGGAATGTAGAAGCTGCAGAAGAAGCTGCTTCAAGACCTGTTGTGGCGTCCATTTCGCGCTCTTTGGACGGCTACACATGGCAAATGTTGTTAGCTGGCCCTGAGACCGGCATATATCGATTAGATTGATGGAAAACTCGGTTAGCCATGACTGCCGGCCATTGTCTTCGGTTGATATCCACAGGATCGAGTTCTGGGACTCGTCGCAGAGTTTGCGCCATTCTGTGAGATGCGTGAGAATGCCGTTCTGGCTCCAGTGGTCGCGTATATCGGTCAAGAAGTGCAATGCTTGCCATTGATGAAACTCGTCTTCAACATTGCCAGCATCGCTATCCCAGATGTCGAAGATTTCTGAGGCATAGTGGTGAGATCGCGCTTCGACAATCAAGAGGAATTAGTGAAGCTAGTCTTTTCCTATGTTGATGACTTGAGAAGCCGTAGAAACATACCGAGACTTGTTATGTGTAGCTGTCGTTTTAGTGAATGAATCTCTATACACAGATTGTCAGTTGCAAGTTTGGCATCCTGAGAGAGGAGTCATTACCAGAATTTAGGAATCCGATGCTCTCTGTGATATGTTTCTGCTCTGCCATATGCCCCACTTCGCATAATGTCTTGAGTCTGGCTGCTACTTTCTTGACGTTCTCGAGATACATAGAAAAGTTATATTTCGTACGTGGTAGCATGGCATCAGCTAGCTGCTCTATGTCCATATCAGAAAATAAATTGTATAAGCAGGCAGATCCCATGGTAAACTTACTAAAATAATTGTGAGAATAATACATTGAAAGCCTCCATAATAAATCCAGCGTGTGTATGTAAAACTCAACAAGAGCTTGCTTCATGTCATTTGTTGGAAACATGTCTCTATAAATCTCTAGAATGGGAATATCTTGGGATAGAGAGGTAATGAGACCCTGCACAGAGTCAAGTTTGTCTTTTCTATCTGAAATGCTTCATCTGTTAATAGCGGCTCCTAGCAATTATATGGTTGTCGTCATCGCATACTTTGAATATTGCCCAGAGACAAGCATAAGGGATAGAGTACTCAGGGCTCTGAGGAATCAATATGTCAATAATTGGCTTGAGCTGCGTTGCAGTTTTAATCAGCACATGGGCCGAACTGTCCAATCTCTGCAATAGTTCATTCTTAGACGCTCGCCTATCTTTTATTCTCTCGCTCTCCTGTCTGATGAGGCTTTCCACCCATGCTGCACTGTACGCTTTTGGCGGCTTCAGCCGTATTGGTGCACTCTCGACCATCTTTGTGGCCACCAGCCCTGACTGGCTGTCCCACCAAGGCTGTGAGTTCAGCTGCTCATTGATATCCTTGCATTTTTGCAGCGCACTGGTGTAGATGACACTGAGCGCAAATATTAGCAGAGTGGTAGAACCCTGGTGATTTGCCAGCAGGATACATGTACTCACGCATCGTCCTCTGACCCAGGCTGGTACCATTTGCTCCAAGACGGGGAGACTTCTATCCTGTCCATGAGTGCCCTGGTTCTGAATATGAGTAATGTTACTACTATGCGCCGAGATAGAAATGGGTGTGTGGTAGAAGCTTAGATTTAATTATAATTCAGCTCTCGCCTAGTAGCTCAGCACGCAAAAGACTGATAGGCAGCAGCATCGACATCGGACCCGCCTCCTCACGCTGTACGACCAATCAATTCGTCTCCCATCATCTTCCCCTCAGCTACAGAGTACAGAAAACCACTTAACCAAAAGCAGTCGGCGGTAAGCCTGTGATATGCGGCTCATACTGGCCAATACACGAGCCACCAAGTGAACAAATACATGTAGTTGGAGGCTACACTCTCTCATCGCGACTGCAGAGAGATGGCCCAGAGGACAGTGTCTTTGTCTTCCTCAGACTTGGAATACAGGCCGCGTGCTCAACGACAAGATGCATACCCTACTCACACCCCATATGCGACCCGTCGCTCCCCCTCCCGCGACGAGAGTCCGGTGGACAGCCGCGATTCCTCCCTTCACTCAGAACGCTTTGGAAACAATATTCTCGACTTCAAACTCAACGGCGGGATCAGGGTGATTGAGATATGGTCAAAACATCTTGTGGACGCCATTGAAAAAGTCAACAAACACCCGCCCCTGCGGCCAACAAAGGGTTTCTTCAGTGAGCAGGAGCCGTATCCTACCCTCTTCCACCATATGGACGATATCAAGGCGGAAATCGCTGAAATGGACGGTCAAGCTCCACAAGAGCATCTAGAGGCACTACAAAGAGACTTAGCCTATGTAGAGCCCATCTGGATGGAGGCACGTCAAGAACCAAGCGACATGGTGAGCTATGACATGATATGGAGTCTTTTTCGCCCTGGTGATCTTGTTCTCCGAGAGGATAAAATCGGTAACCTGTGGCTTTTGGAATTCATTAATCTTACCTACACTATTAGTCAGAGTAGGCAGAGGGCAGGCCAAACAGAGAAGAAGACATCTTTGAATACCTTGTTGATTAACAGGAATGAGATCACTGGCAACCTTATTAAGGATCACATGCCGTTTGATCTTCCTGGATTCTCCGGTAAACGGCACATCACGTCACTGCCTATTTATCCAATTCGCTACCAAGAAGACGTGGCAAGAAAAAGTATCCAAGAATCGCTTGCTAGAAGGGGTAGGAAGTGACAGGAGCTCATTAACGCGGCGTCGATCTGCCAACACCATTGCGGGCTTGCATTCAAAGAAAGCAATAGGCTGGGCGCTAGTTGGAAAATATTTCCAGTGAGTTACAGCAATTCCGTGCATTCGGCAGGACAGAATTCTTGCGTCAGGCTTTGTTGACGAATGTCAGGCGGACGGCAGAATCGTAATTGACAAGAATTCAAAAGATTTGGCGTATATCGCCGCCATACTCGGATCTGAAGATGGTCGGCGTGAGCCCGAGCCCGAAGCCAGGGTCAGACTTGCTGCATCCACAACGTTGAGTGATGAGCAGGCCATGCTTTGCCCAGCCGTTGTGGGATGTCACAACTTGAAAAGCAAGCAGACGTATACCGTCGGTGTTGATAACCTGCAGCCAATAGAATGGAACAAAGACGCAATGGATCATCTGGTGCTGGACACGAGAAAGAAAGATATGCTTAAAGGCCTTGTGCGCCATCACTCAAGTCGAAACCGTCGCAGTGAGAGAGGAGATCTCATTGCGGGCAAGGGACGGAGCCTTGTTATTCTCCTCCATGGGCCACCAGGTGTCGGTCCACCTTTTTTCTTTAATTCTTCTTCTTTTACCGATCTTCAATTGCTAAAGACTGGACACTGACACTTGATGGTAGGTCGGCAAGACGCTCACCGCGGAGTCAGTTGCTGAGGCTGTAGGAAAACCTCTTTTAGCAATGAGCATTGGCGAAATGGTGTGGGATGAGACGCAGCTCCAAGAACGGTTGAAAACTGAGTTCCAACGCGCCATAGATTGGGACGCAGTTCTCCTCTTGGATGAAGCCGACGTGGTGCTCGAAGCTCGATCATTTGAAGATGTGCGGCGAAACGGCATCGTTTCCAGTTGAGTCTCGGCCCAAGTTCCATCTCTCCATGGTATGGCTACCGTGACTAACCTCTTGCTTCCTTGCAGTCTTTCTCAGAGAGCTGGAATATTACCAAGGAGTCTTATTCCTCACTACGAATAGAGTCAGCACAATGGACACTGCGTTTCAGTCACGCATTCAAATCGGCGTCGGCTTTCGGAGCATGACGCCCAAGATCCGCGCAGATGTCTGGAAGCAGCTGCTCACCCTGAATGGCAGGGATGAGATTCTGGGGCCGGAAGCGGTCAAGAGTATCCAAACGAGGTTGAACAAGTATGAACTGAATGGGCGACAGATTAGAAACGTTCTGAATGTTGCCGAGGGCCTTGCGTTCCAAGAATATGGTGAAGAAGGAAAGTTGAAATACAGGCACATTGAAGACGCTACGAAAGCAGCGGCTGAATTCCAAAAGGTGTTGGAGGAGTCAAAGTCGATGATGAAGCTAGAACAGACTGTGTGGGCACCGTACAAAGGTAGCGACGACGAGTCGATATTCTAGGCTGAATATACAAATGAGATGCTGGGGACACTTGTTGTTCGCTTGCGGAGGCAATTTTCAATGGTAAAGTTTAAATATCTCTTCTTCGTATCATAAAAGGGTATACTTTGCAGCTGCAACTTTGTGCATGCTTTGCACAACAACAACATCTGCTCAATGTGTCTAAAATTTCAACATGTAAACCGCCAAACGCCTGATAAATGCCTCGAATGTCCTTGTGCGCAGCCAATTAAACCTGAATCATGTCTCGTCTTCGCGGCCGTGGGTGATGGACGTGGCGAAACTCGACAAAGCATTCGAATCCGCCCCAGATGATGAATATAAATCTCCATATCCTATCACGAGTCAGACTCAGCATCTATCCGTTTAATGTCCCCACTCTTGGTATTTATAGGTGCACTTACACGACAGCTGTGAGCATCCACACCGAAATGGCCAGCATTTTGTTCTGTGAAAAGCCCTCTCTGCTTATGACATCGGGATCGCCCACTCCGCTGGTGATTTGCGGCGACGAATCGCTCTCGAGGGCGGCAAATGCATCGGCTTGGTACGTGTAGCGCGAGAAGATGATCATGACGATGCCGCCGAGCGATATGGCGAGGGAGAAGAGGTCGTGGAGGAGGGCGCGTGCTGGCGACAGCGGGCTGAAGCCAAAGGCGCGATCGAGCTTGGCGACGACGATGTACGAGTCGTTGAGGATGGCGATGGCGGACTGGAAACGATTCAGTGTTAGCTATGGCTGCGCTGGTGCGATGACGCTATCACGATGGTGACGCCACCAAGCGACTTGACGACTCACCCCCACAAGGCCAGCCGCAACAGCGCCAGCCTTGTCCGACCATTGATTGATGATAAAGGCCAGAATCACCAGCGTCGTCACGCCCGTCATCCAGGCCACCGCCCGGGTGACGATTTGGACGAGGGCATATGTGCCTGGGCAGAAGCTTCTCGTCATTTGGATGGCGGAGGTGGAGACGAGATATAGCGTCGTATCGATGTCGACAAGGAAAATAACGGCAAGAATAAAGACAGAAGCGCTGGACAATGAAGATGAAGGATGACAGAAATCGATAATGGTCAGAAGCTGGCGTGCCTTTTGGTTCGCAGCAGCGCAGCTAAAAGAAAGACGAGAGGTGAAGAAGAAGAAGCGAGCTGAGGCGAGATATTCGGAGAGTGCCCAGACCTAAACGCTGCAGCGAGCACAGCCAGGCCGCCTATGAGGGCTGGCAGCTGGCGCTACATGCAAGTTACGGGCTGTCAGGTCAGTGGCAGCTTGAGCCGCTTCTGGGGATGCGCAGGAGACTGCAGCAGGCCTCATGGGCGGGATTGCAGCGGCATGTATGTGCAGAGGAGTATAGTCGCTGAAGAATGCCCAAGATACGAGGTTGAGTGAGATGTTTGGTTGGCCTCGGCCGGTGCAATTATTCTGTGCTGCGCGGGGAATCAAGAAAGACGAGATCGTGTAGAGAGAGAAAGAGAGGACAAGACTGAGAAATGCACATAACAGACGCCAGTGCGTGGGCTAAACAGGAATCAAGAGAGCAAACGGTGGCTGGCGGCGTGTTGGAGGATACGAGCCAATTGCCTGGCGGTTAGAAAAGAAAATGGCCAGAGGTCAGCAGCCATGATTCGACGAGGCCTCTCCAAGTCAGCTGGCATGATGGCTGCATCTCGCCTTTTCAGCTTTGGGGGCCGGGCTAATATGGTGCTGGTGCTGGTGCTTGTCCCAATGGATCTGATCTACTTCGTATAGCACTGGATCTGCCACTACAACTTCTGACAGCTCCGCGCTGATCCCCGGAATGCTGCAGCTTCCCATCGGCAGTGACAATGAAGCACAATCGCGATCGAGTCCAGAGATGCGGAATGCCGTGAATGCGTGGCTCGGGGTCGCGGCATTGCATCAGACACGAAACGAAGCGGATTTCGCTGCTTGGCGATTGAAAACCAGAGGCTGGGGACCTGAGGCTTGGACGCCACGACACCAGGTACGGGCAATAGCCGCCGTGCCCTGTAGCAGATCCAAGTACTGCTAGTCTTCCATTCGAGCCCAAAATGCGGCCTCCTCCACTGGCATTGAGGTTAGTGGAGGCGCGCTCGATGCAAGGGAGCTTCTGGGCGTCTGGAACCAGCAATGGCCATTCGTATAGAACAATTGGGGCCAATTTACCGAATACGCAGCGGTATTGGCAGTGTTAAGAGCAGCAGTTTGCGAATTGATTCTCTATGCTTTGCGAGATGAATCAGATTGCTTGGGCACAAAGGCGGTTGATTGCCGTCTTACACCACGGCGCCATCTCTGAGATCGCCACGCCTCTCCGCATTTAGGGCGCCGGGCCGCTAATCACGGCGGTTTCTAGTGGCTGCTGCGATTACGAAGCACGGATGCCCCGCCACACGAATCGTATCTCAATCTCGGGCAGGGGAAGAACCGGACTGAGGTGAGGCTTTCCGCATCCACGTAGGAGGCGTTTTGGGCTCTCGGAATGCTATTTCGTAGCTTATCACGAGGCCATCAGGGTTTGCTACGTCACTTCGGTTATACACGAGTAACGAGGCCAGACGCTGCTCTGATGCACTGCGCAGTTCTGAGCTTTCAATCAATCGTCTACAGGTATCCGTACAAATACACTACTTGCTGACGAGCTCTAGAGCTTTCTATCTCCACTGCATGATATCAAACAGGCAATTATTTATAGCTTGACCATGGCGCAGAAAGAAAACCCGTTGAGAGGCAGAACCCAGAGATCCTCCACTCTGGTACAGGAGGCGTACATACAAAACGCGTCATGAAATACGCTTTGTCAACCAGGTTCCGCCAATTCCGCATGGCAAACGGCACTCGATGCCCAATTGCACACATGAATCATGGATCCCGGCAATGGAACAAATACAAAAGCATCCGGGCATTAACTTTCCATTCTTCTTCCTCTCTGAACTACTATACCCAAGTCTTTTGCAACCATATCGCTATTTCAGCTCATACAGTACATATATTTTGCCCAGTGAATAGATCAACCCATATCTGAAACGCGTCCAGCGCCGCTAAAAAAACCGGGCGCCGCCATTGCTTTTTCGAACCCACTGCACAGCTTAGAGCTAGCAAGCCCAAAAAGCGACAACTGGCTTGAGCTAAATCAGCCCAGGCGGTCGCTTTTCCCCTAATCTCTCTCTCTTCTTCCCTTGCAGCTGTTGCGAAAGGCGGGAACCGGGCCGTTTGTTCGACGTACCTTGATCGCCCACCAAAGCCCCGAGCAAACAAAAAGTCTAAAAATTCACTGCATCCAGAAACGTGAATAAAAAAACGTCAAAAACCAACGCCAAGAAAATAACCTGTTTTTCTCTCTCTCTCTTCATCGTTTAATAACGCCTTTTACGACACTTTTGCTCTTTAAAGCCCAGTCGCAGCCACTGATTCGCGGGCACACCCTGGCTCGTTCGTTCTCACCATTTCCCCTCTCTGCCTCACCCGCTTCGCAAAGATGGCGTGTTTTGATATTGATGCCCTGTGTTCCTTTAGTCATCCCGAAAGGCTCGTCGAGATGAAAACCGACCTCGAGGCCACCGCTCACTCGCCCGAGCAGCAGCTCGTTTCTAAAAATGAGCGTCTGGGTCCACGGACGCGAAGTGGGAGCAACTGCCGCAGCGTCAAGCAGCTGTTTCTCGACAACCAAGCGGGTATGTCGCCTCATTTCCCATCAATTCATCAATTGTACTTGCATATCCATGCTGACATGACTGTAGGAATCGTTTTCAATCTCGTACTCCTCCTCTACCTCACCCAATTGATGATTCCCAGAGCCCGGCCCTTCACGAGGCCCTTCTTGTGGTTGTCCCACTACAACCCCGCCACTGGAAAGTACGCGGTTGGCTTCAATGACATTTATTACGTGACTTACTATCTGGTGCTCTTCACTGGGCTGCGCGATGGCCTTATGAATGGCGTTTTGGGCCCCCTGGGACGGCGTTGGGGAATCTCTACAGCCAAGGACGAGGCGCGGTTTGCCGAACAGACGTGGATGATTTGCTACTACTGCTTCTTTTGGCCTCTTGGTGTAGTATGTTGTCGATTTTCGTCTTCTTTTTGAAAAGGTCCATCTTCGTTTGCTAACTTGGCCACAGTACATCTGGTACACCTCCCCCTACTTTCTCAACATGGCCGAGCTCTGGACAGACTGGCCCAGCCGAGAGATTAGCGGCACCATGAAGTTTTATTTCCTCGCGCAGCTGGCCTTTTGGATTCAGCAAGTCTACGTCATCAACATTGAGAAGCAGCGAAAGGATTACTGGCAGATGCTGTCGCACCACATTGTCACTATTGGACTCGTTGTGGCCTCGTATGCCTACCACTTTACACGCGTTGGCAACTTGATTCTCATCATTATGGATATCGTCGACATTGTCTTTCCAGTGAGTCCCACTCAACTTTGGATATTCCAATTCATTAAGTAAAGGCACTAACAATCCACAGCTTGCCAAGTGCGCCAAGTATCTGGGCTTCAACACCCTCTGCGACATCCTCTTTGGCCTCTTCGTCATCGTCTGGCTCTCCACCCGCCATGTCTTCTTCCTCATGGTGATCCGCAGCGTCTACTTTGATGTCCCCGCCATTGTGCCGCAGACCTGCTTCCAGGGCGGCATGCACAATCTACAGGGTCCATTGCCCCAGCCCAGCGGGTGGTCTTGGCTGCTTGAGCCGTTCAAGGATCCAGAGGGCCTGATCTGCTTCAACCAGTACACCTTTACCGGCTTCTTCGGCTACCTCGTTGCGTTACAGGGCATCATGGTGATGTGGTCCTATGCCATCCTCAAGGTCGTTGTCAAGGTGCTCAGCGGCCAAAACGCCGAAGACATTCGCAGTGACGACGAAGAAGAGGAAGAAGTCAGTGGGCTTGAAGAAGAGAAGAACGAAGAGTATGGGTTTCTGGAGGAAGAAGCCGATGTGGACGATGGCATCGTCAAGGCTTGGGAGCGTCGACGCCTGGCCTTGGTCAAGAGAAGCGGCAGCTCCAGCGCCTTGCATCTTCCCGGTCACAGCGATCGTAAGGAGTTTCTCAACCGGATTGGATGCGAGAAGCAAATCGATTGAGCTGGAGAGTAAAGGAATGGGTTATCACCTGATGTTTTCTATTGTGCGATTGATTTAAAAAGTTTTGTTTAAGGAGCGTGGAGCAAAATGGCTTTGTCTTTGCTTTCACAGACGGGCTCTGTATAGATTTGAGCCACGGGGTTTACAAACACATTGCGGGTCTAGATTTACTATGGAAATGAATTCCATCTATTACACTATGAATGCCACATATAGATTTTGGTATTTAACATTGCGATGTGGTGACTGCTATTGGTGTAAGCGAACAGGCACACTTCCTACGGGGATAACGGACCTGCAGCTCCCGAAAGCAATTTCAATTCAAGATCCTTTCAAAGGTAATCTCCGAGAATGAATCTCACTAATGCAGACTATCTTGTAATACCAACGACAGGTCGCAAAGATTGATGTCGAATATTCTGTACTCCTCCAGCCAAGACCAGCCCGCGGGCTCCGAGTCTCAGGGGTCCAGAAAGAGGGTCCAGTCCAGGCTGGAGCACGGAGAATTAGTTTAGCATGGATGGAAGCTTGAGGGCCTCGGAAGGATGTTTTTAGCGTTCTTCAGCCCTGAAAGTCCAGACGGGTCCCTTGCATGCGGTTCGCAGGGTTGATGTGGCCTTTGTGGACGTACATGGAGACGAGGTTTTGGTGGATGTGGCTTTCGGCAGCTGATTCCGGGGGCGCCACGCGCAAAAGATGCTTTTCTCAGTGGACTGCAGATACAAAAACACGAAAAATGGCAGGATTGAATGGAATTGAATAACCTGAGAGAATAATAAATGATGGAGTAAATAAAAATGGCTCTTAGATGGAACATTCCGGGATGAATTGACGCTCTCAGCCGATCCGACTGACTCTCAAAATCGAGTCTGTCGTTGAAGACAGACGTCATCAAGCACTGAAAAGCGTCGGCCCGGGCGACAAATGCCGACGGCACCGAATCCCTTTTTTCCCTCTGTCATTTATAAAGCTGTGCACACGACCAGTCGAAATCCGGCAAGCTGGTGGGCGAGATGCCAAACCACTGCGGCGTTGCATCCATTCCCATTCGGCAAGTTACTAACCTGGTACATGCCGAAACACCCGCCCTCTTGGCACCATTTACATCATTCCGCCGAGCAAAAGCTGCCCAAAGCCGTGTGGAGGAGACGCTATTTGGGTCCATCTGACAGGTCTGGCTGGAGCTTATAAGAGCTGCAAGTACCCTCCAGGTCACCTCTTTAGGCGCCTGTGCTGCCGGCCACACCAACCACTGCCGGCCACTAGTATTTCCAGCTTGTCTTCTCGACTTCAACTTCAACCTCAACCTCAACTTCAACATCGTCACCACCCTTCACAGCCGTCTCGCGCAGCAATGGCTCGGCACGACGCCGCCCCGTTGCTCAGCTCGTCGCCGCCGCCGTCCCAGGCCAACGGCGCTGTCCGTCGCCGAACCCAGCAGCTTGCCGGCCCAACCGAGATATCCGCTGCCACTTCTGCTCCCTCCAATGGCTCATCATCACGCCTCTCGACCGACAAGAAGAAGCGACGAAAGGCCCGCTCGCTGTTCCGCCGCGTCGCCCGCTTCTCCGTCAAGCACACCTGGGTGCCGCCCCTGATCCTGCTGGTCCTCTTCGCCGCCGCCTACGCCGTCAACCCAACGGCCTCGAATCCCGTCCGCCGCTTCATCCTCCTCTCGTACGAGCAGCCCAACCCGCGCGCCCACGTCGACCCGACGCTGCCCGTGCACTACGGCAAGGGCCTCTGGGACGTGGCCTTTGTGGCCTTTTACACGATTGTGCTGTCCTTTACGCGCGAGCTGATGATGCAGGAGGTGCTCATCCCGCTGGGCCGCCTCAACGGCATCAAGAGCCGCGGCAAGCAGCAGCGCTTCGCCGAGCAGATGTACACGGCGCTCTACTTCAGCTGCATGGGGCCGACGGGCGTCTACGTCATGAGCCGCAGCCCCGTGTGGTACTTTAACACGGCCGGCATGTACGAGGCCTTTCCGCACCGCTCGCACGAGGCCGTCTTCAAGTTTTACTACCTGTTCCAGGCGGCCTACTGGGCGCAGCAGGGCGTCGTGATGCTGCTGGGCTTTGAGAAGCCGCGCAAGGACTTCAAGGAGCTGGTGGCGCACCACATTGTGACGCTGGCGCTGATTGGGCTGAGCTACCGCTTCCACTTTACGCACATGGGCATTGCCGTGTACATAACCCACGACATTAGCGACGTCTTTCTGGCAGTATGTTTTCATCTCTTCGTGCTCTTTGATGCTCTTCGTTACTCTTTGATACTGACAGACTTGTAGTTATCCAAATCGCTCCACTACATCGACAGCCCGCTCGTCGTCCCCGTCTACGTCTCAAACATCTTTGTCTGGATCTACCTCCGCCACTACATCAACCTGCGCATCCTCTACTCCATCCTCACCGAATTCCGCACCGTCGGGCCCTACGAGCTCAACTGGGAGACGCAGCAGTACAAGTGCTGGATCTCCAACATCATCACCTTTGCGCTGCTGGCCTCGCTGCAGGCCCTCAACCTCTTCTGGCTCTACTGCCTCTTCCGCAGCATGTACAAGTTTGTCGTCTACAAGATCAAAAAGGACGACCGGTCCGAGTCGAGCGAGGAGGAGGAGAATGCGCAGCTGCAGCCCGAGGCCGAGCCCTTGCTGACAGAGGTCAATGGGTCTGCCAATGGCCATGCCACGGCTGCCGTTGCGAACGGTTCTCTCTAGGGGAAATATTCAGCCCTTGTAAAGTTTTGAATATGTACTCTGCGAGTATCGGATTAAAGTTGAACAATTTCTTTCTTTGATTAAGAGCCCGGCATGGCGAAAAACATTTTACTTTTCTCTCCTTTTGAATTTCTGAACACTTCTACAACTATTTTTCCTTTTACACCAAATTTAATTCATGGCGAATGATGACGACTACAGCAACGACGAAAAAAGAATTTGGACTCTCTCCAGTGTACAGTATCTTGGAGTAACGGTTCGTATATATGCCACGACTTTTGCTAGCCACAGGGACTAGCTTTTTTTCCTTCTTTTTGGAAAATGATGCTGTTGGCTTTTGGATTGTGTTTGGTAGGCGCTGCTATATTGCATGTAGCTGGATGTGCTTACATGAGATCTATTGCATACTAAGTGTGCTTACTATAATATCTAATTTTAAAAGAATTTGAATGAATGATAATAATCTCTGCTGCTGTGACCTGAATCATAATTTGTTATAGGTACGGTTTATTTCACGCCATTGCCACTGATGATCCTGTTCAAACATGCGTTTATATGGCTCTTTCGGCCAGAAAATTCAAGAGACTGCCGACTACCGACCAACGCCTAGATGTATATGCTCTCTCTATGTGCATATATACGAGTTTTATACCCCCAAACCAAAATCAAACCAAACCAACCAGATCATTATCATAACAGCTCATTATCCAGGGCTCTACCGCTCAGAACGAATACTCCTCAACATGGAGATAAATGCCCTGCGCCCCAGTCCCCTTGTGCACCGCCCGCTCATCACTCAACCTGCTCACGCAATTCCTCGTCGTAGCAACAATCTCAGGCCCTCCGCAAACCACCACCGCAGTCTCGCCGTACGCAACCTCCACAGGCTGGCGGATCAACTGCTCAATATCAGGCCGGGTCGTATATTCACGAACGACGGGGAGGCTGGAAATGGCCTTCTCTTGCTGCTCTTGCGTGTCCTTCTCGTCGGCGTTGGTGCCTGTGCAGCAGCAGGATGAGTCTTGGTGGGGCGATGATTTGATGGCTGTCTTGGGGTTGCTTTCACCACTGCTGCTAGCTGTGATGTGGGAAATGTTAGTCTCGTTACGCGAGAGGGGGAGGCCATCGCTACCGAGGGCGGAGTTTGTAATGGCGACGTGGATGTTGATGGTGACGCCCCTTTGCGAGAGGGCATCGCCTGCTTTTTGCGCGCGCTGGACGTAGTATTCGATTTCTCGGTATGTTCTGGCTACGAAGAGCACCTCGATCCGCTTGACGCAGCCAACAAAGTCGGCTTGAGCGGCAGCCTCTAGTAAAGGCAGTGTGAAGCTCGCACCCGTAGATGCTCCTATGAGGACCATGGTTTCGTAAATGTCCCATCGAGGGGGTGCGCCATACGGGCCGGAGAGGAAGCCAGTGAGAGAAGCCTCCGGGTTCTTGGAGGCGTAGCTGTGGATGCGCTTCGAGAAGCCCTTGTGCTTGCGCAGGATGAGCTGGACGCTGTTGCAGCAGCATGTTCCTTCGATTCTGCGTGCGCAGGCAATGGTGTATGGGTGTGCTTCCAGGGGGCCCAGGCGCGGAATCCACAGGTAGACGTGCTGGCCAGGCGTCCAGGCAAAGTGGACGTCCTTGATGGTGACGACGGTGGTGGTATCGGCCACTGCTCGGGCGAGGATTTGGTGACCAACTCGTCGTCTGCCCTGGCATGCTGATCCGCCGGTCTTGAATCGCAGATTCTGCCACAGGAGAAGCGCCCAGCGAGCGGCGCGGTCAAAGACGAGGAACGCAACGGCCAGCCAGAAGAGGAAGCGGGCGTTTGTGGGAACGTGCAGATAGACGAGCACCAGCATCGCAATGGACGCGGCAACGTGCTGCAGCACCCAGACCTCGTACGCCAGCCTGCGGATGGGCACGAAGCCAATCACCACATTCCACAGCAGGATGGCCCAGGCGCCCAGGCCGTACTTGACCATGGGCATCGTCTCCATCTCCAGCTCGACAAAGTCCGCAAGCACCCACTCGGTCCAAAAGTGGAAGCCATGCACCGTCGCCGTGACAAACATTGTGCGCGCCACCCAGCGATGCAGCCAGTTGAGCCGCTCATGGCCCGTGCCGATCAGAAAGCCGACAATGTTGACCTTCATCGACAGCAGGAAGATCATGGGCAGCTGCGTCAGCGTGACCCAGGCGTTGCGGTAGCCGATGCGCTCCCAGAAGTTGACGTCGTGGACGACGGCGTGCCAGGACATGAAGTAGGCGATGACGGACCAGTAGACGAGCAGCACCAGGACGCGGCCCAGGGGAGGGGGCGTGAGCCAGGACAAGTGGCGGACGGGCACGAAGAACTGCGGGAGGGAGATTTCGCGGACGATGGCGGTGGTGGTGGCCCATAGCTGGGAGAGGAGGGTGTTGGGGCGGGTTGGATGCGGGTTTGAGGCGGGATCGCGGGCGGCTTTGAGGCTGGGAATGAGGTTAGCAGAGGATATCAGAGGATCTGGAAGGTTGTGAACGTACCGCTTGAGGGCGCCAATGTGGTTGATGCCGCGGACGGCCATTAACGAAGCCACGACGACGGCGGTGATGTACCAGTAGGCGCGGGCGAAGCGGTGGTTGATGTCGGAGCCCATGCCCGTCATGCCATCGCCGCTCATGTCCATGCCGTCCATGTTGGCGGTTTGTGAGGAGATGATGGTGTTTGGATAGCTGGATGATGGAGGCGAGACAGAGTGTATATTAGCCAGCTAACAGTCTACTGATGCATCTTTTCTTTTGAGAAACTCCCAGTCGTGAGGGGCTCTTTTGTCGCTCACTCCTCTTGTAATATTGCTGCAGATTCGCCGACTGTCTTGTCGTGCCGGTATTCCGAGATGGTGAGAATTAGCAGAAGCGATAGATGAGGTTGATGAGCAGGTTTCGTCTGCGGCGGATCAACTAGTTGGCCGAACTCTCTCAGAAACGGTGTGGGGTAGGAGAATTCCAGGCTCCTCTTGGTGGAGTGCAGCTTGGCTACTAGGAGCAGAGGTGTAGTAATTAATGTGTGAGTGGTGTGCTTGTAAGTGGGCGGAATCAAGTTGCTAAAACGGGCATTTTATGCCTGCAGCGGCCGTTTTCTGTTGATACGAGTTTGATTGTTGTTACTATGAATGATTGAAGCAGCTGGATGGAGGCTCTTGTAGCTAGTTTCAGTTTCAACAGTCGAGGTGCTACCACGAGTCGCGTGTTTCATAACAAACAACAAGAAAGTCATTCTCTAAATCCCCATAGTATGTCTCTCTATTCAATGGTCTATCTCACAGCATCTCAAGTCCAGCATCTCCAGCATCTCCAATCCCAAACCTCCGCCTCGAGCATCAAACAGCTCGAACCCCCCAAATATCCACCACCATAAACTTGCTCAAATGCTCTCAGATGGGCTCAGACGGGTAGCCTGGCCGCTGCTGATTCGCCAACCGCGCTGCTAGTCCCTGTCCTGGCTCCCCCGCCATTCGGAATCCGGAAATCAGCCCGTGCATTTAATTGGAGAAGCGACCGTTGGAACGAGCCAGGGCCAGGCTAAAATGGCAGCGAGTAGGAGATTTTTAGCAAGGGCCATATGGTGTTTTGTATGCTTAACCTAATTTGCTCCTTGAGGTCCCAGGCGCTTTGACGCTGGCGGACGAACCGTTTGATGGATGCTACGCTGCGTTGGGACGTTGAATCGGGATGCTGCTGGACATGGCCAAGAGAATCAACGACATGCCAGTTGCCAATATAGAGACAATGATGTATTGTTGAATCGACTCAATCAACTCAGTCATCCTCAAACATGACTTGACTCCTAGTTTGCTCCCAGTTGGTGGCTCAAATACAAACAAGCTCCGTACAACCCGATGGACCGAAATATCTTGCTCAACCCTCCAAGCTACCGTTTCAACGCCGCTGCCCCCCTTGCCGTAGCACCATTTCCTCTCCCGAATGGGTTCAGTTCTAGTGGTGCCATGTCCCTATTCGGACGGGCTGGTGGAGCGTGCTCTGCTCTGTCGAGGGGGAGAGTTGCTTTGTGCTCCCCAGCTGCAGTCGGTGTATGAATAAATACAGCTGGCAGCCTCGCCAAGCCTTTTCCCTCTTCTCCCTTTCAACCTCACTCCTCTCCAACCTCGCCTCCAACCCACATCTTGTACCAATTCCATCTCTTCTTCAGCTTCCACCGCCAAAATGCGCGTCTCCGCCATCCTCCCCGCCGTCCTCTCCCTCGCCTCCGTCTCCTCGGCGCACTTCCTCATGAACTACCCCGACTCCATCGGCTTCGACGACGACAAGGAGGGCACCGCGCCCTGCGGCGGCTTCACGCCCGACATCTCCTCGGGCTCCAAGCAGCTCGTCGACTTCCACGTCGGCGGCGACTCGCTGGCCATGCGCGCCACCCACAACCAGGTCACTTGGCTGTTCCGCGTCACGCTCGACGGCACCGCCCAGTCGGGCTGGAAGCAAATCTTCCCCATTGTCCAGCAGAGCGGCCTGGGCGACTTTTGCGAGCCGCACATCACGCTGCCCGCGAGCTATGCCGGCAAGAAGGGCGTCATCGGCGTCGTGACGGATGCGCCAGACGGCCTGCTGTACCAGGTATGTCGGAAACCATCTCCTGACGGGATAAACAGCTTCTAACAAGACAAACAGTGCATTGCTGCCAACTTCGTCTCGGGCTCCGTCGACCCGCCCTCGGCCTGCAAAAACGCCTCCATCACCGCCAGCTTCGTCAGCGACTCCAAGCTCTCGCCCCTCGTCTCCGGCAGCGTCTCCGGCTCTGGCAGCTCCTCCAACAGCACCGGCGGAGGATCCTCCTCTACGCCCTCGAGCACTCAGAGCAGTGCCGCTGCGGCCACTACCTCGGGCAACGCTGCGCCCGGCCATCTCTCGGCCTGGTCGGTCTCTTCCTTTGGCCTGGGCAGTGCTTTGACCGCTGTGTCCATGGTTCTTGCCGGTGGCGCTTTGATGATTTAAGGACTGAAAAAGCGAGATTTTTATGGCATTTAAAATTTGATTTTTTTTTGTTGTTATGAGGCGACGTATAAAAATTCCGGCCCAAGGGTACATACCGGGAACAGGCAAAACTGAATAATGATTTTTTCTTAATGAGACATGGTTTTTGAATCGAGACTTGCTGTGAATTGATGTTGCTGATTTGGAGCAATTGCTTCTTTGCAAGTTTATGCATCTTCAAGGTATTGGCTTCATATTGTGTACAAACTGCTAACCACCGTCGCAGACAGAAAGACGTCTATCGAGGCTCAGGGAATTCATCACTTGCTTTTATATTTCACCGTGAATTGATGTCGCCGATCTGGACTCGATTGCTTCTTTCGCCTCTTTTTCATACATGGCTTCATGCTGTTACGCAGATTGCTAACCGCTATTGCAGACACGAGATGTCGTCTACTGAGGCTCACCACGGAATTCATCGCTCACCACGTGCATCACCACTCCAGCTTACGGAATCTGATGGCAGAAACCGCTCTCAATTCTTACTGTCCCCACTGCTGCCTCGTCTCCACCCACACTGGGACCCATTCGTCCACCGCCACCAACTCTGTTCCTGAACTCAACTCCAACCTCCGTGGTTGTACACATACAGGCTCTGGCTGCGATACTCGCGCTTGAACATGGCCAATTGGCGTCGTACCGTTGACTTTGCGTGCTGCATCAGAGGCTGAATGCTGGCGGATCAAGCCATACGGCAGAATCACTGTAATTGAGCCTGCGCAGGTATCAATGACCGCTGCTTCACTACATTCGCGACTGTGCTGCCAAGTCGTCTACACGCCGGAAGCCTAGCTTTCCATCTTTTATACTTGTCTTGGTTTTATTTTCTGGCTATAGTTTTCAATATCAAGCCTCATTATCCATTTCGAAGCCTCGTGCGTCTTTTTGCTTGAACCTCTGCTACTTTGGCTTGCCCAGCCTCCAACCTTGTCCAAACTCTACCATGGACGAGATTCGCGTTGCCGGCCACAAGATGGCGTCGGCCCTATTATACCAAAATGCAGCCAGCCCAAACTCAAATGTCTACGATGAATATGCCTCCCATCTCCAAGATGCCGTCTTTCGAAAACCGAGCCTGGCAAACTGCTCCTCGTTGACAGTCATGAAAGACCTCACCGTTACTTACGCGCTCACAGCGCTCTCTGCGGTCATATTCACTCTTTACGTCAGCAGACATACTGTCAAGTCCCAGCTGCCTCTGTGGCTCCGGCCATTTGCCCAAGAACAGGCCCCCGATGGCCTCAAACGCAAGTTCTGGTCCTTTTGGACTTTTCCCCTGCTTCTCATCAGCGTTGCCGGCCTGGTCCTCTCTTTGGTTCCCGTCATCATCCACCCTACTTGCCATGTCTATCTCTGGGAAATGGCCCCATGGGCTTGTGCTCTTCTCATCACCGTCCTGGAACGTCCGACAAAGACGCCTCGGCTGCTGTTGGTTCAATATGTCTGTATCCTCGGCGCCAGCACTACCATCTACGCCACCCGTTTCTTGGACCGCACTCTTTTCGGCATCGACCCCTTTCGGCTCGCCAGAATGGCACTCTGTCTTGTATCCATCGTCCTAATCGGCTCCATGCCCATCCGCGAGCCGTCCTGGGGCAGCAAGGACATTGGCCAGCCCGGCATCCAGCCTTCGCACAACCTCCGCAGCCCCGAAGACAATCTCAGCCTCTTCAGCTTCTGGAGCATGAGCTGGGTGAATCCCTTGGCCAAGGCATCCCGCAAACGAGAAATCACAGAAGAAGACGTCTGGCAGCTGCCCTTTGAATTCCAACACACCCGGCTGTACATGGCCTTTCGAGAGCTCAAGGGCAAGCTCCTCCTCTGTCTTATCGAAGCTAACGGCTTGGATCTCTCAATCGCCACGTCGCTTGCTGTTGCCGAGAGGGTTGCTGAAGTGTCCAACATTCGCCTCACCAGCAAGCTGTATGGCGCTCTGGACTCGAGCAACCCCGTTGATGCTACCTTTTGGTGTGGCGTGATGCTGCTTCTTGATGTGTTTCGCCAACTGTGCAAGACGACGTCTGGTTGGTACTCGCGCAAATCGTATGAACGGTCTCGTGGAGAAGCCTTTATCGCTCTCTTTGGCAAGCTGCTGACGCGAGCTGTTCCCGGCTCTGACATTACCGAAAAGGGACCCGATGACGAACTCCCTCAAGTATCTAATGGAAAGTCTCGAACCTTTTTCGGAAGATTGTTTGGAAAATCCTGTTCGAAACAGAAGCCTACAACAGCCTCTGCTCCAGCTTCCAACGCAAAAGTCGTCAACCTCGTTCGAGGCGATACATATGAAATCTCCCAGCGCTTCTGGGACTTTTCCAAGCTCGTCGCTCAGCCCATCAAGGTCATCGTCACCATGTACTACCTCATCGACATCATGGGCTGGCCTTCCGCCATTGGCTTTGTCCTCATGATTGTCTTCCTCGCCATCAACTCGGCGCTTGTTCGCAAGCTGATCCACCTTGAACGCCAACGAACTGCCTTTTCCGACAAGCGCGCGCAGGCAGTCTCTCACTTTGTCGAGGCCAGTCGTCCGTTGAAGCTTAATGGCTGGACGTCTTCGTGGAGTGCTAGAATCATGAAGTTTCGGGCACTGGAAATGGCCAAGCGTTTGAATATTGCTCATGTCACTGCTGGCATTTCCACCGTGAGCGTGACTGGCGGAACGTCTTACCCACTTGCCAGTATCGCTCTGTATACTCTCATTCTGAAACAGGGTCTGCCAAACGACGTCATCTGGCCCTCGCTCCAACTCTTCTCCCAGCTGGAAATGAGTGTCAAGGAAGCATTCGATCTCATCTCTGCGTACTGGAAATCTACCATCCCGATTGAGCGTGTAAACAAGTACATGAGCGAGCCCGACAGAGACGACATCTCCAACAGCCCCAGCAACGCCACAGATATCGAATTCCGTGACGCTTCCTTCTCTTGGCCCTCGACGGGAAAACTCATTCTCAGAGACGTCAACCTAAAATTCAGCAAGGGCCTAACTGTTATCCGAGGCAAAGTTGGTTCTGGCAAATCCAGCCTCCTTCTCGCCGCCCTCAACGAAATGGAGCTTCACGAAGGCGACCTCATCAGACCCGACGTCCCAGTAGCCTACTGCCAGCAACTCCCATGGCTCCAGAACAAGACGATTCGCGAAAACATCCTCTTCCACCAGCACTTTGACGCTGCTCGATACCGCCAGGTCCTCCACGCATGTGCTCTTTTGCCCGATCTCGCCTCGCTGCCTGACGGTGACCAGACAAAGCTCGAAGAGGGCGGCATTGGACTCTCTGGGGGCCAAAAGGCTCGCGTGGCCCTTGCTCGAGCAGTGTACAGCCACTGCAAGATTCTTCTCCTGGACGACCCGCTTGCTGCTTTGGACCACGATACCGCCTCGGCCATTGTTCGCCGCTTTCTCCAGGGTTCCCTTGCTCAAGACCGCACAATTGTCATGATCACGCACAGAGATGATCTCGTCCTCCGTATTGCCGATCAAGTGATTGACTTGGACGATGGCGAAGCAACTGTCCTTTCGGCACAGGAGATCAAAGACGAACTCGAGCACCCGTATCACGAATCTGGAAAGACAACCCACGACGACACCGAGGCATCTCACGAGATCCACGCCCAAGATATTGCCGCGCTCAAAGACGCCCCCGAAGAGCCGTCAAAAACAGGAAGCGTCTCGCTCAGCGTCTATCTCGAATACATGAAAGCAGGCGGCTGGCACCTCTGGATCCTCCTCGCCCTCGCATACGGCCTGTCCCGATTCATGGACATCTCACGGGCCCGACTTCTGGAAGCATGGGGCGCAGACTCCGTCGGCAGCGGCAAGAAGAGCCCCTACTGGGGCCTTCCCAACCCGGAGAACCACGCCCAGGCCTGGATCCTGGTCCTCTCCGGTCTCTCGGCAGGACAGATCCTGACGTATGCCGCCGCGCAGCTGCTGCTGGCGAGAATCAGCGTCAAGGCCGCGCAGGGCCTCTTCAAAGCGGCCATCGACAAGGTCAGCCGGGCCACGTTCCGCTACCACGACACGACGCCGACGGGCCAGCTTAAGAACCGCCTCATCGCCGACATGGGCATGGTGGACGGTGGCATCGTGGCGCCCCTGGAGTCGTTTGTCTTCAACCTGATTGCGCTGGTCATGAGCCTGGTTGCCATTGCCACGCACCAGCCGCTGCTGCTCGTCATCCTGGCCATGGTGGCCGTCGCGTTTGTGCACTTCTTCCGCATCTACGTGCCCGTCTCGCGGTGTCTGCGCCGCATGGAGATGCGCTACCTGACGCCCATCATCGCCAACATCGGCGTCATGCAGGACGGCCTGGTGACGATCCGCGCGCTGCGGGTCGAGCAGCGCTTCCAGGACCGCCACCTCGACGCCGTCGACGACTTCCAGAAGCAGGACCACTTCTTCTGGAGCATGGCCTTTTGGCTGGACCTGCGCCTCAGCTTCAGCTCCATCGCCACGCGCACGGCGCTGATCCTGTTCATGGTCTGGCGCCACATGCCGGCGAGTGCCATAGGCTTCGTGCTGACGCAGACGAGCGTCGCCATGGCGGCGGTGCAGCAGCTCTGCGAGCGGTTCGCGCAGCTGCAGCTGGACGCCGTGTCCCTGGAGCGCGTCAACATGCTCAAGGAGATCCCCGAGGAGCCCCACGGCGACCAGGACCCCCCTGAGGGCTGGCCGCGGCCCTGCGACGACGTCACGTTTGAGCGCTTCTCGTTCAAGTACGACGCCCACCTGCCGCCGGTCCTCGACAACGTCTCCTTCTCCATCCCCGGCGGCTCGACCTGCGCCGTGCTCGGGCGGACCGGCTCCGGCAAGTCGACCGTCGCCAACGCGCTCCTCATGACGCAGGCGCCGGCCCACGGGACGCTCACGATTGGCAGCGTCGACGTCGCGCAGATGGACCGGACGGCCCTCCGCAACCGCGTCACCTTTATCCAGCAGGATCCCACGCTGTTCCCCGGCACGCTGCGCGACAACATCGACCCGGCGGGCGACTTTTCCGACGCGGCCTGCTCAAACGCCATCCACCGCGTGCTCGGCGCCTCGTGGAGCCTCGACTCGCCGATTGATGCTGCGGGCAAGAACCTCAGCCAGGGCCAGCGGCAGCTCGTGGGGATTGCGCGGGCGGTGCTGCGGCGGAGCGGGCTGGTCATCCTGGACGAGGCGACGGCGTCGATTGACCGCATGACGGCGGCGACGGTGCAGCGCATCCTGAGGGCCGAGCTGGCGGACAGCACCGTGATTACGATTGCGCATCGGCTGGAGGCTGTAGAGGATGCGACGTGGTGTTTGAGGCTGGAGGGGGGGAGGGTTGTGGAGTGTGGTCCGGCGAGGGATTTGGGGGAGTGATGGATTGTGTATTTGTATGATGAGTGGTTTGTTTATATTTGTGTGGAGTGTAGAATATAGATGATGGCGTTAGTACTAGCGAATTGATGGTGTTTGGGTGCAAGACTTTGACTGATGATTGATAATTGCCTATTAGTATGCCCTGGGTTGATATCATGTATTGATGCTTCGAATAGACCTGATGAGCATCAGCATAGTCATATAGCATGTTGGATGTGAGTTAAGATTGTCTTGTTCAAGGCTGTGTCCATCCTGGTTTCCTATTGGCCATGCATGACTAAAAACCCAAATAGTCAATGTCACTATCCTTGTTGAACATTCTAATGTCAGGTACTTTCATTTCCTTACTAGGCGAGACACACAAGTCTTACGGATACAGCACGGATTCAACATTGTTACATAAAGAGAAGTGAGTGGTATTCATAACTAATGATAGGGTACAGTGGGCTGACATATCCCACGTTCCTCTTCATTCCTTGCTTAAGTGTCAATCTTGGTCAGTTGTACAAGAATATTATCCACCTCGTTCTGGGCATTAAGCTGCTTCACCAACTCCAAAAACTCCTTTTGCTTTCCAAACTGTTCATACTCCTACAACCACAATTAGCAAAAACCGCAGTCAACACCTCAAAGTCATACAACATACCTCTTTGCTCTTCCACCCAATCAAGCCCAGAAATTCAGCCGCATCCTTCTCGATTCCGCCCGCCTGGTACGAGGGTATGTTTGCTCCAAGCAGCTGCTGGATTTTCTTCCACGTCTCTGCCGTCCCGCTGGCGGCCTGGCCCTTGATAATCTGCGTGAGGTTCGAGGATAGGCAGTCTGTCGATCTGTTTTCGGCCTGGAAGAGTTGAGGCGAAGGCGCTGCCGCGACTAATGGCTTGACAACGTTGAAGAAGCCCAGGAAGGCATCCGAGGATGGGTAGAAGCCGTGAAAAGACTCTACATTTTCCCACTCTGGAATTTTACACGTTATGTCAGCACCATGAACAACAAACAGATAAAAAAAAAATTTTAAAAATGAAATTCGGGCGTACCAAGGGAAAGTACACTTCTGTGGGTGCTTGGATCAACAGCCTGGCCATTCTCCTCCAAAAGCGGTCCCCGCAAGAGGTTCAACAGGCCTGGAACTCCCTTGATGGTCGAAAACATTGTGGGCGCGGCTGCTTGCAGCGTTGCGAGCGTCTCGGGGTCCAGCTTGAAGACTGGGAATACGACTTCGGTGATGGGCATTTTGGCGGTATCGTGATTCGACAGATGTAACGATGTAAGTGATTTGTATTTCGGGCGACAGTTGTAGCTCGATGTATGTGATGAGAAGCAAAATTGTATAGCTCTTCTCCTCTTTTGACAAAATAACCGGAGCTACTCATGCATATATATATATACCCAACAACCACAAATCGATACCTGATACTACCAAGGCCGGGATATCCTCAAGACTCCGGATCTGGATCCATTTGCGTCCGCGTTCCACTTGTTCCCGCAGCGATTGACGTGCTTCCTATAAGCTATCAAAGTTTAGCAGGGGGTCGCATCTCGGACTCGCTTGTGCTGGGGCTCCTTCAAGGTGGCTCTTTTGACTCGCAATCGAGTTATGGTGGTCAGAATGGCTCATCTGATGCTACTCTGAACCTGATCGGCTATCCACTGGGCGAAAGTGGTTAGTGTGTATAAGCCTAAGCCTTGTTGCAACCATACGCTTCTAACCAGGTTGCCAAGTTATGGTGTTGTAATTTACAATAGATCGAGTCAACCTGTCAACTAGATTGCTTTCATTTTTGCAGTTCCGGCAGTTTAGGAGAACAAGGGTGTAAAAGCCGTAATGTGATGTACCTCGTCTTTCTACATTTTACACACACGGCATCTTCACTGCAAATCCACTGTAAGCTCGTTCTACCCTTGTTGCAAAATGCAGTCATTGCATGCGTCTGCAGGAATATCCTCACACATTCCTATTTGAGTCTCCACTGCAACTATATGCTAGCTACTTGAATGTACTGCTTATTCCCTCATATGCCCAAGTGAAGCAACCAGATCGAGTTGCCGTACAATAGTGTGTACTACTCACTCTGTTGTAAGCGTAGTTCAGTCTCTTGCTCAAGAGGTTACATGCAGCCCTGCTTAGAAAAGAAATGACCTCTTTTCTTCAACTCTGTATATATAAAAATCCAAATCAAATTCTGACTTGTAACAATGCTCAAATCCGGTACATTGAACCATGTTAGACGAGGTGGAGAACGTACGTAATTGACAGCTAGTAATCCCCGTTACGATCCTTCGGCATCTCACTCAAGGTTATCCTCGGAAGTTGTGTATGCGAATTCCGATATTCTTGCTCCGATGACATGAAATCGAGAATTTTCCGCGGTAATAAGAACAAATTAGAAAAAAGAAAAAAGAAAAAAACAAGAAAAAAAAGTAGCTGTTCCTTCTATCGAAAGGATTCAGGGTAACTCTTAAACTCCCGAGCTGTCAACCAGTGCCGGCTCCATTTCACAGTTATTTAATCTACACTAGCGGAGACTGACATCTTACGCCCCATTTTTAGGGTAGCCAAGATGGCACCCAACGCTCGAGCAAACAGCCTGTACATTGTAGAAAATAAACATGTGAAAATAATTCTTTAATAGGTCCACAATGTCAAGTCATCACCACATATATTTACACATCGTCTCTTCTATAAGACTGAAAGCCCAAGGCTGTCGAGTCATTACATGATTATTCTGCTACCTCCTATGCTCATAATGATGCTTTATAAAACGTGTCTGAGCAAATATACGGTGCTATGCAAACCAAACCGTGCCTCTCCAACGCCATGTGGCACATGCCTTCGTTTCTATCAGAGTGGCTGTCATTAATCATTCGAGTCTTTCTCACCCAGCATCCCAGTTTGTGACCAATCCAAGATAATACAACACTCCAACACGCATCTGGACCCTGGTTCCAGTCCTCAACAGAAGACAAGCAAGATTAAAAACGAGGAGAGAAATTTAAACCAGGCCAGCCTCCCTCCAAGAGTCTAGCCATGCCTTCATCAGACCATATTACAATTGGTTATTCCTTTTCAAATTCTTTTCCAAACGACAAACGCTGCACGCATGTTCTTGTTGCTTATACTTCTTCCGTTTCGACTGCCTCGTAATCGCCTCGGGTTCTTATTCCAGTGATGCTCATAAGAGTGGGCGTCTCGTACATTGCTGTGTAGTCAACTTTACTGCCACCAAGCGATGCCTGTCCTGGTTCCCGCTGACCAAAGATGGGGGCTGAATCACACCAAAAGTCTTTGCAGTTGGTAACGCAGCCCCTGCTGTAGGGGTTCTTCTTCTTGCGCTTGTTCTTGGCGGTAGCGGCGCCACGGCCGGTAATAGTCTCAATAAAGGGATCGACGCCGAGGAGTTGACTCCACTGCTTGATGAGGCCGCCCTTGTGCTTGTGCCCGTGGCCATGGCCAGCGTGAGCACCGCCTGGTGTTGCAGGAGCTGTCACAGACGGGTGGTTGGGATCGAGCGGAGCGCCAGTAGATGTAAAGGCGTTGGACAAAGAGGTATTGGCGCGGATGCCCGTCATGTTCTCGTACGTAGTCATGGCACGAGCAACCTGGATGAACTGGGTAAAGACAAGCATGGAAACCCATGTAAGCTGAAGGGATGCCCATATGGCGAGGCAAAGTGTGTAAGGATCTGCGTTTATAACTCGGCAGGTATTGGGTCCGAAAAGAAAGCATGAATCTGGGGCCTCGGGCGTGATTTGAGCATAATCTAAAGAGTAAATTGTTAGCAACAATACGTCAATGGTTTGGGAGAGCTCAGTCATACAATAATACAGCAGCCAGTCGTATAGGGGAATTCCGACAGTGAGAGAGATTAGGTAAAAGAAGAAATGGCGGTGGTTGTTGATGCCAACGCAATTGTTGATCCATGGGCAGTGACTGTTCGCTGTTAGCTCGCTTGCCCCTTGACATCAATACGGGCCCAACTTACTGGTCATGCTTGGCCACGCATCGCTGGCAACGACGGCAGTGCTTGCTTCGAAGCGGCGTTCGAATCATACAGACGACGCAGAAGTTGGCATCGTCGTATTTCCACGACTTGAGAAGCTCGTCAATGACAGCTTTCTGCTCCGCAATGCCATTCATCTTGGGCACAAAGCCTGGATCGTATCTCATGGAAGCGATATAGAAAAAGGCCGTCAGCCCAAAGGCGGCTCCAAAGGCGAGATTCAAGAGGGTATGCGAAGATCCACCCCACCATCCAATGGTAGACGGCAAAATGACCGTGAGCCAGCTAAAGCCAACCAGAAACAGCGACCCTGCAAAGATTCCAGCCATCCAGGGAGTCTTGTGGAATGATCGCATGTCGGACGGAGCATATTCAAGCACCTGCTTTGCAACGTACAGGAGGCCGTATGCCGCGCCCACCGACAGCGGTAGACCAAAGTATATGGCACCGTGGGACAGGATCAGCAGCGTCATCCAGACCATCAAAAAGGGCCACAGGAACATGAATTTTGTAATGAAAGCCTTCTTGTCCTTCAAAAAGTAGCTCGCACCCGGCCACGGAGGCACGGCGACATGTCCGTCCTGGTCATAGCCGCACTCGCGCAGCGCACGGTGCCAGGCCGGCGTGGTGTTGAGCTCGGTCGCGGTGAGGGCCGGCGTCTTGCCCGTGTCGGTCTTGGCAAAGCGGTCGGCGCCGTACTCGATCATCTTGAGGACGCAGGCGGCATTGCCCTTGACCAGGGCCCAGTGCAGCGGGGTGAAGCCCTGCTCGTCGGTGGCGTGGACGTTGGCCCCCCATCGCAAGAAGATGTCCACCAGCTGCGGGAAGCCCTTGTAGGCCGCCCACATGAGCGCCGTGTGGCCGTAGCTGTCGAGGACGTCGACGGGGATGCCCTGGTGCAGGAGCAGGACGATGAGCAGCACGTTGCCGTTGAAGGTCGAGATGTGGAGGGTGTTGTAGCCCTGGGAATCGGTAATCAGAGGGTCGGCGCCGCGCTGGAGCAGCAGGTTGACGGTGTAGAAGTGGCATCGCTGGGCCGCCCACTGCAGAGGCGTCGCAATGGACTCGCCGCCCTTTTTGTTGAGCTCGCCGCCGTGCTCGATGAGGAATGCGCACATGGCATACTGGTTGTTGATGGCAGCCCACTGTAACACACATGTCAGTTGTAGCTCTGGATTCTGGGCCAAATGTGCCATGTTTCCGATTGCAGCTTTGGCCATAGCTTGGCCATAGCATTGCCATAGCTTGACCACAGCTGCGGCTATAGCCAGAGCAGAACTGCACTCACATGTAGCGGCGTGATGCCCTCGCCGTCGGTGTATGTGGCGTCGAACTCGCCCGACTCAAACAGCTTCTCCATGCCCGGGATGTCGCCAATGCGGGCCAGCTGCATGATGTCGTTCTCGGGCGCGGCCTCGTCCGCCGGCAGGCTGCCCATCTCCATCTCGCTGTTGAGCTTGGGCACGGCGGCTGCGGACTTGGACGACGGTTGCATTCGCAAAGGCGCGGCCGCGGCGGTGGTGGATGAGGCGGCCGAAGAGTTCCTTGCGCGAGCTGGCGGTTTGTTACTACCCATGTACCCACAGAGAACAGGGAGCCAGAAGAGTTGCAAAGACGAGGAAGCGAGAGATGGAACGAGAGAGTCAAGCCGAGCCGATCTGCACAGCCGCTGTTGGGCTGAAGGGCTGAAACCCGTACCTTGATTACGGATACGCGAAGAGGCCCTTTCGGCTGCAGAAGCGACAGAGGCACAGAAAGACTAAACGGCCAGGGGCAGGCTCTCTCGGATTTGGCGGCTCCTTAGGCGAGGAAGATGACGAGACGGATCTAGAGATCGACGAGGGTGAGACTTGGTGGAGAGAAACGACGGGATCCGGATTAGAGACAAGATGCGATATCGATAACGGCCGTATTACGCGATGCTAGTGGAGGGCCTGAAGATGGCGCAGCACAGCCATGAAGTCGCTGAGATTTTAGTATAAAAGACAAAGACTGTACGATGAGATGAAGTTGAAGAAAGAAATTAAGATTAATAATGATAATGGAGGGGCAAGAGTTTGGCACTGCAGGAAGGATCAATCGTTTGGGGCACAGCAAATGCATCAATCATGCTGTACATACAGCATGCAATTGCCTGAAGGTGACAGATCCAGGGGTTGAAATTGGGAGATTAGCGCTCCGTCACTAGGCGTTTAGTGGCTAGAGGGCCTGGAGGGAGCCCATGCGGCGCTTAACAATCTGGAGATGGACTAGGCGAACACGATGTGATTGCAATGTCGTATAAAGAGGATTCTGAGTCTGGATTGCCGGTGTAGATGCGGTGCTGGTGGCCTATATATGTACATGCGATTTTTTTTTTACTTTCAATTGTTTGAGTCTTGTAGTACTAGCTGCTTGTTTCCAAGACATTTTAGCTGAATGCCCCATCCAGCTGAAGACAAGGTAGATATTCTAGCTGAACACATGAGATGCCAACAGCAATTATGAGCAGACCTTCCAGTAACAATGGGACGGTAATTCTAATGAATGAAAATCAAAATTCAAGAAAAAAAACCATAGAATAAAACAATGCTGGTTAAACTGCTTCCACAGCTCGCAGCATCATCTCGTCACCTGCAGTCACAGTAAAAGCCACACCGAGCTTCCTCTCTTCACCTGTGGCGCAACCTCCCTCGCCACACCTACCCCACCAAAAAATACCCTTGGGGACAACTTACAGGCCCCCAAACTTGACAGAAGCGTCGAAATCGCATCTCGTCCGACTCGGCATCTCCAACATCCGCGCGCACTTGCATCGTTCGACGAGGACGGGGGGCCCAATTCCCTGCACCGAAAATCGCCCGTTGGACTCATCAGGCCACGTCTTCTCATCGCCAAAAGGGGGACTGCTGAATCCAATAAATCTTGTTGCGAGTAGCACCCGACTTCATACAGCAGCTCGTCCCTCAATCAAAGCGACGAACAACCCAGAAACCCGCCCGCCATGGCCACCTTTACCGAAATCGTCGAGGCAATCATGACGCCGTCCATCCCCCTCGTCATCATCGGCATCATCATCATCCTCGGCGGCCCCCTCATCTTCCACCTCGTCCTCGCCTCCTCCTCGTCATACACCGTCCCGCCCAGCGTCCTCCTCCTGGGCCCCGACAACTCCGGCAAGACGTCTCTCATGACCCTCTTCGAGCGCGGCGCAAACCCTTCCAAGACGCACACCTCGCAGATCGCGCACTCGGTCGAGCTCAACGCCTCCACCGACTCTGCTACCAAGGCCTCGTTCCGCAACTTCGACGATGCTACAGGCACGCACACAAAGTTTCTCCTGGTCGATACCCCCGGCCACGGAAAGCTTCGCAACGTCGCGATGGGCAAGCTGGCTCGCACGGAAAAGGTAAAGGCCGTTGTTTTCATGGTTGACGCAGCCGCTCTTGGGGAGCAAGAGACCATTGCGCCTACGGCTGCCTATCTCTACGACGTGCTACTGTTTCTGCAAAAGAGGGCTTCTTCCAAGGGCAAGGACAAGGCTTCTATCCCGGTGCTCATTGCGGCTAACAAGATGGACTTGTTCACTGCCTTGCCTGCCACCATGGTCAAGAGCCACCTGGAGATGGAGCTGTCCCGAATCCGCGCCTCCAAAAGCAAGGGCCTGCTCGACTCGGGTGTTGGAATCGACGATGTTGGCTCAGAGGAGCAGGATGGCTGGCTGGGAGAGTACGGATCCGAGAAATTCACTTTCCAGCAGATGAACGAGTTTGATATCGACATTGACGTGCTGGCTGGTAGCGTCTCGACTGAAGAGCCTGGCGCTGATAAATGGTGGTGGTGGATCGCTCAGAGGGTAGTTGGATGAAATGGCACGTGAAATGATGGGAATATAGACTTGATTGGGTCACGTATACTTATGATATTCGGCTATATACGTGTTTTAATGATGGAGGAAGGGCAGAGAATTCAGCTAAAAAATAATGATAATTACGCAGTTCCATTCACACTTTTGTATAAATCATGTATATAACGACGTTTAATGAATTTCCATTCATGGACACATGAAGATGCCCTAGATGTTGAGTCTATCAGGCCCACGCAAAGTAGTTGATCTATCCCTATCCCTCGCAGTCCGCAAACAACACGCTGCTGTTTTCAAAACCTCGTAATCCAAAATTATAATCAACGCCAAATATGAAACAGAAGAGGAAAAATAACAGTCAAGATCGCATATTATATATAAAGGATGCAATTATTTCTTCTGGCTGACCATCCAGGTGAGCAGGTCAACCTTGGTAACGACAGCAATGGGCTTGGACAGAGACTGAGAATCGCCCTTGCCGTCGGTCACAACAGCAGCGCTGTTCCACTCAAAGAACTTGCTGAGAGTGGACAGGGGAGTCTCCATGGTGATCTCGACAAACTTGCGCTTGCTGCCGGCCTTGGTTCCGCTGGTCAACTTGCGCGGGTCGGTGACAATCTCATCCAGTCTGCCAAAGTCGAACATGACGTCCTTGACTTGGGTCTCGGCCGTTGCGCGACCGCGAGAGATGTAGCTGAGGAGGTTGCCAAGAGTGACAAGGCCGACCAGCTTGCTGGTGGCGGAAAGGACGGGCAGCTGATCGAAGCCCTTGTCGCGCATGGTCTCAATGGCCTCTGAGCATGAGGCAGTGGCCTCGACTGAAGTCACCGGCTTTAGGCGGAGAGAAGCAATGGTGGCGCCCTGGTAAGGGTCGGAAGTCGTGTTGCTGCCCTGGGGCGCGGATTCGATTCCGTTGACGGACAGCAGTCCGTTGGCAGACAGCCAGTCATCGTCGGCAAACTTGGAGAGGTAGCTGCGGATGCTGTCGGGGAGAACAACCACGACGGTGTCGCCCTTCTTGAAGCCGTACTCCTTGACGGCCAGCAGCATGGCGGCCATGGCAGAGCCGGAGCTACCGCCGACAAGCAGACCCTCCTCGGCAATCAGGCGTCGTGCGAGGTAAAAGGACTTTTGGTCGTCGGTCTTGTACCACTTGTCGACAATCTCGCGGTCCAGGACGTCGGGGATGAAGTCGTAGCCAATGCCCTCCACCTTGTATCCCTCGTTCATGTGCTCCTCGTTAAGGGACTCGGGCAGAGCCAGGATACTGCCGTGGGGATCGGCGGCGATAATCTTGATGTCCTTGTTGTGCTTCTTCAGGCCCTTGGCGATACCGGTGATGGTGCCACCGGTTCCAGCACCCGCAATGACGGCGGTCACCTTGCCGCCAGTCTGCTCCCAGATCTCCTCGGCAGTGCCAAACTCGTGAGCATCGGGGTTGGCTGGGTTGCTGTACTGGTCGAGAATGTGGGCGTTCGGGATCTCCTTCTCGAGACGGCGGGCAACACCAATGTGCGACTCGGGGGCGTCCCAGGCAGCCTGGGTGGGTGTACGGATGATGGTGGCGCCGAGGGCACGCAGCACAGAGACCTTTTCGGCGGACATTTTCTCGGGCAGGGTGATGATGGTCTTGTAGCCCTTGATGGCGCCGACCAGAGCGAGACCAATGCCACTGCAGAGACGAGGTTAGTATATGGTTGATGGGCTTGAGATGATTCTGCTGGGCTGGACATACGTGTTTCCACTGGTGGGCTCGATCAATGTGTCGCCAGGCTTGATTCGGCCGCTCTTCTCGGCCTCCTCAATCATCCGCAGTGCAATTCGGTCCTTGACACTGCCGCCAGCATTGAAGAGCTCCGTCTTGGCGTAGACCTCGCACTCAATGCCCAGGCTCTGGGGGACCTTGTTGAGCCTCACAAGTGGCGTGTTGCCGATCAGATCGGCCGCTGAGAGGACGGTAGGGGCATTGCGCCGGGTTTGGGGGATCTGAGAGTCGGCCATGGTTATTTGCGGGTGGTTGCGAGAGAGAGCCAAAAGGAAGCTTTCTCGCAGGATATCGTGGGATAAGCGGTGGTGAGATGAGGAGTTGCAAGCCAGGGGCGAAGGCTTTTTTTTATTCTTTTTCTTCGCTCTGCCGGCGATATGCGCTTGTCACATGGAGGGGTCCTTTTTAGACTAGAAAGCTTAATTGGGCGTGGCGGGGCTTGCGCAAAAACCAGTTTGTCCGGGTTTAAATCTCCGTCGGTGGTTCGGAGAATAGAGAGCGCTGCATTTCAGGTTCAGGCGAGAATTGGAGGCATATGGATCATTTGGTCTTGATTGAAATTTTATTCCGTCTTGACGGGCCAATTTCAAACTCCGTGCCAGCTTGATTATGCCATTTTGTCGTGCAAATGATGCGATGCGATGTGATGCTTCATAGCAGTGGCAATTGCTGTGGCGTGCTTACAGTCCAAATTAGGGAATTTCCTAGACCGGCAGTGAGGAAAGACGCTAAACCTGGATCGCCAACTGTATGTCAACTGTATGATTCTTCTATATCCAGATAATTGAATGGAGTTTCTCAAACACAATCTCCTTGATTAGCTATCAGCTATTTATAATTTCAAATAAAAGATTCCGTTTCACAGTTTTTCGTTATGAATCAGTCGCCAGAAGCAGGGACAATTCTTCTGGACAATCCGGAATGCCAAGCTCCATGGCAAGGGACTTTGACGCAGCTTCGCCACTAACACGGAGCATATTGCCCTCTGAAAGTACATGATGTTACCCCAAGCTTCTCGCATCTTCATAAGCTAGAGTCTTCTGCTAAACATGGCAAATGTCCATGCGGGCGCCAATAGGCTCAGCTATTCGCTGCGCCAGCAGTCTCCGCCGAGGCGTGAGGGCTGCTTAGACCTGCCCTGTCTGTTGCCAAGACGATAAGGTGTTGAGATTGCCTCTGGCAGCTTCCTCTTGAAGAATCGGCAAGGCAACCTTAACTTGGTGAGTACCAGGGCTTGATTGCGAAAAGAGTCTTGGCTAGCAGGGACGGCCCATTAGCGGGCAGCTGTGAAGCGAAACAGCTTCTTCTTTACAAGTAGTGCGTAGCGATATTTAACTTCCTCTGGCCGAGTATCACCAACGACAACACCATACAGCATCCCGAGCCATCATCAATATTCTGTTTTTCCTGCTATAGGATATTGGCATACCCTGCGATAACAGTATCACCAAAGTCCACAAACCCCCTGCACCATGAAGTTTTGGAATATTTCAGCCTGGCTCGGCTTCTTTGCCACAGCTGCCGTCGCTGAGGTTTACCTTTCGCCAGATGTGGTTGAAGGAGATATTGAGGAGCAACAGTAACACCAGCTCATGCCATGCCCCCCTTTACATGTCTTGAAATGCGTGCTGACTGGCCTGTACCACACAGTCTTCAAGGTATACTCTGGAGGTTGAACCACATTGCTTCATCAAATGGTGGAAACCGCGCTTTTGGGACTGCCGGCTACAACGAATCAGTCGACTTCATCCTCAGCCACATGCATAAACGCTTCGGCAATGCGTTTGACACTTGGGTCCAGCCTTTCTTCCATCCTTTCGAAACCACTCATGCCATCTCCGTCGCAGGGCCCGAGGAGGAAGACGTGTTTGTCATCAGCCTTCAGTACAATACTGCCACGCCTCTGCCTCGTGGTGTCAGCGCTGTGCTCATCGACACGCCCGTGGACGATGAGCGGGGGTCTGGCTGTTTCGAGGACCAATGGGATGGCATCGATGCCTCTGAAAAGATTGCCCTTGTCAAACGCGGCGTATGTCCGATTTCCGACAAGCTCAAGCTTGCCAAGTCCCGTGGTGCGCGGGCCGTCATCTTGTACAACAACGAACCTGGAGAAACCATTGTCCCAGCCTCTCTGGGCATTGCAAACGTTGGATTACTGGTTCCGGCTGGCATCATTAGGCTGGAGGATGGCTTGGACTGGAAAGAACGCATCGCAGATGGCGAAGAGCTATTCGTCTCGCTTATTGTCGATTGTGTGAATGAGTACAGAAAGTCCTGGAACGTCATCGCAGAAACGAGACAGGGCGACCCTGACAATGTCATCATGCTAGGTGCTCATCTTGACTCAGTTCAAGCCGGCCCTGGTGCGTACATCCCCATTGAGTGACCTGTCACGACGTCCAACTGATTTGTCATGAACAATTTAGGTGTCAACGACGACGGCAGTGGCACGGCTGCTCTCCTTGAGATAGCCACATCTCTCATGAAGTACGAAGGGATCGTCAACAAAGTACGATTTGCTTGGTGGGGCGCAGAGGAGTAAGTGCATGCCATCATTCCTCAAGCAACTTGATTGGACGGATACTGATTCTCGCACATAATAGGGTCGGTCTGGTCGGCTCTCTCTACTATGGCCAGCATCTGTCCGAAGAAGATGCAGACGCGATCCGCTTTTACTTCAACTATGACATGATTGGCTCCAAGCAGCCCAGCTACGCTGTGTATGCTGATTCCGACGCCCACAAGACTGGTGGCCATATTCTCTTTGACTATCTTCAGGCCAATGGCAAAGATGTTTATTATGGGTGAGTACAGGCCGCCGAGATGCTAGGTGAGGCTGAAAGCTAATCACATGGGAAGCGGATTCGGTTCATCTTCCGATTATGTCGCCTTTTTGAAGCTTGGCATTCCCTCGTCAGGTATCTTTACCGGAGCAGGGGCACCAGCAGACCAGTGTTACCATCAACCTTGCGATGACCTCGAAAACATCAACTGGGAGGCTTTTACATTGAACACCAAGGCTGCTGGCCGTGCGGTAGCTCAGCTTGCTTTGAGCCTTGATGGTATTCCTGCCCGAGACAAGACTTCTCTCAATCCAAGTAGCAAACGAGGTGTCCAGAGAGAGTTGAACCAGGCTGCCCAACTCGCAACAGTGATTGAAAAGTCTCACAAGTGTGGAGGAGACCCGGGTGATGATACAGTTTGAGGTGTAGGATTAGGACAATTTGTTGAGGGACGCAATCTCACATGGAGCCAGAAGATTAGTCGTTAGTCATTAGTCATTATAAAATATCACTACGATTATAACTACATGAGAATGGGCTCGTCATTGCCCTTTCCAATGCCAGACACCTCGCTCCGATAGACTCGTGATTCATTTTATTCATCATCATATCATTACTCTCCCAATTCGCGTTTACGCCTGGACGAGTGAGAGCTTTTGATCATAGCTGACTTGCGTGTCAGTCAGCCTTTTATGCTGTTCGCCGAATTTGAGGATTCCTTGGGTTCGATATCGGGATTGCGCGATAGCTGGGGAACTTGGGCCCTCCAGGTATCCTCTCTGAGACAACCGCTGGAGCTGGCGTTTGGATCGAGACGTTGCCCTTTTTGGTGGACGACTTCTTTCTCGGAGCCGTATAATAGTAAACGTCCTCCTCTGCATATTGATATACACCGCGGGTACTGCTGCGAGTGCTGTGAGAATTTCTTCGCTTCCTCTTCTTGACTTTCTCCTCCTCTTCATACGCGACAGTAGTCTTCTTCTTTCCAACATAGCAAAAACCGATAATGAGGGCCAAAACGACGACGCCGACCACAGAGCCCAGTATGGCGCCTAGTTGGCCGCCTGAGAGGCCATGGTGGTGCGATATGGGGACGGGCACAGCGGCGACGGTGCTTGTAGCGGCCGCTGGCTCGGTGGCGCCAAAGGTGATTGTTGTGACGAAGGTGGTTAATGGGCGGATGATGGTTTGTGTAAGGACGAGATCTTGGCGGATGTTGAGAAGCGCTTTTGTTGGAGTGGGAGGGAGATGCATTTTTGGAGGCGGATGGGATGTTGGTTGGAATGTGTGCGCCCTGACAAACTGACAAGACGGCAGACGTACAGACAGAGAAAGAAAAGATGAGGAGGGTTATGCTTTTATGGACTTTTTGGTAAAGTGGAAGGCTGTTAGTCGCATTCCTTTTGGTGGATTAAATTAATTTGCATGTTGCTGGATCTTGTGAGATTGCACTTACATGCCACCTATTCTTTGGCACCATCTGCTGTGTTTTACGCGTGCGCGTATAAGAGGGGCCGCGCCGTAGAGATATGTTAAGATGTCAAAAGCATTCAGAAATGGATGGTTACCTACCTACTTGTCCTGCATGAACTCTTCGTACAAAGAAGATCTCTAGCATTTGCACCAATAGAGGTCGAGATGTATTTGTGAGTCAGATGATGTGGCCATGCGGTCCGTTAGCGCAGACAACCATCTGGCTGGTGTGCATTTACTTCTTCATCCATTTGGGCTACGCGCAGGTAGGATTTCCCAAAAATGCCAAAACAAGGTGAGCTGACGGCTTTTGTTTGATGGCAGATTGTGTGACTGGTGGTGTGGTGTGGTATGCGAGGCCGCTAGACTGCCGTGCCTATGCATGTGCTAGACAGGTTTTGATGATGGTGTGGATGGACAGGGATTGGTGTTGGCTGGAGGCAGAGGAGGAGGATGCTAGCAGGGGTGGGATTGGGCATGTGCCTGATTCTAGTCTATGAGATGGAGGTATGGCTGGAGGGGGATCTAAGATGGCGGTAGTATAAGCATGGAGGGGGGGTTTCCTGTGAGACATGTTTCATGCGTATAACATTGTTAAGGAAGAGGGTTACTTGGTCGTTTGAATGTGTTGGATCGTGATAGCTAACATGGATAGATGGATCTATCTGGAAACGCAATGAAATGGCAAAGTCGTCACATTTAGCTGGCGATAGACTCATAAACTGGGGTTTAATCAAGTTTTAATGATCTAACTAATCGCTGGGAGACATGACAATTTGTCATATATTCGACGCCGTAAAACAAAACAGAGTATTAAAATTAAAGGAGTAGTAAAATATGTATGTCCAAACTTTTCTTTACAACAAAGGAGTGACTGAAACCAATAACAGAAACCAATAACCGAAACCAATAACCGAAATCATGACTGATGAAATATCCCGTAGCCAGCGGGGCAAACGACGAGTCGTAGCTCAGTTGAAGTTGTCGAGAAAAGAGCTAACGCCGCCTTCTTGTTAAAACAATAAACAGAAGCAATGCTCTTCTAAGATAAAAGATAAAACGAGCTAAAGTTCTGAGAATGTGGTTGACAAGGATGAAGGCGAAGCATCTTCCGATGGCTGGAAATCGATATCAGCTTTGGTCATTGAATGAATAAAAGCGCTTGTACTCACCGAGGCGGATGATTGCTCTTCTCCATATCTGCCGTCGGGCTTCAAGCGCCCTTTGCAGTCTAGAAACCGACAGGAGATGGTCTCTAGCCTCGGTCCCCCATAATATATGTAACGTGGTACAATTTATACGCTCTAATAGAAGTGGTTAGTTCAACTTGTTGCTGCAAGTAAATAGCTGATGAAATCGCACTCACCATTTTGGGTGTCAAACTTTTCTTCTGTACTCATACACCACCACATCTTTCCCCTCAACACTCTCCTCCCCCCCTCATCCCCACGACCCTCGGTGCGGCATGCACCAAGTCAATGGGCGTTGCGGTCGGCGTCAGGTGCTTTCTCGCCCTCGTCGTCACTCTTGACTACTTCGCGAGTCTTGCCCCATTTGAAGTCATCAGAGTTGAAGAGCGAGTAAATCATGATGATGATGTTCATAAAGGGAGAGGTGAGGAAGTGGATGAAGTAGCCGACAAAATATTGGATGCGCTCCTTCATGTTTCGGGGAAGCCAGAAGCCGACGCAGAATGCATAGAACTGTTGTCGAAACGTTAGTAGCTGGAAATGAAAAATGGAGTTGGATGTTAGTACTTACGTAGCGTGTAAACAAGATCGTAATCAGGGAGATGAAGATTGTATCATGGAACAAATCTGGGCCCCTTCTGACAAAGAGCATGATGAGCTCAACCACGGCGGCGATGATGAATGGAGTAATGGCCCATGTCATGACGGCAATGATGCTTTGAAGTCTCTCCATCATGACGATGCCTGGCCTGAAGATCATGACGAACTCGTTGGAGATGCTGCCAAGAGCCCAACGCTTGCGCTGTGACAAGAAGACTTTCCAGTTTTGGGGAACAATGGTGTATGCCTTGGCGCGCAGAGCCTGTGCCGTGAGCTTGTCGGGGTGCAGGCTGAAGATGATGGACGCGTGGATGCTGTCTTCCGAGTAGTTGCCCATGATGTGTTGAGTCATGAGGTCGTTGGGCTTGGGGCAGTATCCGAAGCGATCGCGGAGGACGGCATCACCAAAGGTGGACTCGTCGACGCGGATCAGTTGACAGCAGCCAGGGAGACAGTTGACCTTGCCGGTGATGCGAGACTGGAACATGCGGCGCAGGCCTTGGGTTTGGGAATATTCAACCGATTGGTAGAGAGACCATGGGGAGAACCACTTGCCGTCAAAGTCGACACAGACGTGGCCGCAGACACCGACGATGTTGGGATTCTGGCGAATCTCGCGGAGCATCTCGCGGATGCAGTCCTTGTCAAAGACAGTGTCTGCGTCCATACCAACGAGGTAGTCAACCGTGTCGACGCCGAATTGAACAAAGCTGTTGCCAATGTACTCGTAGAGATCATTGTTGAACATGGTGAGGATATTCTCCGAGCGCATCTTGAAGTGGTAGAGAAGCGAGCGAGCAAAGCACAGACTATCGCGTTTGCCTTGGTTGTAGCTCTTTCCGACAAAGACGTATGGGATACCCTTGTAGTAGCCAGTTTGGACCTTGACAGGCATGAAGAGACCATCGCGGGCACGGTAACCATTTTCGAATCGTCGGATCTGGCCAGGTCCAAGGATATCCTGGAGGAGGTATTCCTGAGTGGTCTTGGTCATACCGGGGCCGCGAGCATCGCCATCAACAACGATGAAGATGACTCGAGGATGGGCATCGATACCCGCTTGTATGACGAGAGAGTCCAGAGAGCGAGTCAGTTCCTCGTGAGTTTCGTTATAGCAAGGCAGGAGGAGGACCATTTTCTCAGGTTCTGCAGGGATAATCTCTTTCTTGCCGAACCACCAAGGCATGGCGTGTCTGCAAATCCAGTTGATGAGAATGCAAACCATCATGATCAGTTGAAGCGTGGTGTTTGAGCTGAGCAGGATGATGAACATGTAGAACAGCTGGTAGTATGTGTAAGAGACCCAGATGAGGAGACCGTTTACCGTGAGCAGAACAAGAATGAGAAGCCATTTCTGCAGCGTGAGGAGAGTCTTGGAGACCTTTTCGAGCTCGAATTTGGAGTCCCAGCGGAGCCTTGCCTCTTCCTGGAGGATCGAAGACGTGAAAGAGGCGGCAGAGTCGATTCCGAGAGAGGCTTGAGACGAGGTCTGGGCACCGCCTGGTTGGAAGCTGCCGTTGATGTTGCGGATGACGGACTAAAAATCTTGTTAGACGATGCTGTTTGCGGTATTTACTCGCGATTTACTTACAGATTCCCGAGAGGCAGACACATCCAGGCCGTTTTTGTTGTTGTTTAACAGGGAGACTGGGGGCTTCTTGGAGCGGTCCGCTCTGGTAGGCCGCTGGAGGGCGATATCCCCCGACTCGGCAGAGGTGCGAGACATTTCCGAAGATGTCGGAGCAGTCATGGTGATTACCACCTACTATATTGAATAGTAGAGAGTTGACGTGAGCGAGTGAAGAGAGGAAGCGTGCAGTGTATTCAGTGACAGATAGTCCAGGGGACTAAATGAAGAGCAGAAAAATGCAATATAGCAGTGGTATTTCAGATGATATCGAGCGAGTGTGTTCGTTGCAAATGAAAGCGAGTGTGGTGAAGACGGATGTTTGGTGAGAAGAATGGAGGAAGAATAGCAGCCCAAAGACTACAACAAGGGAAAAATTGAAAAAGGCATAAAGTTTTGGAAAAATTGGCCTCCTATTACGTGTCCACGCCCCAGGATTAAGACACCTTGGCCGAGTTGGGGGGCTCTATCGTGAGGGTCAAGAAAGTTTAATCGAGGGATTTACATGGGTGATACTCGGAGCTCAAGCCGCACCTTGGGAGGCCAGGTTCTATTTCTGTTGTCCAAGAGATGTCTAATCGGTTATGGTTTCGTCAATGTGGAAATATAGACAGTGTAATATGGGTATAAAAGCCTCGTTCCCCATGGACTACCCAACGTTTTGTGCTTTGCTTCAACAGAGCTAATAGCCAATTTTATGGTCCAATCCGGCCTTACACGACACCCATCTCGTATAAAGCTACCAGCGGTAGATACTACGGTAATACTCTACCAAAACGTTGAAAACAACACCAAAGAAGCTTCCAGACTTCTGAGTGGCCCCAATCGAGAGCCAGATCTCAATTGCGGTCCGTACCGGCGGCCTGTAAATACGAAGTAACCCTGAGGCATCTGGATGTACATCCCAAGAGGCTACAGGGCTTGAGCTAATGCGCCTCGACCTGACGCCAAGACCCTCAGAATTGAGTTTTATGGCATGGAGCGGAGGTGATACACAAATTCGGCTTTGATATGTATGTATGTATGCATTCGCCCAGCGGGCCGGATGGGGGTCTTTTTACTCGTCAGTTAGATGCTACATCTTCTGCGGATCGTCCATGACGATCACTGGAGTCGGCGAACACGAAGTCGAGTCTGTTGTTGCACCTGCCTACATTTCAGGCTGGAAGAAACTCAGATGGCACATTGGTTGCAATCTTTTACCCAGCAGTCATTCTATTCATCTCTACGAACCGTGTCTCTAGCTTGATAGTTGCCAGTCACTGTGCCACTTGGGATCTTGTGAAGCATCTACTGCCTAATGTGATATCGTGGGCTTGCATATGTCGATATACTGCCTGCCTCCGTTTCATCAAGTTCCATGGCCTTCCATGGCATCTACTAACCGACGTCTAGACCCAGAGCCAAAGCAGTACCACCGAAGCACCCGTCTTCATATTTCGTATCCACAGGGGGTGTATCTTATGTAGCACCATCAAGGTGAGCAAATCAAAGCTTAGGAGAAAACCTCCGGACCTTGCTGTCCCCAGGTTCGTGCTTTTGCAGCAGAAATCCCCATATTTCGTACCCTCACCTCCCTACATAGCACAACATGGTTGGCCAGCTGTGCTTGGCCTCCTCAGCCATCAAACAAGCTTATTTGCAAGGCTTGGAAGTCATACCGCATCAAGCTTCGGCTCTATGGCGCGTACGACCGGAACAAGCTACATCCTCCATGCGTGGTGCACTCCGGAACTCCAGCTACACGATGATGCTGGTTCGCCTTTGTGTTACTTGATTATCAGTTTCCCCTCGAGTTGGCCGGGATGGGTGACGTTTTTCCACTGGATGGTCCAAATCATTCTTCGCCTCTCCCTATTAGCACAAGTCTGAAACGACAGGCTCATTCATGATGCTGCGTCGTCCTCTGGAATAACCACAAGTACAAGTATTGAAAAGTGTCCGGTGGACCTGCAGTAGCCTTTACGCTAATCTTCGTGGTGTCCAGGCGTTTTTAGTCCATGGCACGAATACGAATGGGAGCATCTTCTTCTGATGATCGGCGCTTCTTGCAAGCAGAGGTTGAGAATTACAGTTTTGTCCTCCGATCAGCCACTGCTGTGTTGTCGCCGGTAACGTACAGCCGAGAGAATCACGACATTTTTCACAAAGATTGGATTATTGAAAGCGGCACCAAGCATGCGGTATACTTCATCGTCCCAGGAGCGCCAGGCAATGAGGGTTATTGTGGGGAGAACGCTGTGGAACGTCTTCGGTGTAGTAGAGATTTTGTTGGGCTTTTGATATGGATCTACTTTTATGTATCTGGGTCATGTCCGGTCATGCGTACTGTCAGATTTGACGAAAAATCGCGAGCATAATGTCCTACAAATTTCAAAGCTATGAAGCAGATAAATTGCAAACATTAAATCTTAGAGATCAAATCACCCCTCTCAACAGTAAATGCAGACTTGGAATGCAAAATCCCTCCATGGTAACATAAAACATGTAACCAGGCCTTATGTTGAATAGAGGCCTACATCACAGCTCATCTGAGAGCCACGGCACCTCTTTTTATAAAATATCAAACTCCGCCCACAGTTTAAATCCCAATAGTTGTATTATGCTCGCATTTTGCTGTGCCCTTGAGAGCTTACCAGCATCTTCCATATTTCGTCTGGCATCCATCTTCGCAGTGAGCGCTGGAATTGCCGCTGAATAGTTTCAAGTCAGCGGAAGCCATCATCGTCAGCAAAGATGTAGAGGAGGCACTCACCAGAAGCCGTGCTTGGAGCAGCAGTTTTTGTTCTTGTAGTTCTTGCATGTAGCTGAGAAACGGTCCCCGCAAAGGCCATTCGTCGTGTTGTAGATGGGAAGAACTGCTGTGCCTTGCCCATAGGTGGCGCAAACTCCATATTCCGAGTCGCAACCAGTTCCGCAGTGCGCCATGCTATTGCCGCTGTAGTTTTTGCCACTGTCAGTAGACCATATATCACAGATGCCTGTGTATTTCTCAAGAATGGGGGGCTGGTTTTGGGGAAAAGGCAAGTAGTACAAGCACGCAAATCGCAAGAGGGGTTATTGCTCTCTTACCAATATCCATAATATGAACAGCATCTGCCATGCCTGGAGCCCTTGCAAGTTGCACCAAATTTGCTACCACACCTGTGATCTCCTAAGATGACGGGCTCTGTTTTGTTTTTGGTGTTGTCTCCCGGCCCAACAGCCACATCAACATCACGTTTAGTAGTCCGCGCATTGCGGTACCAGTTCTCATATGGATCGCCAAGGCATTCTCCAACAGTCACAAGCTTGTATCCTCGGCTCCTACTCACTTCGATCATGTATTCGGTGAGAGTCACGACTGTCTGATAGTGGACATCGTGTGCGAGAACGATGTAATCATGGTTAGTTTCATCAGAGTCCTGCATGGAGGAGAAGCGGTCCTCGGAGACATGAATCAACGAAGTCTCGTCGTTCTCATAGTCCTTGGTGTCAAGGTTTGTGCTGATAACGTGGTAGCCCAGCTTGTCCATTGTGTCCATGCATCCAGATTTCACACTGCACTCCAGGAACGGCGGACGCATATAAGTCGGTATGAAACCAAGGAGATTGCGGAATGCCATCTCGTTGTAGATCATTTCCGTTTCTCGAACATGGTCAGAAGCCTCGTTGAGATTGCGGTGTGTCCAAGTGTGACTTGCGAGCTGGTGCCCAGAATCATGCATGCGCCGAACAATGGACGGCCAGCCTGTTGATTCGTCGTCTATACGACCCTTGCCCCTGTTATTTCCCGCGATGAAAAACGTCGCTTTAACATCGTTTTTGTCAAGGATGTCAAGGAGTTGGCTTGTATACACGTAGGGCCCGTCATCAAATGTCAAGGCAACATGGCCGGACTCGATGCATTGAGTAATCGTAGAGGCTAACATCTGGTCAGCTTTGAATTGTATCTGGCTTTCTTCAAGTCAAGAATAGAGCAACAGTCTAAAGACTAACCATATGGAACATCGCCAATGTGCCCTCGGGAGATGCCTTCGGTGCTTTCTCCTGGAGGGCTGGTTCTAAATAGCATCCGTCAGACTCGGATATTTCACACCAAAAGTTTCACATACTGTGTATCGCAGGAGTAGCTATAATCGAGCTGGCATTGTGATCCAGCACAGTATTCTGCAGAAGTACCACAAAAGCCAGCCTCCGAACAACACTCGCCTTCACCACAGCTGCCAACGTCTGGGCCGCATTTCTTATCACGGGGCTCTAGGACATACTCGAAGCGACTGTTGATTTTCTCAGGAGCCGCATAGATGGCCTCGGAGAATGTAAAGGCGATCACCGCCGTAGTAGCAACATTGAGCTTCATTTCGGTAATATCGTCGCCACAAGTGTCACTTTAGGAAAAAGGGGGGGAGACGGAGTTGATGCCAAAAGAGACGATGTATAAATCAAAGTTAGAATACATGGTATATATCATTAATCCCACCATTACCTTCACGTGCAATGCGCTGGGAAAATCCACGATCCTCAATAGCCACTGTTCAACGATATCTAAGCTCGCTGGAAACGGATTGTGGTGTGGGTTTGAGGCGGCATTTTTTTGCCGGTGGATAACAGATTGCGACAGCCTTAAAGTCAACTTGCGAGAAATCCCTTTCCATGGCCCACGCAATGCCGGCAATGTGTGCGCTCCACCATCTCGCGATAGTTGCCTACACTAGCTAAAGAGACTTGCGTTGGGGAGCCGCAACATCACACCATCAACTCGCTCTTGGGCACTCTGATCGAATCAAATGCTTGCAAAACTCCGCGTTATTACCTGGTAGTAGCTGGCTATGACCTATGTCAGCGTGGAATCTGCAGTGCACCGGAACACAGATGGAGAAATAGCATCATTTGGCACAGCGTTGAGATAGCCAATTAGTGGTATAAGATGATCGTTCGTATTATGCGTTGGCTTACGTTACAGCATTAGCTAAAAGCAAAACAACAACAACAAAAAAAAAAAAAGATTCCCCTGACTAACTTTGGATGAGAGTTAGGGCCTGAATTACCTTTTCCTTGGCTTTTACGGCGTTGTCAGTACGTACTCGCAGCTTGTACGGATAAATTTTCAGTATCTTCACGCCCATGACTGGGCGTCTATCTAAGAAGCTCGCCGCCCGAGTTATACGGGATATTTATGAACGCATCTTTTTTCTTTTTTTCCCCAAGCTGATACTTGAGACCTGAATGCGGTGTCAAGGAGTTCATCATACAGCAGCAATAGCTGTGGCATTGATGCCTCACTTCAAAGTCTAGGAATATGGAGAGTAGTACAGATTATCTCATGGCTCTCTTGTTCCTGACAGTCTCGCGCAGCCTGTTTGCAGACTAAACGAAGCAGCGACTTCGGCATTTCATTTTCTAATACGCCCCCCCAAGGCCTCCGAACTTTGCCTCTACGTATGAATTTGATCATATCTAAAGTTTCGGCTCCATTTACGGGACCAGCCGAGATCTTAAGGCCACATATATGAACCTTTGTCGGTTCAACTTGACGTGGCGTAGAGCCGGTACATAAGTATACTCAAGGTACCTTTCCAATCTTTGGCCGCTACGAGGAGATTGTGCGATTCCCACATCGTATTAAAGATTTGTAGTACCACAGTGGCTGTTACAAGTCCAAACCCTGTTGCCTACGTTTTGGGAGTTGGCGCCAGCGGGCTGTCCATTTTCAATGTCTGTTTGCCATTAGCCCTGGAAAGAAGAGGAATGGTAGATTATACGGCCCAATTTTACATTATTGAGAACTAGATTGACCCTGATGGCATAGCCGTATTGAGATCCAAACACTCGCTTTCGGGTTCTATCCGGACACGACTTTACATCTCATTAACCGAATCCGATCATCTCATCTCAGTATCTTGCTTCTCGAAGTGTAAGATATCGATGAATACATGGACAAGTAGATAACGGGTTGCTGAAGTCGGTACAACTCCGAAATTACACCGTTTAGATATACAGCAAATAACATTTACCTTTATTATAAAAGAATCCCAAGCCCTGAAGCCAAATTTTAGCGCTTCTCTCGGTCATATGCCGTTTACTTCCTCGGCCAAAACCGTGGCGGCTTTCAGTACGCGTATGATGTTTATCTGCGTACTGTTCCGAAAGTCTATATTCTTTCTCCCATCTTGCGGACCTTCTCTCTTCTCTTCTCTTCTCCCTCTCAAGCAATTCTCCCAGTGCCAGAGTCTGCAGCATCTTGCTAACAGTCTCATCTGGGTCGAATCCAGTCTTCAATCACTCGCCAATCACTCAATTTTCATTGCTACATTTGCCAAGTCTCTCGTTAACACTCTGCCAATTCACTCGCTCACCCACAATGTCTGACATGGGTTACACGGGAGACCTGCCGGCTCCAGAAGAGATCAGTGAACGGCTCGCTGCCATCAAGGAAGAGGACGAAGATCCCAAGACTTGGGATTACATCTACGACGTTTCCCCACCTGGAGAAGAAACTTCCGAGTCTGGCGCTCCGCCATCCCTTGAAGTCAGCTCCTCTGTAGAGGTCCTCAGATCCGAGAGGTCTTCATTTGCCGAACCAGAGCCTCTCGTCGCAGTCATCGGCGTCGGCTACGTGGGTGAGCATCTCACTGATGTCTTCTCTCGCTGCTTCAACGTTCTCGGATACGACGTCTCCGAGACTCGTGTCAAGGATCTTTCTGCCAAATACCATGGCAACGAGAGAGTCCGCATCACTTCAGAGGCGGAAGATCTCCGTGGAGCTTCGCACTTCCTCATCTCGGTCCCTACCCTCCTCTTGAAGGACAAGACCGTCGATACTTCGTACCTTCGAAGTGCTCTCACCACTGTGGAGAATTATGCAACTCCAGGCTCGACCGTCGTGATTGAAAGCTCAGTCGCCGTTGGCATGACTAGAAAGCTTCTCGGACCCCTTGCCAAAAGAAAGGGTCTCTTTGCTGGAATGTCGCCTGAGCGTGTCGACCCCGGCCGCACTGAGCCGCCAGCCTATGCCATCCCGAAGATCATCTCCGGCCTCGACGATGTTGCTCCGGGCTCGCTGGAGTCCATCACCAAGCTTTACTCCACCGCCTTTGAACGAGTCGTCCCTGTCTCCAAGCCGGAAGTGGCTGAGATGACCAAGCTCTACGAAAACTGCCAGCGCATGATGGGCATTGCTTTCTCCAACGAGATGGCCGACGCCTGTGAACCCATCGGCATTGACCCCTTTGAAGTCAGCAATGCCGCTGCAACCAAGCCGTTTGGCTACATGCCCTACTCGCCTGGCCTTGGTGTTGGCGGACACTGTATTCCCGTCAACCCCTACTATTTGCTGTCCAACAGCGCCTTTCCTCTGCTTCAAGCAGCTTCGGAGAGAATGTACGCTCGTCCTGCCGAGATTGGAGAGCGTGTCATTGATGAGCTTTACTCGAAGCGAACTGGCGAGGACATGCCTCGTGTTCTCGTCGTCGGCATGGGCTTCAAGCGCGGCCAGTCTCACCTTGTCAACTCGCCTGGCCTTGAACTGGCCAAGTCGCTTGCCAAGTCGGAGAAAGTCAGCGTCTCTTTCGCTGATCCGCTCGTCAGCCAAGAGGCTTTGCCCAATCTCATACGCCTAGATGATGCAAACTGGACTGCCGAACACTTGGAGGAGAACTTCGACATGATTGTCGTCGCGTTCAAGCAGGATGGCCTTGACTTTGGCGTCCTCGACAACCTTGTCAACGTGCAAGTTCAAATGTGGTGCGCTTAGAAGAGCAATTGCATCCGGCCAGCGAATAAAGACGCGGAGTATAGGTGTTAATTGGCAAGGCTCTTGCTCTTCTTTATCGACAACAATTTTGCTGCGGAGTGACTGAGATCTATATCGAGATCGAGACGGCTATACTTGTCTCACAATCGGTTGGCGCAGGCCAAAATGCACTCTTCAACGGTTGGGAATCGATGGGTGGGATAGAACGTTGCTTTTTTTTTATATATGTTGGATTGTGTGTTGGGTATTGGGGTTTACCATTTTATAATTGGTTTACTTGAATTCTTTATTTGGGTCACAAATGTTCGCTATAGTTGCCGTTGTCAATCGTGATTCTTCTCCTGAGGCTCATCATCATCGCACAGGAGCATGATACGGCCGCTGTATACTAGCAGGAGGGAATCACTCGCATTCACTATGCATATGAGGCATTCAATCATAGCCTAGGTAGCCTGAAGATGTAGAGTATTCTTCTACAATAAAACTTTGCGTTCAAACTTTTGTACAAGTTCCCCGGTTCTTCATTCCCTCTTGCTTCTTGCCTTCCATAGCTGTGCCAGGACATGCGGCCGAGGACGGGGGCGTTCCATGCCCAAATTTCTTCTCCCTACCAAATGGGCAACATCTCAAAGGGCCAGATCGTCCAATTCCACTTACGGACTTATGCGAGCCCCTCATTGGCGCAACTTTAATCTTGGGCTAGATGCTTCGTTTGGCCGCGTTGGGGAACTACAAGTACCTTTTTGCGGTGGACCGTAAATGGGACGCGCGATTTTAGTTCCCAGATTCGAATGGAGCTTGAACTGCCTATCGGAACTGCAGGAGGGTTGTCCATGAAAGCGGCCAGATTTCGGGCGTTTGTATCGTTGCTGGACTTTTACCCGCTTCGTCAAGGTAGGGCGGGAGAGAATCCGGTTTTGCAACAAGGACGGGGGACTTTTTTGTATGACACTGTTATCTAGGTACCCATTCTTGGCGTACTGAGTACTATGAACGAATTGTTAGATGCTGATCCCGCGGGGAAATGTGTAGCAATGCGGCTTGTATATTACGCGTATAGATATCTCGATACCTGGATAGCTGCTCAATACACCACAGAAGTTGATTCCGGTAGCCTAACCCTATTCAAGCAACGCCAGGAAGGCGATTAGACAGTGATTGCATTCGCCATCTTTGCTTTGGACGCGAAATTAGTCCGGTACATGCAGTCTCGCAACCGTAGAAGCAGGACGAAGATGATGGAATCTTTGAAAACACATCATTGGCCATCGCACCTTTTATCCCTTTAAGACTGATCCATCATACCGCCCACATATCCCCTGCAAGGTTTCCAGTAGGGCTAAGATGGGCGGGAGATCATCGCACTACGGCCCATAGAATGCCATAAGATACATCTCGCAGAACTGAACAATGCAAAGACTTTTATGAAATCGTGTCAAATATGAAGCAGGGTCGAAATTGTCAGGAGACCAGCCATCGTGCCTCTCGTCGTCATCTCGCTTGACCCACCTGTTTTCGTCATCGCGCATATGGCTACTTGTGAAGAGATACAGCTTCCCTCTTCAACGAGCGAGTAATGCTTCTTCGGCATTTACACGGAAGAGCCAAATGAGAGTAGCTTCCATAATAACAATTATGTGCCCCCTTTATTTGTAACGAGTTATTGAATAGACAACTGCTTCACTCACAATGGCATCTCGCTGTGGGGCTGACGTTGAGTCTAAACCATCTTTGGTAACTGTCAGCGAGAACAATGACGACAGTAAATCTCGGCGTGTTAGATAATCAGGTTTGACGATCACCAGGCATGAAACGAAAGCATTTTCTCTTTATTAACGCATCGTTTCTAAATTCGTTTTCAAGTACGTACATCGCTTTCGCCACTTGATTAGAGCCCCGTCTTTCACCTTTGAGATATACCAAGTGCCAAACTCACATTTCTGTCAAGAATGAAATTACTATTAAACATCAACCATGGGGGCGATACGTCATTAAGGCCAGGGGATGAGCTTCAGGGAACATTGATTATTTCGGGCATCGCGAGCCAGAAGCGGCCTCATTGCACAGCTACCATTGGAGGTGAGATGGCCTTGTGAGGACAAATTTTCTTTTATATTTGAAGCTAACAATGTCCAGGCCGATTAATGATTTCGGTACCTGCTCAAGTCGCTGGCCCTAACATTGATAACGCTGTATATACGGTATGAGATGAACCACCCTCATTTTTCGTAACATCAACATCACTCTCATCTAACATGTTCAAAGCTATTCGAAGAAACGAAGCAACTAGAATACGAGAATACCTCGAGCCAAAACAGCCCGGATGACGACGTTCATTTCATGCCTTTCAAATTTCAATTCCCGTCTCACATGAAATGCTCTAAACACCCTCAACCATGCCAACTTCCTCCTTCAACAAGTGTAAGTGGGGGCAGTTCTAAGATCAAGGTGGAATACTACATCACTGCCGCCGCGGACAGACCTATATTTGGCGGTCTATCTACAAAAAAGAGGGTCACAAAGCCATTGCAACTCAGCAGCAACTTTTCATCCAACTCGCCAGCACCGTTGTCCATCTCCAGCCTACCGTTAACTCTACAACAAAAAGATGGCAAAAAGCGTCTGCAGGCCGGGCCTGATGGCTTACCGGCATACACGCCATCTATACACATCCAAGTCGTGCATCCTGAGCCACCAATCTTTGTCCGAGGCCAAGCAAACCGCATCCGATTCAATATCCACAGCCCATCCGAAGCGATTGGGAAAGTTTTTGTTCGGAGCATAAACATCAACTTTAAGACGTCCACTATCGCAGCAGCTGGGTCGGCTACGCAACGAGTCGATCAAAATGCATCGGGAGTTGAGCTATCCAGTCTTATTCCAATCGATTCGGAAATACTGGAGCTCGATACGGGAACTTGGGGGCGCCTGTCTATGCTCAGCCTCAGACCAACATTCGAATCATGCCTAATGCAGATAAAGCATGCAGCTGAAATCAGTGTTGGTATATCGGTAGGGCCGCAGGGCAGCATTTCAGTAAGTCTTATATGTCAAGAATGTTTCATGGTCGCCATACGCAAGAAGCTAACACTGCATAGCATGCTTCATCTTCGTTCGATATCCTGGTGATGGATCCGCCACCTTCATACGAAGAGATCTAGGCGCGCCAAAGATAGTAAACTACTACATTATTCTGCATCATTCATGTTAAGTTGCATTTTTAGAGAAATTAGATCAGCCAAAGATACCTAGCTCAGCACAGAGAATGAGCCTCGTTATAGATAGACATCGCTACATAGAAGAATATTTTGTATACCACTAGTCCATAGAGATGAACAAGGCATCATTAAACTTTAACCTCAAACCCTTGTCACCTTTTTACAGAATAAAACCGAACATGGAATTGCTGGCTTGCGTCCCCAAGGTTCCCTAGATACTTAGCCTGGCAGCGGCTAACCCTGCCACAACTGCAAACTGCGCATGATCAAATGACCATTGTATTTTTGACGAGTATTGACAGTTGTGGCGCGCATATGAACCTGAGAGACGCCGCTGGTCCGCAATAAACGCCAGCTGCGAGATACCCTTTTACGGACGCATATGAAGGATCGTCAACTGATACTACGCTGTTTCGTTCCGACTTCCGAAAGACGTTATGCCAGATTGAGGAATTGCGAGCGAGGCGCCCTGGCATTCGCTTTTCAGGCAGCTTCGAATGAGCTTCCATTTTTGTTCTTTTTTCTCTTTCCTCTCCTGGTTATATCCGAGCGCCTTGCCACGGCAGAAGCGCGAATGCTTTGCTTGTACGGATCGAATAGGGATCTTTCAAAGTCTAGTAGGCTAAATAATTAAGCGTTGATAACATTTGAACGCTGTTATGCAACGTATGGCGAATCAGGTGATATATGCGCCTGTACAGGTTGAGGGAGTATAACGTCCGGCATGGGGGTGCCACATACGATTGTTTTGCTGCTCTTTGAAGATGGAACATATAAGACGTTCATATCCTCGTCATGATTGAGTAGCTCGGGTCTAAGATCAGAATTGCTCATACTGTGTCGCTTACAATTTACCACCAGCTCAGGACGTAGCTCCCTTGACTTGGCACTGTACGTGATTCAATTACATCATGAACTAACTTTTCAACTCAATTGAACCGATATGTGACAATAAGAAGGACAGGAGCTTAATATTTGAAAACAGATGACAGGTGCATTTTCGCTTTTAGTGGGGCTTCTTCTCCAAGGTGAAGGTAATTAGCCGTGCCATCCAATCAAGTTGACGTCAATGTAATATCTCTCATGAAACCTTACATCACGACAGTATTGTGTGGTGATGTATGAGTGACGGCCGATATTATGTCGCCACTTATGAATTCACCACTGGGTACGAAATAAATAAGAAGTATAAGTAGTATAAGTAGTAGATTTTTTGAAGCGCAGGGCACAGCGAAATTACTAGTCATTATTGACGCCGAAACCATGTCAAATATTATCCCTCCAGCCGTGAAACAAGCAGTCATGGGCCAAAAAGGAGCGAAAGCAGACCAGCTGGCGGCTCACACTGTTGAGCCGACCAAGGATAGCAGAATTACATCTGACTTTGGAACTAAACAAACTAATACAGATGACTGGCTTCGGATCAACAGCAAGGACCAGATAGGCCCGTCGCTGCTGGAAGATCCATTTGGGCGTGAAAAAGTATGTCGCTGTCACGATGTTAGATATCCGTCAATTCAGACTAAAATCTAGAAATTAGATCCATCGATTCGATCATGAGCGTATACCAGAGCGAGTCGTCCACGCTCGAGGCACCGGCGCGTTTGGAACATTTCGCCTATTCGAATCTGCCGAAGACGTCAGCCATGCCAATATCTTGACCGACACTTCACGCGAGACGCCAGTCTTTCTTCGCTTCTCGACCGTTCTGGGAAGCCGTGGCTCTGCCGATACCGTTCGTGATGTGCGCGGCTTTGCAGTCAAATTCTACACGCAAGAGGGCAACTGGGACATTGTAGGCAACAACATTCCCGTCTTCTTCATCCAGGACGCCATCAAGTTTCCCGACCTCATCCACGCCGGGAAGCCCGAGCCTCACAACGAAGTTCCCCAGGCGCAGTCGGCTCACAACAACTTCTGGGACTTTGTCCAGATGCACTCGGAGGCCACTCACATGTACATGTGGACCATGTCCGATCGGGCCATTCCTCGTTCATATCGAATGATGCAAGGGTTTGGCGTAAACACATATACACTTACCAATGCATCTGGTGAACGTTCGTTTGTCAAGTTCCATTTCACGCCAGAGCTGGGAGTGCACTCTCTTGTCTGGGACGAGGCGCTCAAACTTGCGGGCCAAGACCCCGATTTCCACCGCAAGGATCTCATGGAAGCCATTGACAACGGCGTATATCCGAAGTGGAAGTTTGGCATCCAGACAATTGATGAGTCAAACGAAGACGACTTTGACTTTGACATTCTCGATGCTACAAAGGTCTGGCCTGAAGACCTCGTACCTATTCGGTATATCGGCGAGCTCGAGCTGAACAAGAATGTGGACGAGTTCTTTACCCAGACAGAGCAAGTAGCATTCTGCACCAGCCACGTTGTACCAGGAATCGGCTTCTCAGACGATCCTCTCTTGCAAGGCCGAAACTTTTCTTATACCGATACTCAGCTGAGCCGGCTGGGCACCAACTGGCAGGAATTGCCCATCAACAAGCCAGTGTGTCCAGTCATGAACTTCAATCGCGACGGCGCAATGAGACACACCATCTCAAAGGGCAAAGTCAACTACTGGCCCAACAGATTCGAAGCTCAGCCACCAGCGACCCAGGAAGAGGGCGGATATGTCGACTACCCCGAAAAAGTCATTGGCATCAAGGAGCGAGCAAAGAGCGCAAAGTTCAAGGAGCATTTCTCCCAAGCACAGCTCTTCTTCAACTCGCTTTCTCAAATCGAAAAGTCTCACCTCATAGCCGCATTCTCGTTTGAGCTGGATCACTGCGACGAACCGATTGTGTATGAGCGGCTTGTGAAACGACTCGCCGACATTGACATTGGCCTCGCACAGTCTGTTGGGAAAATGGTCGGAGGGCCCGTTCCAGAAAGCAAAAGGCAGCCGAATCACGGGAAGAAGGCCAAAGGCCTTAGCCAGCTGGAGTATCTCCCAGACGAGCCGACGATTGCATCCCGACGAATTGGCATCATCATTGCTGACGGATACGATCCGATTGCTTTCAACGCCATGTACGGAGCAGCCAAAGGAGCAAAAGCCATCCCGCTGGTCATCAGCACACACCGGTCTCCTACTTTCGCCGATGGAGAGAGTGAAGACGGAAAAGGCATCACTGCGGATCACCATCTAGAAGGCCAGCGTAGCACAATGTTTGATGCCATCTTTGTGCCTGGGGGCAAGAAATCCATCGAGACGCTTTCCAAAAACGGCCGAGCGCTGCATTACATCCGTGAGGCGTTTGGCCATCTCAAGCCCATCGGGGCCACCGGAGAGGGCGTGTTGCTGGTTGAAAAGGCACTCCAGCTACCCGAACATGTGGTCACGTCCAGCGACCACGAAGCTGTGGAGAGCTATGGCGTAGTTACACTGAAAAGTGCGCAGCCGGAGGGCTTTGGAGAGGTCATGTCCGCAGTGAAGGGTGCCAAGGGGTTTTTGGACAAGTTTGCCTATGCGATTGGCAATCATCGCTGCTGGGAGCGGGAACTTGATGGTCTTAATACCATGGTGGCGTATTAGTGGAAGCTGTTAAACGCAGTTATCACAGATAAGATACTAGAGTAATCTATGGATTTATATGGAAGGCTCAAGGAACTGTTGAACAAATATAGGTAGCAAAAGAATTTTAAGGTTCGTGTTGGTCGTAAAGCTTTAAGTAAATCGGTCTTTATGCCGTTCCCTGTATGGTGACATCGGGCGTGATGCACGAAACCATGTGCTGTCCAATGAAGGCTCGTACAGCCAAGCAACTACTATACGACAAAGGCAGGTAGCCTTCGTATGGAGCAGCAGCCGACCAACCGTCACTGAAGACAGCTCTGAGAAGCACCATAGACCCAGAAAAACCGTTGCACCTACGCAATGCTGCTTCATTAGCTTGCTTGCTTTAAAGGGGGAGCTTTTGGCTGCGAGTACGGTAGAAGCGTACATATCTAGCGTAGCGATCCAGCGTAGTACCGTGAGCAAGCTCGCTATTTGTGACCGCTGAAGGGAAGATATAGACTGACTTGAGCTGTGCATCACCTCATGTGGAAGATTGCACCCGTCTTGTACCTACTGCTTATAGCATAGTAGTCCCAGGGATATTTGCATCTTTCGCAAAACAGCCTAATCTCTTATTTGGCAGAGGATATATATATAGAATGAGAGGTTCCTCATATTGAAATGATACATCAGTCTTTGGATCAAAAAAAGGCGTAAAAAGGGCGATTCAGAATGGGTTCCTACAATTCCACGCTCAGTCCCATCGAGACGTGCGTGAGTGCCATTTGCAATGGTCGCCTAGAGTGTTACCACCTGCCACAGAGTAACCTGGATCAAACGTGGAACAAACTATACAATCTCGCTCTTTCTCAATATCCTCAGATTGTCATTCGACCCAACAATGCTTCCGAAGTTTCTCAAGCGGTGAAGTGCGCCAGCGACAATGGCTATAAAGTGCAAGCTAGGTCTGGTGGCCATTCCTATGGGTAAGAGGTCAAATGGCTTACCGGCAGTGAAGAGCAAAATGAGACGCTGACGAATCGCAGAAACTTTGCTCAGAGTGCAAACGAAACCAACGGCATGATGATTGACCTGGCGAATTTGAAGGATTTCCAGATGAACAACGATACTTGGCACGCAAGCGTTGGATCAGGTTATAGACTAGACGACCTTGACAAACAGCTGCATCAGAACGGAGGCAGAGCCATTGCACACGGCACGTGTCCCGGAGTTGGAGTTGGCGGACACGCCACTGTGGTAAGTATATAGCTTTTGCATACTATTGGGCTGTTCCGTGCAGGATTTTGATACTTCGCATAGGGAGGACTTGGGCCCAGCTCAAGAATGTGGGGATCTGCGCTGGACCACATCATCGAGGTCGAAATCGTAACCGCCAATGGAACCATTGTTCGAGCAAACGAAGACGACTACTCGGATTTGTTCTACGCAGTCAGAGGAGCCGGAGCCAGTTTCGGCATCGTCACCGAATTCGTATTCAAAACGCATCCCGAGCCAGGCAGCGTCGTTGAATACACGTACAGCTTCAGCTTTGGCCAGCAACAGGAAATGGCGCCTGTATTCGAACAGTGGCAGGAATTGGTGTACGATCCTACCCTCGACCGCCGTTTCTCGACATTGTTCATCGCTGAACCTCTCGGAGCTCTCATCACTGGCACCTTCTACGGCACCAAGGAGGAATTCGACCAAACGGGAATCTCGCAAAAGATTCCCGGCGGAGGAGTTATCAATGTCGCTATACACGATTGGCTTGGGAGTTTGGCGCATATTGGAGAGACGACGGCGCTGTATCTAAGCGATCTCGCAACGCCTTTCGCCAGCAAATCATTGGCATTCAACAGAGGCGACAAGATGAGCAAAGAGTCTATCGACACGATATTCGACTATGCGGGCAGCACGGATGCAGGAACACTCCTCTGGTTCGTCATCTTCAACTCTGAAGGGGGCGCCATGGCAGATACTCCTTATAACGCAACTGCGTATCCGCACCGCAATGCAGTGATGATGTACCAGTCTTACGCCATTGGAATACCGACATTGACAGCAACGATAACCGATTTTGTTTCTGGAGTGCATGACAAGATTAAGCAGGCTGCTCCAGGGGCGAACATGACATATGCTGGGTACATTGATGTGTCGTTGGATAGATCGACTGCGCAGCTGACTTATTGGGGGGATAAGGTGCCTGGGCTGCGAGAGATTAAAGGTCGGTATGATGCTAATAATGTATTTCAGAATCCACAGAGCATTCAATTCCTGGGTTAGGGAAAAGTTGCGAGGATGCAAAGGGGAGAGGGAGTGTGTACGTTGTCCAATCTCAATGTTATGCTTCTGATATTATGATAGACTACACAATTGCGGCGTTGGATTGCGTCGTGAAATGTATCGTCAGTGTTCAAAGTCTAATCAAGTCAGGTAAAATTGAACCCATTTATTCTCTATTTTTCATGACTCTGATGCGAGTCATATGCTGCTTGCTGTCTTCAACCACTTACATGCGCACTACAGGGTGGTTGAAATCCCATAAAGTGGCCTTTGAGCGCCCGCCTTGAAACGCCGTATTACACACAGTGTAGCACATTGCTAGACTTATAATTTCTATATCGCATTAATAAATACTAGTCTGATGTCTTGGACATAAAACTTATAATGTACAATTCAAATATCGTAAAGAATTGCCGCAGTAGTGACGGGATCTTGGCGTTGAGCCGCTTACCAGATCTATATCCCGGTGGCGCTGGCTGTTGGTACAGCGCATGTTGTATGTCTCGGAAACGGAACCCGGCTATGGGCGGGTGACTGATTACCGTTGTCCATCGAAAAGAGCACATGGCTCTGTCTCATCTGCCTGCTCCTCAAGCCAAGGCCGTAGTATACGTGTATAATTCCTTTACTCCTACATCTCAGGCTGGAATACTTGCACAAACGCCATCACCACTTACTCCAAGTACATAGAATTGTCAATTGTCCAATCTCCAAGTCACAAACAGGCTAAGCCTGATTATCCCCTCCTCAGCTTATGGGCAGCCATCTCTCCTTCTCCACTACCCCGCGTTGCGACCAACTCAAGCTCTCCCTTTATTACCGAGAGAGGGGCATTAAAGTGCTGGATATTTGTCAAGCTTATGAGCCAATCGGGGTTTCAGACCCACGGCCAGTCTCGGCTCAACCTCCTCAGATTGCCCCAGATTGGCGATTACGGAGACATCACGCGGGCCTCGCAGACGCATCACCGGACGTTTACGCGGGGTCCAGATGGCATGGGCGATTAGATAACGGGAATCCTTAGTTGTGTGGGTAAGGCCATGTAGCTTTCCAAATAACTGCCCAAGTTGGGTTGGCTCCTGGTATGGCGATTCCATGCCTTTGCTGCATATCCTCCATTGACCGATACTTGGACGCGGCTGCCTCGTGCTATCACTTGACTGCTCTCCTGTCATCCTGCATTCAAAACGTCGATTTCACCTGTATCAACCAACCGGAATATTCTTCCTTCATCAACTTCAAGATTCATTCTCCTCATACGCTGCCCTAGTGCTCAATACGTCTGGCGCCTAAAGAGCTACGCAGGCAGCTAGCAGCCATCCATCCATCCATCCTCTCTCACATCTCAAGTAAGTCACTTGCCATATATCAGATACTCGATCCCTTTCGTGCCAGCTTCCATGCAACTATTCCGACAGAGCTTCATATCAACAAGAACACATTGCCATCCAAATAGTATGAAACAAAAAAGATGGATGCCCAATACCGTCATGCCCACTCTCAAAGCAAGCCCCTCATCGGAGCTTACTTGGGCCTCAACATCACCAAATACCCGATTCCGCCACCTTGATTCATTCATTTCACTGAACCTAGCCATTTTCACACAACTAACTCAGCAACAAGCTCTTTTCAAATAATCAGACGCCATGCCTCTTCTGCACCGCTCCGGGACGTCGCTGACGGCGGCCCTCTTGAGAAGTCGCCCCACCGCACCGATAGCCGGCGCCGTAGCCTCATCTCACAGCACATACACCCGGCGCTCGTCAAGTCTAACAGTTGCCGAATCCGCATCTAGAGCCCGGGGCCGAAGCCTCGCTGATAAAAGAGCAATCCCATCCTCTGCTCTTGTGAGTGCTCACCACAGACATGCTTCCACTGCGGCCATGGAGAAGCCAGACTACCAAAACATGTACACAGCCTCGTCGGCCTTTTTTGAGGCGCTGTGGGAAGCCGGCGTCACTCACTGCTTTGTAAATCTGGGATCTGACCACCCGAGTATCATCGAGGCGATGGTCAAGGGTGCTCGGGAGCGCAAAGGAAACTTCCCCAAGATGATTACTTGTCCCAACGAGGTAAGTCGTCCAGCGTCTTACATATGCTTGTAGTCTCATGAGCAACTCATATACAAAAATGGTGCTAATGCTCACTGTTAATCAGATGGTCGCCATGTCCATGGCAGATGGCTATGCCCGCCTAACCGGCAAGCCTCAGGCCGTCATTGTCCACGTTGACGTCGGCACTCAAGGCCTTGGAGCGGCCGTTCACAACTCAGCCTGTGGCCGAGCACCAGTTCTCGTCTTTGCCGGCTTATCGCCATTCACCCTCGAGGGCGAACACCGCGGTACCCGTACCGAGTACATCCACTGGATCCAGGATGTTCCCGACCAGAAGCAGATTGTTGCCCAGTACTGCCGGTACACGGGTGAGATCAAAACAGGCAGAAACGTCAAGCAGCTGGTCAACCGCGCGCTGCAATGGGCTAAATCGGGACCGCAAGGCCCGGTGTATTTGTACGGTGCACGAGAAGTCATGGAACAAGAGATTGAGCCGTACCAGCTGAGACAGAGCGATTGGAACCCTATAAAGCTGGGCAGCCTGCCCCAAGACGCCGTTGATAACATTGCAGATGCCCTTGCCGGTGCTAAACGGCCTTTGGTTCTCACAGGATATGGAGGCAGAAACCACGAATTCCCGGGAGCCTTGGTCAAACTCGCCGATACAGTTCCCAACCTGAGAGTAGTGGACTGCGGAGGCAGCGACATGTGTTTCCCCTTTGACCATCCTGCTTCTCTCGGTCTCAACTATGGCGGCGAAAAGTCCATTCCCGATGCCGATGTTATTCTTGTTCTGGACGCCGACGTGCCGTGGATCCCTGCCCATATCAAGCCCAACCCAGACGCCAGGGTATTCCACATCGACCTCGATCCACTAAAGCAGCAGATGCCCGTCTTTTACATTGAGTCTGAGGCAACCTATCGCGCTGATACCCAGACCGCGATTGAGCAGCTGACCGAGGCTCTCAAGACTGGTGAAACGGCAAAGAAGCTGCAAGCTCAGAACACGACACAAATCGCCGAGCAGCGCAAACAAGAGCACGAAACGCGTCTTGCCAAAATTGCAAAGGCCGCCGAGCCTCGTCCCGATGGTACCTTTGGAACTGGTTACTTGTGCCGGACCATCAAGAAACTCGTGCCGGAGGACACTCTGTTTGCCATTGAGGCCGTGACCAACACCCTCTTTGTCTACGACAACATCCAGCCCTCAGTCCCTGGAACGTGGATCAACTGCGGTGGTGGCGGCCTGGGCTGGTCTGGCGGCGGTGCACTGGGCATGAAGCTGGCTACCGATGTAGAGCATGGGGGCAAGAACAAGGGCAAGTTTGTCGTGCAGATTGTCGGTGATGGCACGTTTCTCTTTACTGTGCCAGGCAGCGTCTACTGGATCTCAAAACGCTACGACATTCCCGTCCTGACTATTGTGCTCAACAACAAGGGTAAGTCATCCACAATCCCCCATCTTCCTTCTTTGTGAGATACAGAAAACTAACGAATTCATGTGACAGGCTGGAACGCTCCCAGACGATCTCTGCTGCTGGTCCACCCCGAAGGACTGGGCTCCAAGGCGACCAACGAAGAGATCAATATCTCGTTTGATCCCGCACCCGACTACTCCGGTATCGCCAAGGCAGCTGCGGATGGCGACATTTTCGCCGCCAGAGTGAATGAGCTGGCTGATCTGGAGGGCGTGCTGAAGGAGGCCATTACCTATGTCGAGAACGGCCAGTCAGCGGTGGTGGATATCAAGGTTGCGTCAGGGTGTTAGAGCATTCTTCAGGTCATTTCTGTTTTATTTTATGATTTCTTGGGGTTAAGCGTTATGCGGATGCGTGTATGCAGACGGCGCTTTGGGCGGATAGAGGCAGACTTCAAGGATGATCAGTCGTCGTAGACTTGATGCATGTGTCGAGACAGATTCAGTTGGAATGAAATAGAGCCTCTTTGGCCAAAAACAGCGTTTCAAGCATTGCATTGTATGGTAGCGATGCTGCTGCCATCATCTCGATTCACTACGGAAATCGCGTATAAGTGCTATGTACGCCTCATTCTTTAGCACACTATCCCGAAAGTCACGTCTGTTTACCCAATGGCGCGATATTGCCATTACCGCTTCAACAAGGTTTGATTTATTTATAGCAGTATCGGTGAGAGTCTTACTGCAGCATGCACCCAGGATTGGTCGTTATCATTCCCTCTCCCGTCTTCTCAGCACAATCTATCCAATAAGATGCGAACAGATCAGTACTGTACGGTAGACGTGCCGCTAAAAGCCATATTCACCGAATGATGATGGTACTAAAGCAAAAAAAACACGGAACGCTGCATGGGATGCGCCTCCTCATTAATAAATGCGTGCTCCGACACGGGATATTTGCAGCGCTGGACCAATTGATTTGGCAGATTTCGATGCAGCTGCTCTGTAGAGTCTAGACCGCTTCACGGCAGACGCCACCGGTATAAGTCACTAATGAATGGGTGGCGGCAATGAAAGGATCATTAATCATTCGATGGAACAGCGTGGGGAGACGGTTCAAAGGATTGGCCAGATGTACCTTTACTTTGCCTCCCCTCTGTCGTGATGGCGAATGCGTGTACCTGCTTCGTTGTCGATCTCTTGTTGATTCTGCTATTAGGGTTCGATCTGTAGTTTAGGTCGAGTCTATTCCAGCCCGTCATATTGGCCGGGTGGGGGAAGAAGCTTACTGTACATGCGCTTGTGGCGTCAAGCTATCGATGGAACGAGCAGTACATGTGGCAGTTTGACAGTTGCTAAGCAAGACGTGAAATTAGGGGTCCTTTTAGTTGAGTTAATTCAAAGGCCTGGTGTGGATCGAAAGTGCGAAACAACCGGTACCGGTACTTGGATATATGGAGAGCGGGATGAATAGAGTGGGATGGGATGGGCCCCCAATTTGAAAGAGGAATGGATGTGCGAGTTGCTAAGATGTACACGTATCGAGCAGAGCAGATGTTGGAAAGGGTCCAATACGGTGACATGATGTCCAATATGCAATCAGCAACCGAAGGATTGAGTCTCGTAAAGAGCACGTCGCATTACATATACCTGTGCCGTAACTCACGGCAGAATCACAGCCATCAAGTCCATCACATCCATCACATCCGCCAAATCTCACTGCACGCGCCTCTACACGTGGGGTTTCTAATTTAGGCGCCGGCTCCCAGGGGCTGCCGCATCGAGCAAATCATCAGCCAGATCAAACCCGCCAGCATCTGCCCATCTGCCCATTCCGTGCTCCGTCTGCCCATCCGTCTCTTGTCCAAGCTCCAGCTGTCTCGAGTCCCTGAAGAAATAGGGCGCTCGGTCCACTAACAGCGGCCCCCACGGCTCTTTTTTTTTTTCCTTCAGGCGGCAGAGCGTTTGTGCTGATCACGAGGCCAACGGGATTTCCAGCGCGGCAAGGGAGTTTCCGGTTTTTTTTTTTTTTCCCGTTCTCCAACTTTAACTCGCCTCCCGACAGAAGCCGTTTGCGGAAACGAACATCGTGTGTGTGGCGACCGCAGAGCCCGAAGAACTCGAAGCAGCCATTCAGAACAGGAGGAGACGGAAAGGAAGATCAAGAGGCGCAGCAGGGACCGCGACGACGATCGACAAGGCCCTTGAGGGAACATGCGACATCTTTGTTTCTTGCCTGTCACCGACCGAGTTGGCGCATCCACGACTGCGTTTCGTAGCGATACTCTGCGATAAACAGCGATAGACAGCGATACAAACGAAGAGCCATCATAATAACACGAGAAGCAAGAAGAGAAGAAAGGAAAAAGACGACCAGGACCAGTTCTGCGACAACGCGCCGCAGCCACGGCTACACCACATCCAACCTCGGCTGCCATCTCGACGACCATCCAACCGCCATCTTGCGCGCATATCTTCGTCCTTCATCCCGGCGGAATCAACTCAAGACGCGGCCATGTCCTCTGCTGCGACCGAGACGCAGCAGATCGAGGCGCCCATGGCGATCCAGCTGCAGCAGCCAGACGCCTCCTCTCTCGATCCCAGCCCCGTCCACGATCTTCCGCCGCCGCCAGTGCCCTCGTCCGATCCGCGACTATCCATGGACAGCAACAAGAGCCCTCCCGCAGACTCAGCAACACCCACAAACAACGACGACTATGATCTGTTCAAGCTCAAGCCCATCGACGCGCTGCAGCTTCTCAGCGCAAGCGTCGAGCTGCTGGTCCGCATCACCGGCGACGTCCCTCCCACGCCGCCGCCAAAGACGCCGACCGACCCTCAGATGAGCAACATGCAGGCCGAGAAGGAGAGTATCGCGCGGTCACACTCGGAAAAGAGCCTTGCGCGACTGCGGGCGCAGGCCCTGCTGGAAGAACAGGAAGAGAAGAACAGAAAGCTGCGCATCAAGCGCCAGCAAGAGGAGCAGCAGCAGCAGAATCTGCAGAAACAGAGCCGCTCGTCGGCAGCAAGTGTAAGCAGAAGCAAGCTCCAGGCGTACAGCGCGTCCATGTCAGCCCTGCTGATAGCTCAACAGGACGCCCAGCACAACGCCTATGCCATCGACGGCGTACGCCTAAGACACGACCATCTCAAACGCTCGACGCCATCGTCTTCAGCCCCGAACCTCCACCCCCCAGAGCCATACGTCGTCGTCGGCGCCGATTCACAGCCGCTCAACATGCAGCACGGCGCCATCACCCGCAAATTCTACAGCAAAAACGAACCGCCCATCTCCGTCCACCAGTATCTGCTTCGACTGCACCAGTTCTGCCCCATGAGCACAGCCGTCTATCTCGCCACGTCGCTATACATCCACCGCCTCGCCGTCGAGGAGCGCGCCATTCCCGTCACGAGACGAAACGCCCATAGACTGGTCCTCGCGGGCCTGCGGGTAGCCATGAAGGCGCTCGAGGATCTGTCATACCCGCATACCAAGATTGCAAAGGTCGGCGGCGTCAGCGAGGTCGAGCTGGCACGGCTAGAAATTAGCTTTTGCTTCTTGGCTGGGTTTGAGCTCGTCGTGAGAGAGGAGCTGTTGAAGAAGCATTGGCAGGTGCTGAGAGAGGGTAAGATGGTGATTGATGGCATGCAAGTCCCGAAGCTGAAGTTGGAGAAGAAGAGGAAGACGTCCCGGGAAGTTGCTCAGCTGTCGCAATGATCTGACGGTGTTGATGGTGGTGCTGCTGCTGTTCCATGTGCTTATACGCATTAAAAAAAAGCTGTTTAGCAAAATTGCACTTCGATATATCCAGGCCAGGACTTGGAGTTTTGACATTGCTCATTCTCCAGGTCTTGTTTGGCCCTTTTTTCTTTTCTAATTCTCTTTGCATATTTTTGGAGGGCTTGGCATCTTGCATAGGGCAGGCATGGGAGAGAGAATGACGATGCAGCCAATGTGGTCGTCTTCTCTGAGTTGTTTGTGCTTCAAATATGTCTTTATTCTTCTGTTGGCTGGGCGGACTGGGACGGGAGTGGGATTTGGGATCATTTTCTTATTGGAGCAGCTGAGCTTGTTTTATTGTCATGTACAGAGATACCCATACGGCTATATATATTGCAATGCCATCTCTGCAATTTCTTCTCATCTGCGACGCTCAATGACGTTTCGATTTGTCTGTGTAGCCGCATACTTGGTGCTTGATATGGTGACGCACGTATATATGCCCTTGTATCACCCCTTTTCTTGTACAATTGATGCCAAATCTGCAAATCAAATACAACTAACTACCTCTCCCATCTTCCTCCTCTCTCCCTTTCCAATATAAGTGAAACATTCGATTCTTCCCCATCTCGGCGATATGCAAGGGAGCGGACGTGTGTAGCGCCGATGGCACGGTCCGAGATGATGCTTCAGTCTCCGGCCCGAACTAGGTCCCGAGACGGTTCGACGTCGAATTCGGGTTTCATGCAAATTCTGTTTTTATCCCGACTCTTACATTCTAGAAGAAACCCAATTTTGTTTTTGCTTTACATTTCAGTTTCCTTCAAAATCCATTTACATCCATACATCTTCCCCTAAGATGCCTGTTTCAGCAGCTGCTCGCCGGCGACTCATCCGCCTCACCCAGGCTCTTGTTGGCGGCCCCGTTGTCGTCTTCGGAGGACTCGCCTTGTGGACTCGAAAATGCGCATTTGAGCCCTTTGGACCAGACACCGACCCATTGTTCAAGCATCCAGTGTTGAAGCAGCTCAATCCTCAAAGTCTGCCCAGTACTCATGATTCGTGTGTCAGAAAAGTGCCTTTTGGCCAGCTGAGGCCGGAGTTGCTGGAAGATGCGAGGCGGGGCGGGAGCGCGTTGGTGCAAGAGTTTTCGAGAGGAATGTGGGGAGGTTATGGTATTTATTTTACTATACAATGAAAGACTTGTTGACAAGTTTTGACTAATTGGGCGTAGGATATAGAATTCAGAGGAGGATAATGGAGTTTACAAAAGGTCCCGAGAATGCTTCCGATGTATGGACTCCCGAAGAGCTGGGACGGGATACATTTGAGCCTGGTGCGTCAATTCAGCTCTTACTAGCTGGCTTAGTACCTAGCTGACCTTGAACAGGAACTGTCCTCACGAATCATTTTCTCGTCCTCGAAAAGTCTCCCACGGAATTGCTTTTTCGGGGCTGTCTCTCTCCGAAAGAAACGCCATTCCGACTCCGCGATTTGGATAACTTCTTTGCTCTCAATGCGGAATTGAATGAAGAGCGGCAAGAGGCCGAGTTTAGACTCAAAGCGATATCATTCGACGCGGTGACAACGACGCCGAAGGAGGATCCGCTTGGGGGGGTGCCGGGGATGCTGCATAGGGTGTATGCGAAATTGTTGGTTGAGGCGGCGGTTGGATGGTGTGTGAGGTAGATGATACCATAGGAAGAGGCTTTTTGGAGAGCTTCTGGTGGGACTTGTATGATATATGCTATGGGGGAGGATGTCAATTTTGAGTAGCAGTGATTTCACATTCATGTTGAAGGAGGATGAGCTGTATGATACTTTCTCTCATACCAAATAAGGTAATTCGCCACACAAGAGACGCGACGGTATCAGTCATATGGTATTATATTTGACTGGAGGGTATCATTAGTGAAACATTCGAACGGCATCCTACTATAACATGGCTTTTATAAACCCTTTATCTAATTGGTAAGAGACAATACGGAAGGATCTCCGGTGTCTATGGCACTGGGTAACACGTCAACTACTATTAAGCGGGTCAGATTATGGCCGTGGGGATCCATGCCTCGAGACTATACAAAGGGCCATCATGTCAAACAGGTAGTTTGAACTTGATCATCGACTAAACAGGGAATAGAGCATCACTGGTAAAAGCTACAACTACTAATCATTAGTCCCGACATTAAGCTGATAAAGGAGGGCTTGGACAACGCTAAACGTCTCCGAGGGTAATGACCCTTTTTGGTATTACATCAAGCAATATAGGCACTGGACTCTCTGAAGAGACTCCAGTCATTTGATAGCCTCATCTCTACACTTGAGACACATCATTTTTGTTGCTCATTGCTGTATGTGTATATGAACCCTACTTCGGCTTTTGTTCTGCGTACTCTTCTAAGCATATGATAATCCTGAGTCTAGCCATAATATCGTATTGATATAAGCCTGTTTAGCCTTAATGTGTCTCCTCCACTTGACCCCCTCCGCGGACAACTCCAAAACGAATATTATCTAATAAGTTGCTAGCCGCTTTAGAATCTGCAACACAACGCATTAGTTATCGGTTACCTGACCTAAAAGGCTTATTGGAGCAAGAGATCCTGGCTGTTTTCACTCAAACTAATATGCCGTGTATATGTACTTACGTTTATAAACGCCACCGTGGAAGCTTGCAGTAGCGTCCTTGCCAATGTGTGCCACTAGGAGAGCTCTACCACCTGGATGACTCTCAATGAATCGCTCAACATCGTATATGACCCCTGAGATACAGACCAAGTGTCTAGAGCCGCCGAGATGTATACAGAGAGCCTCATATTCGGACCAAGAGTAGATAGGGAGTGTATCAACCGCAGGGCCCCAGTTAATTTGGCACTTGAGTCGTTCGACCAGCTTCCACTTCTGTTGAAAGATGGCTTTGTTGATCTCATTGGCCTCGAACTCCTGTAGATGACTTGCCAACCCCAGCCAACCCCACTACGCATGATTAGCAGCATTTCGGCATTTAAAAGCTATACATTAATGCCATCAAGGGGACTTACAAGCGATATACACCATTTAGTAGGGTCATAGTCAAACCACCTAATGCCATTCCGGTAATCGGTGGGAAACTCATGGTGGAAGTTATGGTAGCCTTCTCCAAACGTAACTAGAGCAGTTAAAATGTGGTCCCTTGGCGAGGTTGCATCTGCATACGGCTGATCTCCGAGCCAATGTGCCAATGAGTTAACACAGTTAGTTGCCTGCTGGAAGAGAAATACTCGGATGATGCCAGCATAGAGAAGGCCGCCTGATCCATCATTCCATCCAAATTTGGCAATAAGAAAGGGAAGAGCATAACCAGTGAAGAGGCACAAAAAGGGAAAGTTTCTGTGCTGCCAGATCACTACTTGGTCTTGGAGCAAATCAGACATCTCAACGTGCCCTTTCGAGTTGGGATCAGGCCTGAAAATTAGCCATCCCATGTGAGACCACCATATGCCCTTGCTCACATTGTACGGGTCTTTTGGAGTATCCACATAACGGTGGTGGGCACGATGCATCTGGCACCAGTTTAATATTGAGCCCTGAACACTACTTGCGCCAGCAAGTGCCAGAAAGAAGCTTAAGCCTGGAGAGGCAGTGAATGATCGATGTGACCAAAGGCGATGATAACCTATTTTCATTGAATATCATGGGATTGGCTTTGTACGCCTCATGATTAAAGCGTTTGGGGGGTAGACCCATACTTACCAGCCGTGATGCCAACACCAGATATTATATATAATATTCCTCCCAAGATAAACGTTTGATAAGATAGCAATTGGAAAAAGCTCCAAAAGAATCCAATAAGAGGCAAAATGATACAGAAAGTAATGTTATTCGGCTGCAAGATAGAAAGAAATCTTCTAATATCGTGAAGAGTTTGCTTAAAGACATTGCCTGTCTGGTATAAGATCCTTGGCTTTATGGCCATTGCAAGAACAATTTTCTCAAAACTGGAATGAACAAGCAGTTAGAATAGTTTGATGAGTGACTTTTTCAGTTCGGAGAGCTGTAAAATACGAGACGGTTCATGGTATTTGTTACACGACGAGGGGTAGGTCAGCCTTCTTAAATGATATGTCTTGGCTCATGCGTTTGACGTAAAGACCCCATACGATACACATGTACTCCCCTGTCACAATACAAAATATATTAACACATTTGCAAGTTCTACTCCACCACAGTCCTTTCACCGCTTCCTCTCCACTTTACCACGCAATCTGTCTGATAAAACCTGGAGCATTATGGTAGGACTCAACGTATCATCCAAGCAGCCTCTACCCGACGGGGATTGATGATATGCCGATATCTCATAAAGTGACTCTGTCGGACTCTAAGACAGACTAGTCAGCCCCAGGGATTCTGTCGACCTTTGCCTTTCATCCAAGCGAAGTTGCGTTAGGATTGATAGGATCGGCCTAATTCCACCATGGCAGGTCATTTAGGAAGGATTTTTCCTAGGATTTTAGCAGTCCAAGAAGCTAGACACGTAATGCCAGCGAAGCCAATCGTTGAGAATGAGGAGGTGGAGAATTACACGCGATGGAGTCCTCGGTGGTCGTGATGCTTTAGGTTACACTAGCATTGCAGTATCAATTTCCTTTTTAGATACTTTGGAGTTTAAATAGCTGTAAAAGGTCAATGCAGGGTTCGGCATTATTGATCCAAGAGGCGTCGTAGTTATATTTAAACGGAGGATTTGTCTTGCGTCGACGTTTTGGTTGAACCGCCGTTTCCCATTTTTATTGTTCTCATAAACTAAGGATCTCTTTTTTATTGTTCTCATAAACTAAGGATCTCTTGGAGAATTTGAAGCCAGAAGTCCCAACAACCGAGATCAAATCTCATATACGCCATGGCGACAAAAACATTGAGTAAGCTGTCTTTGACAAGCTACAGCCTATACAATGCTGTCTCTGATTCTATTGCGAATTGGTCGCGCGGGTTCATCCTGGCGGCCCTCAAGCGGATTACTATTGGCGAAATAATCATCAAGGACATTACAGCAAATGAAACAATGCAGTTTGGCAAGTCAGGGAAACTATCAACCACTCTTACTGTTAACAGCAGCGCCATGTGGTGGAGGGTACTTAGCCGTGGTTCTCTTGTAAGTTGGGTATCCAACAGTCTGCCTTACATGATCCATCTCACACCTCGATAGGGATTCTCTGAAGCATACATGTTGAGTGAAGTGGACTGTGATGATATGGCCAGCTTCCTTGAAGTGAGATATGCCTAGCTCTTTCATAGATACCGCCGCAGAAGAAGATATCTAACCCATGCGTCCAGATCATGGTCTACAATCGAAATGACACCGCCGACATGAGAACTCCGCTGTCATATCTGACTTCATCCCTGGTGGGATGGGCTCGGGCGTCAAATAAGCCGCTAATGTCCCTGGCAAATGTGCAAGCGCACTATGATCTTTCCAACGACATGTTCGCCGCGTTTCTATCGCCCGATATGACCTACTCATGTCCAAAGTGGCTACCGGTGGATAATGCGGAAAGCAAGACTGACAATCTGGAGAAGGCACAGATAAGGAAGCTGCAGGAAATCATCCAGCAGGCCAGAATCAAGGAAACAGACCATGTTCTTGAAATAGGAACCGGCTGGGGCAGTTTCGCCATTGAGGCTGTGAGATCCACTGGATGCCGCGTAACAAGCTTGACACTGTCCATTGAGCAGAAACAAGAGGCAGAAGCAAGGATATCTGCTGCCGGATTTGAAAAGAACATTACGGTTCTTTTGAGTGATTACCGAGAGTTGCCGAAGCAAGGTCTGCTGTTTGACAAAGTTGTGTCCATTGAGATGCTGGAACATGTCGGGAAAGCACACCTCCCTGGCTATTTCGCCACGGTAAACGAGCTGCTGAAGAAGGAGGGAGGTATTGCCGTATTTCAGTCTAGTACAATGCCCGAGACGGTTGGTGAAGTGATTCTATTCATGGGATAATGGACTAACATGCTTCCAGCGGTACATATCCTACGATAAGGGCAATGAGTGAGTGAACCCCCCACGCCAAAACCGTTGTTAATTCCAACTAACTCTTGCCGTAGCTTCATTCGACAATACGTGAGAAATATGGCACTGTTACTCGGATAGGCAAACGGACTCCAGCTGACATCTGTAGATCTTCCCGGGCGCACATCTCCCTACGGCAACGCAAATGGTGGAAGCGGCGCACCAAGGATCAGGCGGATCTCTCATACCGGACCGCTTAATTAACCTAGGCGGGCATTACAGTCGGTGTCTTCGGGCTTGGCGCGAAAACTTCGCTGACAACTTCGAATCCCACATTGTGCCCGGCCTTTTGGAACGCAACGGAGGAATCACCAAGTCAGACATGGAGATATTCAGGAAAAAGTGGATGGTAAGCACTCTAACACACGCAGACACGTTGCATGTTTTGGCAGCAGCTGAGCTCGCCTATGCCTTGACTAACTGTTTATTACCTGCGTCTAGTTTTACTTTTATTTTTGCGAAGCTGGGTTCAAGACAAAAACACTGGGAGTTACCATGATTACTTTTGTGAGAGAGGGGTCGATTGATACGTTGGAAGGGCTTGTACAGTAGGAGCAGACGTCTGTTAGAGCAGAGTAGCATTTATGAATGAGCAATTGATCCATCGTTCGAGTAATAAACTCCTTCTATTTTCGAATAATAAGACCTTGTACAGCTGTCACTTGTTAGCGTTGTTGAGATGAACTGATATCTCTCCTTAGCGAATCCTGCTCCACTCACATCCTGTCGCTTAGCCCTATTGATCCTTCGTTACCTCTCTGCGATAGAATTCCTCTAAAATCAGTAGCAGGTTGAGCCTAGTGTAACACGGATCAGATCATTCTCTAGGAAGTCGGTGTTCAACTCTGTGCATTCGGTGCCGACGGAGACAAGGGCGAGCTAAGAAGTAGTCTAAATCGGATTACTCATTGACAGACAGATCAGCCCTCTCAGACCCTTGGACCCTGCATATGGAGATCTTACAGGTCAAAACAAGGCACAACGGTTAGCGAAGAGGCGGGCAATCTAACCTGGTGATAGCTAGGGCAGTTTGACAAGTAGCCACGGACTGCTATGTGAGTGCTTGTAAGGCTACTGCAAACCTTCATTTGAAGAAAAATTGCCAATATCAAGGTTGTAATCCGTATTTAATGCTAATTGAGTTTGCATAGAACACGGCAGAATATGTAACTCGCTCTTGAAATTGCTGCATGCATCATATATCAAATTACATTTTTTTAGAGAGGTCCAAAACTAACACTGTCAAATAATAAAAACTTCTGCTCTACTATCCATAGATCACTCTCGTAAGGCTCCCACTCTAGCCCATAACCGAGCCCTTGACGTACAAGCATGCATGCTTACAAGTGACATGGATATGCAGCGCCTGGCTTTGCAATCATGTGTTGCCCCGGGGGCCTCAAAGATATGGAGTAAAAGCGCCGTATTGCGGTAAAAGCGACATTTTGCGGAACTTAACAAGGATCGGTAAATTTAACGCAACCGCAGTTCAGCCTTAGCGATATGCGAGAGGGCGCGAGGCTCACCCCTGGTAGAGAAAGGCTACAATATCTTTCTTCTTCTTCTTTTTTTTTTATGCCCGATTCGTATAGTATACGAGAGTGGGTTTCTGGGATGCTGGGGGCATTTATGTTAGTGCTCTTTCGACTTCACTACACGTAACCTATCTGACCTATACTATGACACGATGTGATGCTAAAGCGCATTGCAGAAAACCGTTGCGGGTGGCCATGGATTATACCGCCAGGCATATCCACTGCATTACAAAAGTGCAAACTGAGCAAGGAGCATAATCCGGCATTATGTTTCTCGGCATTTGATCCCTCGGGTTTCGCGATTGAGATGGCTATCTCAACTCCGATCAAAAACATGTTAGCTGCTTACTCTTCTTGGGGCAGCTCGACGTATAGCAAAAATCAACAACGGCAATTACATGGTTATTCCCCCCCAGTATACGTAGTCCCTTGTTGTTTTTTTCTTTTGAAACCCTTACTTGCCATGAGCAAGGGAGTGATCAAGTGAAGATGATTCAAGTCTCTAGCTGCTGATCGTGATAAGCAAACAAGCTATGCACACCAAGCCAAGGACAGCTAAAAGGAGCAATGTAACGGGGAATATCGGGATTAATATTACGCCCCATCGCCAAATTGCCGTGTAGTCTTGTAAATGCCGTGATTTAACAAGGGTCATGTTTGCCTACTTTCAGTATAAGTATCATGTCATATCTCAAGTAAGCTTTGCGTAGTCACCGGTTTATCGCCATGAGATATCAGCACTTGCGTAGATGGCTGTCATATTCTTTCGGAAAATAACCCAATTCATTTTCTAACACACGATGTTAAGAACAGGCCACTCAGTGCCATTTTCTTACCAGTTTGCACCTCTTTTATAAGAGTTTGTGTGAACCAAGTTAGCGATGGATCTCTGGCGTTTTCGGCCACATCTTATTACCGTCAGAAGGATCATCTTCAACACAAGATGTACTAAATGGCACAGCTGCTCTTATCAGTCAATATACAAGGAAATCAGCACACAGGGTAAGCCCATGCTCCTGAAGATTCGCCAATAGACCACTTCGAACGTTCTTTGCAAGTAAACTGCGCAAGCGAGGGCATTGACGAAAATGCAATGTCACAATAGCGTTTTTGTGTACAAGTAGCTTTTACAAATTGACAAAGGCACGTCATGAAATCAAGATTACAAACAGTTGAAAATAGCATTACAGATCGTCGCTTCGGTTCACTTAAAGCCTCTTTTCTGATAACCCTCCGTGAGCGGTGTGGATCCCCAAACTTTGATAAAGTACCGGGGAAGGCTCTCCGTAGTATAGCTCCAAGTTAGTCTCTAGATAGAGTTTTCACTATTTAATCGTTCAAGATCTCGGCGAGATTAGCGTTCGGTCCGAGTCAGCCACAATGGCGTAAAGAGGTACAAGTCCATCCAGAAGAGGATGAAGTCTCAACGGCCGTTCGCTTTTGGAATATCGGTGGAGCATCATCTTAGCGATATAACAATTATTTAGACACCTATGGGCTTAGCCGATTGATAAGTGCAAACCAAAATTACCTACCTGGTAGTGGCGCTTGGTCGCGGTATCATGTGTCCTAATCTAGGCAATTACCCAACTCTAAATCATGAGCTCTACTTGCTGTTTGGATCACTCTGGAGCACAATACCTTTAGTCAGGTAGTCGAGACAACGCTGATTTCGTCCCAAACATTGGACCATCGCATAATCATTGACGCCCAATTTACATCTATGAGTTTCCAGTGGATGTCGGTGGCTTCAATGTCAGCATCTCCGTTACCGCTACAAAAGCTTCATCATCTCGTATAAGCAGTTATCCAGGTCGCTACGCGGCTATTCCACGCCATGGGAAGCCCGGTTTTCAACAATGTCTCATCAAATTATTGAAATAACGGCCAACAGCGAGTCTACCAACAATCCCACAACAAAAGAAGCGAATGTGGAAACCACCGGACAGGCCACAGCCATACCTGTCGCAGAAGCGGATCTCGTGACCTCTTTGAAGAAGCTTCTTGAAGAACACGAGCTGGACCAAAACTTTCCTCGGGATATCCTAGACCGAGTCCGAGACTTTCTCGACAAACAAACGAGCCATGGCTCAGCGACAGACCTTGAATTGGCGCGAACTCTCCATGACGAATGCCTCAAGCAGATAAACTTGGCATTGAACAATTCGGCATATCCAGAAGTCCGCGCCGTCGTCGATCCCACCGATGATCCCACATTACCGGTAGCGACTTTCCGAGTGTTGTTGCTGGGCACAATATTCACCGTTCTGGGTACCGCAATTCAGCAGTTCTTTTCGTTCTGCATGCCAGCCATCAATATCACGACATATGTCATTCAGCTGCTCTCCATGCCCCTCGGCGTAGGCATGGCCAAATGGCTCCCTTCTCGCACGTTGACTATTAAAAACTATACCTTTTCCCTGAATCCTGGCCGCTTCAACGAAAAGGAACATCTTCTCATCGCCATCATGGCAAATGTTGCCTTTGCTGGGTACATGCATGGAGCATACATTGCAAGCCCCATTCAAGTTCTTTCTCTGGATCGCTTTTACGGAGAAAAGGTCCTCTCTAATAGTTCTGCGTGGCAGATTACGACTTTCATTGCTACACAGATGCTTGGTTATGGCTGCGCCGGGATCAGCAGGAGATTTCTTGTTTCTCCCTCTTCCATGATCTGGCCGCGGCCTCTTGCCAGTATTGCCCTCACAAAAGCGCTACATAAAGACGATGCTGATAAGGATGCGCAGAATGCAGCCAATGGGTGGACTATTTCGAGATACTGCTTCTTCCTCATCTGTTTCTGGGCCATGTTTGTGTGGTACTGGATCCCAAACTACATTTTCCAACCTTTTGCTCTGTTTAACTGGCCCACCTGGTTTTCGCCCAGCAATGTAAAGCTCGCTATAATCATGGGCAGTACTTGCGGACTGGGGCTGAATATTCTGCCAACACTGGATTGGAATGTTTCGACTCACTTTGGAGATCCAATTGTCACGCCCCTCTTCACAATCGTCAATTGGGCCTTTGGTATGGCTTTTATGGGGTTCGTTATAGCACCAATCGTATACTTCAACAATGCATGGCACTCCGGCTATCTCCCCATCAACTCGAACAAAGTCTATGACGACTCTGCAAACTTGTACGATGTACGAAAAATACTCAACGCCAACATGACACTCAACCAAGACAAATATGAGGCCTATAGCGTCCCCTGGCTATCAGCAAACATGATACTCAAGCTCGGCGCTTTCTTCAAGCTGTATGTAGCTGTCCCCATGCAGATGTTTCTGTGGCATCGGAAGCAAATAATACAGAGCCTTAGATCGATATGGGACCGTAAGACGCGCGAAGACAATTTTAACGATGTGCACAACAAATTGATGCGAGAGTACGACAAGTGTCCCGATTGGTGGTATCTGATTGTTCTCGCCATATCTTTTGTGCTGGCATGCATATCTGTGACGGTGTGGCCGACAGGTATGCCCGTTTGGGGCGTTTTAATAGCTGTACTCTTCACGGCCTTTCTTCAAATTCCCTTTGGCATGCTTACAGCAATCACCAATATCGAGCTACCAACAAGCATCCTGTCACTCTTGATTGGAGGCTATGCTTTGGAAGGGAAAGCCATTCCGAACATGGTTTTTATGCTATACAGTTATGTATCTACTTCGCAAGCTCTGAATTTCGTGGCTGATCTCAAAATGGCTCATTATGCTAAAATACCGCCAAGAGTAGTCTTTGCCGCCCAAGTTTACGCCACGCTCATCGCGGCGTTGGTTGCTTTTGCTGTCAATCGTTGGGTTCTTACCAATGTGGATGATTTATGCTCCGAGTTCCAAAAAGAGCGATTTTCCTGCCCCCATACGCATACGTACTTTATGTCATCTATCCTCTGGGGTGTCGTCGGCCCTCGCAGGCTGTTTGGGCCAGGAGGCCCCTACCGTGCCATTATATACTGTATTCCATTCGGCATCATTCTTCCAGTTGGCGTGTATTTTGCAGCAAAACGATGGCCTAAATCTTTTTGGCGGAGCGTGAATGTGCCCATCCTGCTGGCTGGCCCATTGGGATGGGCTCCTTATAACTGGAGCTACTTGCAAGGCACACTGTCGCTGGCTTTGTTTTTCAATTTTTACATCAAGAGGTGGTATCGGCCCTGGTGGGACAGATACGCATATGTATTGACGAGCTCGTTCACGTCCGCGATTGGGATTTCGGGCCTGGTGATTTTCTTTTCCTTTCAGAAATGGAACGTCAGGTTGGACTGGATTGGGAATAGAATAGCATGGCAGGGGGTTGATAGAGGAGGATATGTGGATGCTGAGGGGCATGTTGTTAGGTGTACCAACTTGATGTTGGAGCCAGGTGAACGGTTTGCATAGATGGAATAATGCTTTATAGAATAAGACTTTTATTTGCCATTATATATGACATCAGTCTATGGAGGTAGCTTTCCCGTCGTTAGCTGCAATACAGACCTTCCGGTTTGCTCTCGGCGAGGCTGGCATCCAACGGTGATACATGCGATGGAAATGTCGTGGTTGGCGGGAGACGTATCTGCCAACGCGACAAAATTGCTCGCGGCGTGCATCTTTGTAGGTACCTCCGCGAGTGGATTACTGTGTTGGATGATTCTGGCGTCGATTCTGGAAGAAGGATGGTTGTTACTGGCGATCTGGGGGTCTAAATCCCGTGCAGCCTCCTCTCTTGATCAAAACACCGTTGTTTGACCGAGTGGGCTTCATCTACAGAATAGATGTTGATGGCAGAGCCTTTCTCTGCGTAACTTGTCAAAAGCGATACAGTAAAGGCCAATGAATCTCGGTACGTACTATTCAGAGGAGCAGACTGAGGATCCAAGAGTATCAACAAGTGCTAGTCAAAGACGGAAAATTACTCCCCCACATTCACCGAATGTAACACGGCGAATGCATGAGTAAAAGAGAAGTCGAAGAAAAAGTCAAAGGCGTCGAACCAGAGCAAGCCGAAAGCTACGATGAGGAACAGGCCCAGCTGTGCGATGCCGTCACAGATCTCGACATGGCCTTCTAGCCCTGCTACGCCGCAGTATGTTTTGGCGAGGGAGTTGAACGTGGAATTAGCAAATTCGCTAGACATTTTGGTGTCTTCTGGTGAAGTATATGGTGGTTGTAGAGTTTTTGGAGACGGTGAGCGCTGATGTTGGGTACAGTCGGGATTATTTGTCGGTATACGCAGCGTAGAGTAGAAAGGAAGAGAATGTGAGAGTGTCATCTGTTGCAGCGAAGCACAGTATATATTGATACTGATGGGTTTGACTTTGTGTTTACGCGTCTATTTCGCTGCCCACAAGTTAAAGTATTTGCTTCAATACCTTGGTTCTCTAATGTTCTTCGCCACGAGTCCATCAAGATAGTTTCTACAAACGCCACGTATAGCTACCTACGGATTAGGTTTTTCGTAAACTAATACTGACTCATTAGGCCCAAAAGTATAGCAGGTCAAATTAACGCTCAAACTCTCTTACAACTGAATGGTACCTGAAAAAAAGCAATTAGAGTGGAGGTAGAGGCTAGAGGTTAGAGGTCAGAAGAAAACTACATCAATGTCCATTAAGTAACCACTATTTGGACGCTATTTAATGAAAGCGATACGTTTCATTAGTCCTCATTCAAGGCATATGTCGAACTTTTCCAGTCACACCATGTCTGTCCCCAGTAGCATGTTAGCGTCGAGGCTGTCGACGAGTATCGCTTCTCGCCCAAAAGTGGCAAACGCTCTGTTCCCGTCCGGTGTGTTTCCCAAGGACTTGAAGGGTAGTATAAGTTACTCGTCTGAAGAGTGTTTGTCTTTTTGAATACCGTCGGTTGCAACCGGTGTTGCTCTTGTTCGGGTCTCGAGAGTTGGCTGCTGCGCGGCGAGAAACTGCACGCTCACCCAAACCCAATGCACCAGCAACAACGGCAAACGTCGCCATGCTCAGGGCACACACACTGCAGAATCCATAGCCCCAATTCGGACGAACAAGCCCTTCGGCAGCTATAGCTATCTCTGGTATAGGATTCTCCAATCCCGACAAGAGCTACCCCAAGAGCCCTAGAGTCACCTCCGATAGAAAAACAATCACCTACGCATAGGTACGTCTATGCATTTCCAAACCAACTCGAGCGCCTCGCCGTCACCAGAAGCGAATATCGTACTTCCCGGGCCGGGTATCGATTTGGCAACTCCGGTCTGACACAGAACGCACCCTCGAAGCCGCCCCCCTCCAAGAAAACTACAACAAACTCAACAAACTCAACAAACATACGCCGACGCGCTCAAACACACCAAGACTGCCAAATATACTCTATTCGATGCATACACACGAGACATACACTCATTCGTACAGCACTTGCTACAAAATACCAACTCAGCTAACCTACAACAAGCAGGACGCAAATAGATTCGTCGTCGGCTGCACCGAGCATACGACAGCAACTCATTCGCCAATATAAGCGCTTTCACGAAGGTGTTGGCTCATTCTACTACAGCAAAGGAAGATCGCACCTGATACTTGGTCGCTGCCTACGGCCTCGCTACCGACGATGCAGAAGTCTGAGCGCTGGGAGGCCGTTGTTGATTCTATATTTAAACAAAAAAACAGAGAGTTGGGTGATGGACCAACGATCTTCAACTCCTTCAGGATCGCACCGCCACTGCTGGGGGAGGCGATCCATAAACAGTTGCAAGGGGCCTGCTTATTATTGGCCACTTGACTACACACTTCACTCTCCTATTTCTGTAGTTGTTGGTTGCAAAAGGGGGCACGGAGTAATTGAAACGCCAAACAGTTGCCAAACTTAGTTTCCTCATCCAAGTTGAGGCAAGCCAAGGCTATGAAACACAAAGCCAGATCCAACATGCTGGGACAGTAAGTAGACAGGGGGATGGGAAACCCCGAACAGATTTGAAACAGCCATTAATGGATTTGTGGAGGCGCGCGTCAACCCGCGATCTGGAAGTGGCCAGGGCGGCATATCCCGCCACGACGGAAACGGCCAAGACAGGCCGGGGGCATGTTGGATCAGGGCTGAGACACAAAGTCGATTGTATTGCTGTTGCATTGTTCGATTGTCTTTCCGCCTTTCATGGAATGTTCTCTTTACTGTAAGCCGGCCATTATCTCTTTTTGTCTTGCGTTTTCCTTTCAATCCGGCATCACCCAAGCAATGGGCACTTTAACGTGTGGCTGGGGCAGCATGGTTAGCACGTTTTCACTTAAACTCGCATTCCAACCATGGGAAAAAAAAAGTGTGACAAGAATAAGCCGTTTCACAAAAAAAAAAGTTCAAATATCGAACATGACAAGAAAAACTTTTCTGTGCGGTAGGCTTTGCTCCATTTGGAGGACCAAGTGACCCAGCGGAAAGCGTCCGAATGGCTCGCGCTTCGGCAAAAGACGCAGCTTTGCGAAGACGGGTCAGATGAAAGACCCCCAAGGCGCACAAATATGGCCACCAGGGCTGACTGCCCTTTGAAAAGAATAAAGAAAAAAAAAGAGGGTTGCCGAGACAGTGGAAAAAAAAAGACAAGAAGGCCGACCGAGCAACTAGTTGGTGGTTGTGTCTCAGTTTAGGTATGGCATGCAATATAAAACCAACAGAAGACAGGAGGGGCGTGTGGGAATGATAGCGAAGGCCGGATATGGAAATCGGTCGGTCTGCACACCCCCTTTTGTCGTTCTGAGGTCCGTCCTTGCATGCATGAGGAACGGAGACAATAGGACTGGGTGCTTGCTTTGTCTGTAACGAATTAGTTGTTGTTGGGCGAAAGAGCGGGCGAATCAGGGACTGTAATAGCTGAGAATGTGAGAGAGGAAAGTGGATAAGAGGGGAGTGTAGGAATAGTAGTATGAAATGGACGAGACAAGAGAGAGAGAAACATCACTATGCATAGTACAAGTAGAAGCAGGCCAATATCGGATACCATTACCATGGTAGTTTTCGCTTCGCGTATTCCGCTCAGCTCCCAATATTCGTCGCGTACTAGGTGCTGTAGAGAGGCCATGCAAAGAGGCCGCCCTTGCTGAGCATTCCAAAAATGGAAAAAGGCTTCAACAAAACAGCATGATGGGGATTGGGGGCCGTTCTGCGCAGAGCGCCACAGCTGGATGAACGGCGAATAGACAAGCCCGGTTGAGTGCTGACGATGGGTCCGGGATGTACATACAGGCAGTCGCTTACAGACGGCAACGAGTGCCTGTGCTTACGGAGTGCGAATCGAAGAAGAGAGCAGAAGCGTCTTGTAGCAGAGCGGAAAATAGACTGTGTACACAAGCTCTGCTGCGAATCTCGCGAGCTTACGACGATGTGCGTTTTGTTTCATCCCGGGTAGGGGGTGCGGTTGCCAGAAGCAGACAGCAGCACGAGCTTTTTGTTGAGCTGACAATCATTCGAGATGTAGTGCTGCTCTGCAAAAGAAGGTTTGCTTCGTAATACTCACCACGTTGCAATAGAGCGTTGAATCCTTGGCGGCGCCGCTGCCCATCTTGATAGTCGTCTTCTGGCATGCTCAATGTAAATCAACAGGTTTGAGCTGGTGGTGAGAGCCACAAGCCAATAGATACCCCGGTCTAGCCCGCATCCTCTCGCCACTGTCAAGGACATTTCTGCTCTATCCGTGTCCTGTACGAGTGCTGCTGCTAAGAGTTGGTCATGGGGACTAATGCACAAAAAATAGAGTCCCGGAAGCAGGTTGTGCGTCACCGCGGTGAGACTCGTGAGAGAGAGAGAGAGCCGAGGGGGTCCTGATAGCGCTTGTCGACTAATGATTTCGCTTGGATAAGAGGCCAGGCACTCGTATTGACTGGACGGGAATAGGCAGACGCGCTTGAGCTTGGCGAGGCGAATGTGTCATTCGTCATTTGCTCGCGATGGCGGTGGGTGGAGGGTTGAATGGTGGATGTGGATGGGTATGTGGATGGGTGTCCCATGACGCTTTTCGTTCCCAGTTTAGCTCGCCAGCTTGATAATCGCAGCGAGTGTGGACAGTCCAGTACGTACGAGTACGAGCATTGACGACGGTTGATGCTAGCTTGGCGATTGCGTCGTGTCTAGGACTTTGGGCAGATTCTGGCAATGGAATATCGTCATGATGGCAAATTTCGTGGATGCGAGTCTAACGCGAGAAGCCGAGATGAGGCTCTGTGGCGGGCAAGTGTGCAGTCTGCACGTCAGTGAGGCTGTGGCGCGCCGGCTGGACATGCCGCGATCGGGTGTCGCCATCGATGCAGCATTCGGTGAACCGGTGGCCTCTCTCGCGTGGCCATGACGAGCATCGAGTGAGGCTGTGAAGCAAAACGAGGTGAGCACGGCCATGGTGTTGCGAACCGACGACCGGCAACCTCCAGAGGGAGGCTGTGGCTGGCAGCGATAGCGATAGGGCCTAGTTCTGGCTCCCTGTAGTTCTAGGGACCTGGTAGCGAGGCAGCCCACAAAAACTGGGCGACGGCGCTGGAGACGTGGGCCGGGCCAGGCAGCACAGCCCAGGCGGCTGAAAATGCACGGCGAGCGAAGGAGCCTGGAGTCTTGACATGGTGGATTAGTATGGCATGTGGTTGGCCTATGACGGCGATGGCGAGACGCTGGTGGATGGTCTGCAGGATGCATGTACAGTAGATGGTAGATGGTAGATGGGAGATACATCAAGTGCCTGCATTTCCAAGCGATGCCTCAGGTACCTGTCGCCACTGATTTGCTTCGACTCCATGTTAGTGCTCTGGCGGCTGCTCTGGTGCAATGCGCTAACACGCAGCGCCCAGGTGCGGACCGCAGCCACTGCCTCGCGGCGTCTCCCGCCACTGGGGCAGCTGCCAGATTCTCACTGGCGCCTGTCGTAGGACTTGGACACCAATTCAATGTCTGGCGATGGCATCAGTCAATCGAGCTCCGCTTCCATCGTGCCGATCATGGATCATGGATCATGGATCATGGGCCAGTCCGGGCCAGTCCAGGCAGACTGGGCGGCAGAACTGGTGCTACTGCTACTGCGACTGCGACTGCTGCAAAGTCGAATTGCAACCGCCAGCGGGGGCCGTCTCCAGTCCTAGACTATTTGCCAGGCCAGGTTCGTGCTTGGATATGCACAGAATCAAGGGCGCACAGGGAGCATCGCCTGCTCCATCCATTGCTGGAAACTAGCACGACTCTGGACTACGGCTGCATCTTGATGGCTAATGTCTACAGCATGACTCCACGACTAATGCTGCGGGCTGCCGCTGCCAATTGCTAACACGGCGACGGCTCGTGCTAATGCTGCTGCTACTGTACGAAAGAGCGGCGATACAGAGGGCTAATGCCAGGCAGAATGAATAGAGACGGAATGAGTCAATCCACCTCCCCTGCCAGGGCCCGATCTAAGAGACGTGCGTCAGTCAGTGTGTTCTGCATCCTCGGCTTGGACCGCCGTCTGTCGTTGGTCAATTGTGGAGGTCCGCGATGAATGATTTGCTGCTGCGGTGGCTTTGCCGCCGGGAGCCAGGAACCATGGTTGCCATTCTCGTGAACAGCCAATTGATGCTCCATGGCCAGCTTCATCAGCCACCCAGACCCAGCATTCCAGACTGCGGCTCGTTTGACCACTGCCGGTCGTCTCTGTGGGCTAACAACGGCAATGGAAATGTTTCAAGTAAGCGCAGACTCCAAAAGCAGCGACTGCCTGCACTGGCTATTGGGAGGCCTTGTGTGCTGCTATTTTCAGCGCGGCGTCTTGTTGCAGGAGCTGCGCAAGTCGGTTTCGAAATTCTGCAGCCTGTAGCTGAAAGAAGATGCAGCGGCTACGAGCAAAGAGGCTCTTCTGGCTCCCTCTTTGATGCAGGCCTCAACTGTCAATGTCAATGTCAATTGACGGCAGCCTGTGCGACCATGCGCCGGTGCTAGTCCATCGCCTTCTCACAGACAATCCGATCTGGCCCTGGCCCTCTCCCACACATCGTCATTCCAGCGCTCAATGGCCCATCCCTCTTCTGGCTGGCCGCCCAGGAACTGGCTGCTCAGAAAATCACCGGCCGTGGCTGACGGGGCTCAGCGACGCCGCTATTGGACTCTGGTCGAGCTGCTGCTGCGCAAAGCTCCACCGCCCGGGCGTGGAGACGAACCAGAGGGAGTCATCGGAGAAGCCTTTTGTTGCTGTAGCGCTCAAAGGCGCCTCACATGCCTCGCCGGCGACGACGCTCGCTCCACCCCCCCATGGCAGGCAGAAAGCGGAAGACGGCAGGGGTTGAGGCCGTCAAGGACGCAGTCAGAGGCTCGCGACAGTGGAGGGGGCGTGTGAGACGGGCCCGGTCCAGCTTCTTTTGGCCCTCCCTCCAGCGACTGTCTTTATAAGTGCGGCGATGCACCCTCACCTCGTTCTCGATCCAGCAGTTCCAGGCAACAATACGCACAGCAACCCCACAAGTTCTTCTTTATACCACTTCACACATTGCATTCCAGACCGGGATCAAGGACAACGTTCAATAGAAGACATCTTCTGTACAAAAGGCTCATCATACCCACCTTTTGCGCTTTCTGCTCCTTTCATCCTACACACAACCAACACACAACCAACACAACCAGTTGCCATCATCAGCCATCACTCTTGAGTAACAGGAGAGAGAAAGTCGATATAGGATAACAAAGTCCTTCCTGACTGAACCACATCTTCTTGCATCCGACGCCTTGCCCTTGCAGGGACACCATCGTCACAATGTGCACCACCAACGTCTACAACTACCACTACTCAGACGGCCGCAGGGAAGTGTCTCGCCAGCCCGTCCTCTGCTCCGCATCTCGCAACGGCAACGTCTGCTCCCAGAACGTCGTCTTCCAGCACCCCAGCCAGTATATCAAGCACTCCGGCTCGGCCATGGGAACCTCGCCGGGCTCTCCCTCTCCCTACCTCAGCCAGTTCCCGCCAACGCCCACTTACAGCCCGCGATCCGGCACGCCAAACTACCGATCCGGTGACGAGTCCGACCGATCGCGCCACAGCAGCTCATCCAGCTCACGGCGCCGTCGCTCTTCCAGCCTCTACATCAACGGACAGAATGTCATCGACCTGAGCCGCCACGATGGAAGCCCCCGGCGCGAGCGCATTGTCCTGGTTGAAGGCCCGCCCACCCCGCGGACTCCTCCTACAGCATTCAGCTTCGCCAGCTTTGCGCCTCCCTCTCCCAATGCCAGCGCCAACGCCTCTGCCTCTGCTTCCGTCTACGGCTCCTCCCCTCGAGAATCAAACTCCAGCTTCTCCCGCCGCCCAGTCATTGTCGACGACCGGACCCGCGCTGAGCGTGTCGAGCGCGTGGAGCGACCTCGCTTCGAGATTGAGGTCGTCGAGGCCGCTCCCTCTTCGCAACGAACACCCCGACACGACCGCCACTCTTCCACCAGCTCGCGCGACAGCCGTGGACGGAGCAGCGCCGATGACGAGGAGACCTCACGGCGCCGCCGCGAGCGAGAGGAGCGCCGAGTTGAGAAGGAGCGCGACGAGGAGGAGGAGCGTCAGCGTCGTATCCGCCTTCGCATCGCCAAAGCCAATGCCGAGATCAACAAGCGCCCTCCGGTGCCGATGCCGCCTGCACCGCTGCGCGCATCTTCCTTCAAGACCTCTAGCGCTGACGACTCGGTCAAGAAGCTGGCCGACGGTGTCCGGCGCCTGAGCTTCGAGGAGGAGCGCCGCGAGGAAAAGGTCCGCCACCTCGCTCGCAAACAGGAGCGTCGCGACGAGGAGGAGACTCAGCGCCTTGAAGACGAGGCCCAACGCCAGCGACTGGCCGAGCGCATCAGCATGCCTCGACGCCGGGCCACAGTCGGCGGCAGCCGCCGGCACCGCGTCGTCTACGACGATGGCACTCTCTACCGCGTCGAGTAGATGATGTTTCTTTTGTAATTTCCTTTGTCTTTACTTCCTGTCTCTGCATTTTTATACCACTTCCTCTTCATTTCCTTTGTACTGTTACGACACTTTATCATGACTTGAACATATTCTCTGTATTACTTATGTGATGGAAAAGAGGGGGGGCTTTTCTTTTGCTTTTACAAAACTATTTGAAAAGTACAAAACTATGAAAAAAAAAGGGGACTTGGAATGATAACAGGACAAACATGCGGTTTGGCATTTGGGATTTTTGCAAGCGAACAAAGCGATGATTTCTTATTACGGAAAAACTTTTTCTCATGTACACTACGATTACGATATTACATATAATACCCAGATAGCGAAATATCTTTTTTTTTTCTTTGAACATTACGGAGCCACATGTAACTGCGCTCTTTTTATCCCTTCTCTTACTTATTTCTCCTGCTTGTGATGCCGACATGCCCCCCTTACAGTTTTGACAGGCCAAAAAAGGGTTGCATGGCGACATGAACGAGGCGGGCTGGGACGTAATCAGCTTCCAGATTCTGTTCGTCTCCATCCATGTATGCACCTTTTTTGGCCGCCACATTTCTCTCATCCATAGCATCAGCAGCCACTGAGGATTTTAGCTTGCTGGGCATTTCTGCCCCTTGGCTTCCCTTTTTGCTCTCGCTCTTCTTTCGTTTTGTTTTTACATAGGTATGTAGCGATCGACAATCATCAGTTATAAAAAAATAATTTAGCCCATCCAAAGTGGCTCACCTGGTCCAAGAGCGCAACCCTCGGCTGTCCATTCCACTGAGTCTGTCAGTCTTTCTCGTTCCACACGCCACACCCATTCAGTGTGACGAAGGATGCATTTTGCATATGCATCCTGCAAGCCCCAAATTACCAATACGCGTCATGCAGGCCTTTTTCTTTTGCTCTCCCTCGCGTCGTCGCGCGTCTTTCTCGATAGTCTGTGTAATACTACGGAACTAATCCTGATAGCTGCCAGTTACGAGCCAAGTCCATGGGGCCTTTCCAGCTGCCAGTAGGAAAGATGGGTTAGGCCATCATGTCATGGACAGGCTGGTGTGTGTCCTTTTTCTCATGGAGTCAGTCTGGGGAATCAGATTGGCTGGAGACGTGAGAATGAAATATGCAGGTGTGAGTGGGCGCAGATACTCTAGGACAGGGGAAAGGGACAGGGATGAAAGAGAAGATGGTGTGAGCACGACGGCGATGGGGTTTTTTTTTCGGGGGAGAATTTGGATTTTGTGTGTGGTTTTTTGCTGTGGACTTTTTTTTTTACTTTCTTTTTTTACTTTTTTTTACTTTTTTTCGGAGTGTTTTTAATTTAGAGGATATATGGATATTGTGCTCCTTTGCTGATGAGCGCCTTTCATGTATGAAACTGGAGACTGAGTGCGCGATTATCTTTTCGGAGGATGCATCTGTTTCAGCGAACAATACAGGAAGGAGCAAAAATGAAAGAAGAGCAAGAATCCCAAAGACGAGGAAATAAATGTAAAGTAGAAAAAAAAAGTGTGCAAAAAAAAAAAAGAGAAATAATTCTGTAGTTGTGGGCAGAACAAAAACGTTTCTGGGTGGTGCGCGATGTTTCAAACGCACAAAGAAACACGGGCCTGCGGGCACCTAGACGGGATAAAAAAAAGTGTTCTCGTGATGGCTCGATTTTTCCCTTCCGTGCCTTTTTTTCCAGCTTTGACGTGAAATTGTCCACACCCTCCAGGTCGCAGGCCTTTCTTGTTCCTGTCATGTTCTCCCTCTCTGCCGGCTTTTCTCCATCTTTTTTTTTTTTTTTGTTCAAAGCCCACTCACACTTTTTGCTTCACTTACACGGACCCCAGGCTTTCTTTTTTTTTTTGGAGGGTTGAGAATGCACGGAGCACGCACATAAGCAGTGGTTGCTGCATGCTGCTGGTAGTAATGCATATTTTATGCAGAGAATGGACGGGTGCATTTAAGAACTGCTCGCCGAGGCAAGGCAAGCACATGCAGGCAATAGGATATACATACCATGTATAAGAAACGGGAAAAACGAACAGAATGGCAAATGCGCAAAAGGTGCCAGAAGCTCTTTCCACATGCACACGCCCTCCTCCAATCCCTGCTCGTCTTTTTTTCAAGTCACCCCGGGAGGCCACGCGGGAAACTCGGGGTGGGGTCCCGGCGATGGGTCGGCCGGTTTTGGGGTCTGGACGAGGGAGGGAGCACAGGATGGAGGATGGGCACGGGATGTGATTGGGCGATTCGGAGGGTTTGAGAAAATGGACCGGAAGTGGACAGCTTGGAGCTTCGGAAGGGGGAGAGGGATGGGAGATGGAGGTGAATTATGTGGTAATTGTTATCTACTCGATATGGATGCTGCAGCTTGGATGGCGGTTCAAGGGAAGTTCTGGTGGAGCGTTGGGTGAGCTGCAAGCTGAGACAGCCGAGGCATAACTTGTAAGCTGAAATGTCATGGCGAGATGTGGCTGGCGTAACGGGCAGCGAAGAGTGAAGCATACGCGATGATTGCAAATACAGCAGAAACGAGAGGGGAGGCGACTTACACGAAACATGGCAGGTGATGGTAAAAAAAAGAGCAAAGATGGGAAATACGGGATGCCGACTGAGACAGCTCGTAGTTGAAGTCGGGGTATGCAAACGTGGTGGATACTGGATAAAGGAAAGTCGCCCGGCTCTTTCTGTTGTACACTAACGGCTGGATGGATGTATGCCCGGCTATAGTTGGAGGGTGGCGACGGTAGCATCGGCCGAGAGAGAGACGGAGCTGGTGTGAATGGATTAACAGGCGGTGTGGCTTAATATAGGAGCCGGTAGATGGATATGTTGCTATCAAAAACTGGTTTGTGATGTACTATTGGGGTTGGATATCGGATGGGGTGGATCAAAGAGGTTGACGTCGCGATAGTGCATTTTGAAGTTTGCATGTGGCTTGAATTTTGTATGTTAGGGACATGAAAAGGGGGAGTGAAGATAACATTGTGTCGCTTTGTTACATGTAGTCTTTTGTGGTTTATGCATGTTGGGATGGTCACGAGTGCGTTACACGATGCGAAGAAGCAAGGCTTGCTGGGTTTTGGTCTGCGTGTGCTTTGTGGCGGTGAGAGAGCTTGCTGTGTAACGCGCCTTTCTTTTATGACGGCATGCTATAAAGATATATGGAGGGCGCTTTTGTTTATACGAGAATATGTATATGATGCTGGAGAAGGCGTTGATGACAGCTTGTATATTGTGAGCTTCTAAACCCCTTGCAGCTGATAACCTTTGATCGAAGAGAAGTAATCATGTCATGTCTCCATTAGTAGAACTCTTTCATGTTCAAGTAGGCTTTCTTTCATATAGTATGCTAGCATAGAGAATCTCTAAGCTCTTCAAGGCGTGAACACTGACGAGGAATCACGCGTATGTCTCAGTTGAACTTGGGTGCCTATCTATAGATATATCTTTCCTCATATGTTACAAAGAAGAATAGGCTGTTACTGATATGTATCCGAGTGCAGACATCCCGTATAAATAATAATAATACATATGATCCTGTAAGCTACGGTTAAAGCTCATCAGGAACTAGTCCTCTCACGAATGATCTGAAGCAAATTATAGGATTTATTGACGAATACTTTTGTATTCATTCGTCATTGGCACTTCAGCGCTAGTTACTGGGAGTGAGAATATTACCAGAAGTCTGCCTCTTTGGCAAGTCAACGTATCTCGCAAGTCTGAGCGCGTATTGCATCATCTCTTGAAATCGGAATCCTCATGCTCAATCACAGCAGCGTTCTTCATGCTACCTTTGCCCCAATTGAGACCGTCCCGATTGAGATTTCACAGCATTTTTAACTTCACACAATGCCGCGTAATAGTTAATACCCAACAAGTGGACAAATAGATGAGCCAATAAAAAAAACCCTGAGAAACTACTAGTATTTTTTTTTCCACAGCATTTTTAACCTCACACGACGGTGCAATAATTGGCACTTACATGTACTCAGGTAGGTAGTAATAAGTAGACAAATGGGTGGACCTGTTGTCCCGAAATAAATTACTATTCCTAATTCCATTTCAACTTGTTTAACCGCGATGTGCCATTCAACAAAAAGTGTCTCCATTTTCTTCGCAAACATGAAAGACTTTTTGACATTATTATTATCGCCCAACTCCCGCGCAAATCTGGGGCACTTGAGTATTACCCCAAACAATGCAATTCTTACACCATCAAATTCTTAGAGAGAGCTCTGATGCGCGGCCCATATTTGTAAAAGAGAATCGGGATTGGAATCATGGCGACGCTCACAAATCCCAGGACACTAGACGCCCATGCAACACCAAGGCCGTGATACATGTAGCTGGCGAATAGAGGGAACCCTGCGGCGAAAAAAGAGCGAACAATGGTATTTGCGCCGAGTGCGCTGTTGGCAATGTGCGAATAGACATCCAGAATGTATGTCATTGCGGTAACAAAGATGCACAGCAAACCTGCGCCGATAAAGAGACTGCCAATGATCATACCCACCACGGGGATATGGGGCGCAGAAGTCCATCCGAAGATGAACAGTCCGATAGGTAGGAGCACGCTGCCAGCCATCATTAATGGTAAACGCATCTCAGGTGCTGGTGCTTGAGCAGGTTCGGAGCCGTCTTCGGCCTTCTTTTTGAGGCTCGCTTGTTGAACCAGCACGGTGCGTGTGACAATCATGGCAGAGCCAATAAAGACGCCAACCATCATGCCCAAGAAGGGGAGAGATGATAGGCCGAGCTTCCAGTGGCGTTGTTCGCGAAAAATGATGGGATATGAAGAGAAGACGATGTAGAGAATGCCGTAGACAAAGGCCTGGTAGAGAGTCATGAGGACCAAGATGGGTTCGGTTGCGAGTAAAACTGTAAGTGATGGAATTTAGCAATCTGTATGGTAGTAATATTCTGGTCATAAAAGAGGCTTACCAAAAGGTCGGACTAGATACACGCGGACAAATCTATTCCATCCGCCTGTATCTCTCGGTGCGTTTTGCGAGTCTGGATTCATCTTTTGTCTCTTCTGCAGGATAATCGGTGGGTATGTCTCTGGCAGTCCAAGAACACATAGAACTGTACATGCTCCTCCCATGATACAGCTCAGCCACCCAGTCCAGCGCCAGCCGAGGTGACTCGCAGTAATAAAGTTGCCCATCACCGGGGCAAGCAAGGGTCCTCCGAGAACTATGCCAATGACAGTTGCCATGGCAATTGCGCGCTGTTCTGGATGCCAGATATCGACGAGGCCACCTCCGAAGAGAGCAATGGGCGCTACACCGCAAACTCCACAGAAGAATCGGCCGACGAGAATCGTTTGCAAGTTCTTTCCCACTGCGACGGGGATGCAGAAGAGGGTGAAGAGTGCCATGCCGGCAATCATGGGCTTTCTTCTTCCAAATTGTTCGGATATGGGGCTCCAAAATGGTGGTCCAACGGAATAGCCCTGCATTGAAACAGTATTAGCCGAAATATCGAGGTCAAGAAAAACCATTTTGTAGGGAAATTCTAGGTATCAACTTACAACAACGAATAGACTAACTCCTAGAGTTACAACTTCTGTACCAACGTGAAACTCTTCGCTAATTGCTTGAGCGCCACTGCTGAAGATGCTCGAAGATACCGACGCCACCAAATTTCCCGCTATCCATATAAACGTAATAAAGAGCTTTCTCAGCAACGACCAGTTCTTGGGGTTTGCAGGATCGTGAGGATCTTCGAATTTTAATGGATCAATGTTTTCGATGCTCGGTGTTTGTGTCTCTTCATCTGTATTGGAGAGACTCTCCAAAGGAGTTCCGCTCTCGAGTTCGTCTAGGACAGCCATCGCGGCAGCTGCAGTAACAAGTGATTCGAGAAAATAGGAGAACAAGAATGTCTACAGCTCAAGATCCCATCTTGATGGAAGAAGGAATCGCTCAGGAGCAAAAGAATTACTCAGCATACTCAGCAGGACCTGCTGAGGAGAGACATAAGCGCTTGCTTACCAAAAACTGGGGTTATAGAGCCGTGGCGCCGCGGAGACGCCTTGGACAACGGGCATAACCATTTTCGGTTGTGCGGCTAGGATAGGAAGTTTCTCATTGGCCCTTTGGAAGCTTTCATTGACGTAAATGGCGTGGCGTCGGCACTATGCCGTAGACTCTGGTCCGCTCTGTAGAAGCTATGGGGCATGCGAGATTGTCTCGGGCATATCGAATAGATCAGGTCCAGACTATATCAAAACTAGGCGGTTGCGAAACAAGAGACAGAGGACAAGTTGAGAAACTAAACATATATCTAGGACTTGTATCATAGTAAGCAACGATAACTATTCTCAAAGCAAAGGGATCTCAAGAATCTCAAGGCAACTCAATGCCCCGGACCAAAGCGGATGAAACGGGAAAGACGGACCGTCTTCCGAAGACTTCGGCCCCACTTGCGCTGGCATTCGTGTTCCCCCCGATTTGGGGATTCGGGGTCTGAGACCTGTAGTACAATACATATCTCTCTACCAAGGGTACTCGAATTTATGCAAGTTTATTAAGTAGTCTAAGTCAGTATTAAATAGTCAACGCCCATCGTCCGTCGTGTAACCATCTATCTAGAAGTATGCGACTCCGTTAATTTGATACGGAATGTACAACTCCTGATTTCCGCCTCTTGGAGTTACAAACCAATAGCAAGGCGTGTATCAAGCTTTGATCCAACAACCAAAGAAGAAGAGTCGCAATCACCATGAAATAATGAACTAATGTCATAAGCGCTTAGAAGAGATGTGTAGCCAGCCACACTCTAGGCCTGATCAGAAAAGCCTCCCCTTTTGGCTTCCTTATCCAACCTCTTTTGCTCCTGTTTCGCCTCTTTAGCCATCTGCTTCTGCTCCTTCTTGGCCTGTGCGCGCTCTTTCTTTTCGGCCTTTTTTATCTTCTTTTCTGCCCGGGTTGCGTCTCGAAGGCTGCTGTTGGGGCCTCTTATGAAGCGACCCGGGTGGAAGATGGCCAAGATGAGGAGAGCAGCCATCATGGGGAACGCGTCGAGAGCGTAAAAGTAATATTCGTGGAAAGGGAGTGCGTTAACGGAAGGGTCGAGGCCTTTTGTAAATTCGATTAATCGATATATGATACGCATCTAAGTAGATAGCAAGACGTTAGCACATTATGAATCTTGAAGACCTCTCCTATATTCCTGGACGGGAAAGCACCAACCGTAATAAATGCTAAGACGGCATATAAAGCGTAAAGTAGCCAGAAACAGCCATTCGGATCGTCGAAATTGTTGCGGCGACCTTGGTTTTCTTCATTCAAATTGACTTCTTCGGGCAGCAAAAGGCGTCCTTGCGTAAGCTTGACGAAGCGAATATGGAACGTAATCATGAGACCCAAGAAGATGACAATGAAGAGCTCCTGAATTCCGATACCCCCTTCGTAGACATGCAGTCCAGTCTGTTGAACAGAGGCGGAAGAGCTGGGAGAGACCATGACTCCACCTACAGCCTGAACCACAAACGAAAAGAAGTCTGCAAAGACAAAGAGTTTCGAGATTTGTGAGGCTTTGATAATCCATACTTTTCTATCTGGCATATAGAAATGGACAATGCGTGCAAAAGTCATGTAGACAAAAGCATTGATCCAGAGCGGTGCCAGAAGAAAGAGAATTTGCCAAACTGTTGCAAAGGCGACATTTTGTTGGTTATGCGCGCCAAGGACGTGTAGAATAAAGGCTGCTGTCTCCCAAGCGCCGCCCATGATCAGGACCCAGGTGTATCCCTAACATCAAAGTAAGAACGCTTTAGAACAGAAATGAAAGGTGTTGATGGGCATCAAGCACTACTGACCTTTTTGTATACCACTGCTTCGATGATATGAATGAGGGTGAGCGTGCCAAAGAGGACGGACACTACCACTGCAGGAATAAACTCTGGGATCGCATTGTACGATGAGTTGCAGGCATCTAACGGCACTTGGCCATATTTGCCGGGGACTGCAGTGGTACAAGCTGGAAAAGCACCATTTGAAGTGGCTGTTGCAGCCGCGTGAGTTGTTGTAGTCGGCATCGGATGTATTGATATGAGTTGTAGAAAGACTGAGAGTAGTTGGAATTGTAGGTGAAAAATCCTTTTTTTTTTCCAACACCACTGAGTCTGGAGGCGAGATATAAAAGATTTGGTTCACGATATATAGAGTTTTAACAATGGAGGCGCCTCTCAAATTACGTCGACGCCTAACCGCAAAAGCCATCACTAGCATCAATCCTCAAGCATATTCTGCATTCGAATCCTTCTTCTATTATTAGACACTAAAACTATGCTGCTCCCAGCAGAATGGTCTATTAGCTGGCTCCTGTCGTTGAAGCCGTAACCGAGCTAGGCCAATAAGCGGGCCATTTTCTAACGCGATTGGCGAGACGAGACCAGGAACACGCGGCATATGCCAGCTCAGCCTCGTAGCAGCCAGTAGACCACGACACTATCTCTGCTAGGAAATCGCCGTTGCTGACGAGCATAGTCTCGCAGCCAACATGGTGGCAGCAAAAGCTTGGTCTTTTAGCAGCCATGAGCTCCTGGGTGCAGATCCAAGTCAGGCAGTTTTATCACAGCGGCTGTTCCATGCAGCTGCTCTTAATGCTGGGAGGGAGAGAGCAAAGTATTGAGAAAATGATGGAATTAGAGTCGTAATGACCCGTTGATTAGGCGCAGCATTCCGTATAAAAGCTTCATGACGCGCAACCAGTTCAAACTTTGAACCCTATTTCGGAAGTCTATCTCCCTAGAATGTCAACCCCAGACAGTTGCCTGGATCCGCATCTTTGCTGGTATAGGCGAATGGTATAGGAAAAAAACGGGCCCCATTCGGGAAAGCAGCCCGAGTACACGTAGGCGCAGCGTAGGATTCGTGACGGCGTTGGAAAGGAGTCGTAGTGCTGATTAATGTCACGTTTGGGATTGGGCGCATAATTTAGCAAAGGCAGAATTCAAAAGGATGCTGTGAATATGTGATGGCGCCAAGCTTCAGCCTTTCACAACAAAGCTTGTTTGCACTGCATTTAACACTATACGATCCTTACATGAGCTAATAGATGTCCGTACAGATGGTGGATTGTCTAGCGAGGAAGGAATAGAGCTTCACAACCACTCAATAGATAGTTGAGTGTCTAGCCTCCTGTAGAAAACATCAAGTGATTCGTCTAGCTGGCAGGAGGATTCGGCGCCTGAGCCACGTCGGTCGAGCATTAGCGTTGTTTTGGGTTTACCATTGAGCCAATATCTATTGTAGCCGAAATTAAACTGTATTAATCATGTATTACTTGTATCAAGATGGCCAAGGGATTTGAGCTCGTAAAAATGGTCGATTTTCACGTGATACTATGGTCTTCCTCGTAGTCCAATATGATGAGGTCTTTTGAAACGGATATCAATACCACGCTGAAGCAAATTGATTTAATTTCAAGGATAAGAAATCAGCAGACTGTTTCAAGATACTTGGTGAGTCATTTTTAAATTGGAGGCCTCGTTGACTACTGACCAACTTTGTTTGCTGCTTCATCTGGCGGAATCAGTGCCGTTGTTCTTGTGATATGCATCTGCTACTATAATGGCTTCCTCATGCTGGGCAAGGAATTACGATGAGCTTGAAATAATTCACCTAAACGAGGTAAAGTAGAGGCGTCCTATCAAACCATGGCGACGACAGCCGTATCCATACACCGTAGCGCGATTTTCACGATACTCCAGATCGTTATTTCCTTTATTAATGCTCAGTCTATTAACTATTATAATGCCGCTATATTATTAAATGCTAATTATCGTAAATAAGCGTAATCGTAATCCCCCCCTTCACATGAACAACATCCGTCGCAAACTTGACAACCGTTGCCCGAATGCGCTCCAAATGCTGCACCGAAATAGGCCCAAGCGAGCCCCCAACAACGATATCATTACTGTACGCCGACTCCTTATGCCAGAAAACCACCTTGTATTCGCCGCCGACGATTTGTTTGTATTTGTCGTAGCCGTTTTGTATGGCTTCGATTGTGAGCACTCGCGTGCACTTTTCTTCTGTATTAATCATGGTAACCTGGTCGGTGTTAGGGCATTGATAGAGAACGTTTTCATTACGAGGGTTGCTGTAAGTACTTACCTGCTTGATGCGTACTTCGCAATATTTGTCCGCATCAGGCTTGGGTTCGTCTGTCAAGTTTGGAATCTTGGACAACGGCTCGCTATCCGTTGATATGCCGTCATCAATGTACATTGTATAAGTCTATAACGTGTCAGAAACATATTCTTTGATTCGTGAGATTGCAGACCTCACATTATCTTTACCCGGATAAACATGGAAAGTAATCGGGTTTGCCTCTGGCGCTTTCATCTCCGATTCCGCACCTGGATAGCCATTCGGATACCAATCGGGCGTGCTCATCCTCGTCTCTATCTTGGGGATAATAGCGCCTGGTCAGAGTTAGTATAGCTCTTTATTCTTAAGACAGCGGGAATCTGACCTTCGCGAATGTACATTGGAGTAATTCTGGGAATATGGTCGTCTTCGAGGCTAATGTTGCATTTGCAGAAAATACGGCTTCCGCCGCCAATAGCCGGGTTCAACGCCGTGCCCAAAGGCTCATCCGGGTAAAGGTTTATGGGAAACCATTCGTCGGGATATGGTAGATAGACTTCATGGCGGTCGAAAAACGCTTCGGCGCGTAAGGGTGGCGCCACGAGGATATCGTTTCCGACCAGGTATTGATCGTTTGCAAACCACTTATTCTATATTTCATTAGCTTAGTCGATGAAACATTCTGTACAGCAAACTCACTTCAAAGAACAATGTTGCGTCTTGATCATCGGTAATTATCTAGACCAGATGATGTTAGTCGAGTACATTGCAACGCTCACTGAAATATCTTACCATCGACCTGGCAACCGGCATCCCTGTAACAGCATTTTCAAACATGGCATCATACAACAGCTGCATCAGACTGTAACGAAGCCGAACGTAGTATCTGCACACAGGGAGCACAGCCCGAAAAAGAAAGGCCTCTCTTGGATCGTGGAAGTGGTGCATGTTGTCTCGGTAATGTTGATCGTAGGCATACGGCTCCTGGAACTGCTTTCCATCTTTCCTCATTTCGCCCTTGTGGGGACCGTCAAGAAAGGTCCGATACTTTGTATAATGATTGCTAGACGGGGTACATTCAGTCAATATTGCTGCGGCATACGGGCCTAGAAATGCAACATCTCAACTTACCGAAACCAGGGTAGTAAAGAGTACGCGCCATACCACCGAATCAGAAGCTCTGGATTTGCCCAGTTATGATCTGGCTCGATGAACTCAAAGCCTCCAACATCCTGTCCTGAAATTGCATTACCAGACAGTCCAAGGCCCAAGACCTGTACAACCGAGGTCGAGAGGAAGTCCCAAGTGGAAGCGTTATCTCCGGTCCACAGACCAGCGAATTTATGGCTTCCGATATAACTGCCTCTTCCAATGATGAAATTCCGTCGGCCTTTTCTCCATGCCAACTCATTGCCTGCTGTTAATTCTTGGTTGGTCTTTGTCAATGAGTCATTGTTTTCTTTTAGTGTGCCACTGAGATGGAGATTCTGTAACCCATTAAAGGTAGCCTCGTATAGGTTATAACTGTAGAGTGCCCATATCTCAATTGCCTTTCTTTTTACTGCAACTTCCTCGTAAGACTCATCAAGCCGGGTATCACTGTCGAGAAGAAGTCTAAAAGGGAATCTGATCTGAATTAGTGGCGATTTAAAAGCAAAACAGCGGGCCTTCTCACTCACGATTTCATGTCTCCATACTCAGGGGCAATACAAGGAGACGTCATATCTTGCCAGATGAATTCAACACCGCACTCAAAAAGATATTTGAACTGCTTCCCCCACCATTCTCTGACTTCGTGGTTGTTAAGATTTGGGTAATACCCAGGAGCACCATTTCCCCATCCGTAATAGACTCCGCCACGGAACGGCTTTCCAGCGTTATACGTCACGGACAAATCGGTCTCATCCGGTATTCTGTAGTCGGGCCTCGTTTCGGATGGATTTGTCACAACGCGCCTGCCATAGTCCCAGTAATGATACCGGTCTTGCCATGGACGTAAATCTGACTTTGCAAGATCTCGCCTATCTTCAACGTAGTAATTGTTTTCCAAGAGTTCGTTGAGGGTCGTATATTCCGGGTCTTGAGCAGAATTAATATGAGGCGTGATGTTTGTACAGCATTTCACACCTTGCCGCCTAAGTGTATCAAACATTTCTTTAGGCTGGGGGAAATGCCCAGGTCTGTCGTCAATAGTAAACGTTTTGTGTTCCCTCTGAATATCCACGTCTATGTGGATTGCATCAAGCGGGAATTGAGCATCTCGGTAGTTTTGAGCGCATTGCAGAACCGCCTCTTTCGTGTCATATCCATAGCATCCTTGGTGGTACCCAAGAACGTATCTCGGCTTGAGGCTCGGCTTGCCAACGATTGATGTGTATACGTTGAGAAGCTCGGATATTCTGTCAGCAGCTACAATCATGCAATTAAACTCGTTGAATCTTGTTGCAGTGCGAATCGTTCTTTGATGCGTTTTTCGTACGTCAAGGCAGGTATGAGAGTAGTTGTCAATCATTGTCGCAAGAACAGATTGGAATCCAATGTGGCTAGCCACTTCCATCCAGAAAGGCTCTGTATGATAGAGCGGCTCTCGTTCATCCAAAGGACCATTGCCGTAGACATTTTGATACTTCATGTTGTCAAAATCTTGCGGAAAAGAGTCAGTACAATGTCATTACAGCTTTGCTCTATCAACTCACTGAAATAATTCATGTATGTATTGGATTTGAACAAATTCCGTCCTCCTTGTTCGCCAAACCCCATGTAATGCGCTGTTGCAGGTGCTTCTACAGACAGGATAGTCGCACTACCACGAGATACGTACTTGATCGGCTTAGGCTTGGTTTTCCAGATGACGGCCTTTTCAACACCTTGAATTGGCTGCAAGTCAACCTGCGACCGAATAGCCTCGTCAATGGTACTAGGCATGGAAAACTTTTCGACGATGCGGCTATTCTTAACAGGCCGGATAGCAGTGATCTGAAAGGGGCTTTTCTGAATCCAAAGCTGGACCTCGGGCTTTTCAGCGCCAGCTTTCACAGATTGCAGGATATAATATGACGGAACAGTGGATATAAGCTCGACTCTCCAGTCAAGCCCTTCAAAACCATCCAATTTCGTAATAAGCTCAGACATACTAGGGCATGCAATAGCACGGCTATTATCGGCGAGAGTTGAGTCAACGAATTGCTATAGTAGATGGCTCGAGTGCTGCCTTACCTGTTTTCATCTTTAAAGCTACATTTACTTGCGGCAGCAGGGTTGAAGCGAATCCTCCAGACTTGAGGTCGTACAAACTCTATCAACAGCAGAGATTCTTCATCCGGCTCGCCCTCCAATTGTTCGTGTAGCCGAAAGATTTTGCCATACCGAAACACATTTCTCGCTTCGCCGTTGATCTGTATTTTTGGCTGGTCAGCTTCATCAAATGAAGCTCTCTCGGGCTGTCTAATACATGAATCGAACAAGTCGTTGTCGAAGTGATTGAAGAATTCATCAGCCGGAATAAAGGTATAAGGATCCCGGTCCTTGATTTCATCGAAGTCGGTCATGGTGTTGAAAATTAAAAGCCGGAAGCAATGTGGCGTCCATAAAGGGGAAGAGGCGACAATCTTAGTTTCAATAGTGATTATAGGAGGGTTTGTTAGGGGGGGAGAGTCGCGAGCGCAGATGCGGCGCAATTATATTTTTTTTTTTTACAGGCCGAAATGGAACAAGTAAGAATTTGTTCTATACGTTTTATACGTTTTATATATAGATATATACGAGGAGGCATTGGAAAGAGCACGGAAACTAAAATTCGTGTCCGTTTATTATTCGGCGGTTCACGATATAGCTAGTGGACACCCCCCCTACTCCGTACTTTGCCCCAATTATACTAAAGCGCGAATATTGCCATAATAGCGGTGAACCGAGGATTCTCAGTTGGCGATGCAATTGTTTCGAGCAAGATGACAAATGAATGGCTTGTGTTTGATTGGATCAAGCGTGTATTGCATCGATCGACAGGCAATTAGGCTTGGTTGGCAGTAAGCAGATCATTGGAGCGTCTAGCTATTTACCCTTACCTATAGCCAATTCATGCCTTGCGTTGCCACAACTTACCACATGGCAGCCACACATCAAAGTCCCTTTTGCTTCTTGCAGTAACTCGGTCTAAAACTCCTTTAGTGGAACATTGTCTCGGCAGCAGGGGTCCATTCCAACTAGAAACTGAAGCTCAATGCCGGTAGAGACGAAAGGCCCGCCATGCCGAACATGATGTTCATGTAGCCACCAAACAGGCTTCTCTCGCGTTCCAGAAACCGGTTCATCTGCCACGCCAGCGAATCGGGCCGCGATGCATATGCCCACATTGTCCAAAACGCAATGAGTGGTCCCTATCCTTTTGCGATGGCCATTCTAGAATCCGTATGCTGCACGACTCGGTGGCTGCGGTGGCCAATCAAGGCCCAATCGACAAAAGGTGCTGCTGTCGGTGAACGAAAAAGAGGGGTAACTGTAACATGATGTGCCTAAGCAAGGTACCGGCGGAAACTAAATGGAGTAGGACCCTTCAGTTGCTGCGAGACTCCACATGGCAGATATTAAGGCTTGCGGCGGCTGGGCCTAAAGCGACAAAGGCTGCCCCCTACGTCTGCAGTTGAGTAAGCACAGAGGAAGAAGAGAGCGAATGATTGATTCGGGCATGATGATTGTACAGTACAAATCAACTCACCTCCTTGAACTCCGCGGGTTAGTCTGAGTGGTTTGCGGAACATGTGTGGCAGTGCTGTTGGTCAACCCACTTCTATCGGGCCAGTCTGTTGAATAAGTGGTGGTGGGCGGCTTGGCAAACAATCATCCATTCCCTTGGTCCGTTGGACATGTTTTATAAACTGCCTCATTGGGTAGGGAGGGAACCAAATCTGCAAGCAGTGCGAGCATCATGGGCACCCAAACGACTTACATGGCTACATATTCCACCAACCACACCATTTCAACAACCTCACTTTCTGCAACATGTTGAGAACAAGAACATCCTTTGGCAATCAGTTTAGACAAACACCACAATGCAGGTATTCTTAGCGTGCAAAGTAGTCTCGTCCGCTTGCATATAGGTCGGCCTATCAAAGTGGCAGCTCAGTAGGTAGTTGATCGACGGCACATACGCTCTACAGAGCATCTCTCTACTCCGCATTCTTCGTCGTTTTAGCATCAACAAGAGCGTCCCACTCGCGTGCATAAACTTGTCGACCGCGGTTATATATGTAGACACCCTGAGCCCATGATGGCTTAGAACGGAGCACTGATGGGAGGGAAGCAGATTCGTTTGCTGTTCAATGAGATAGGTTCAGTCATCAGCACAGTGATTGAACGTCGGCTGTGAATATTCACAAGCTGTCCCTCTAGGCCTAAATGCTATAACTTCTAAGCTCGTCTCAGGGCTCGTTCATCATGAAGACATTAGCAGCGGAAGCATGCAACATTTGCTGTCCCTCTCCGCTGCCACGATTGCACACCCAAATCCAAATCCATTCCAGCAAACGAATTGCGCCAGGCCAGCAAATATCATCCAGTAACAGCATCGCATCCAAGCTGCCTCAACATATACAGAGCCAGTGGAAGGCGCCCAGCATCGCCTCAAGAACTAGATTAAGCAAAATGCATGCATTGAATGCCAAAACCCACGCCCGAAAAAAACCCAAAGAATGGCTATACACGGAGAAACAGGACTTCTCTCAACTTTATTACACACCACCGCTGCCGTGGCGAGCACGCTTGCGAACACTGCCAGAGGAGGAAGGATGCATCTTTTCGTTGCGCTCTCTCTTGAGCTTATCGTCCAACACACGCGCTGCAAAGTGTTAGTTGCGTCTGCTCTCTCATGATTGTAATGTTCCAATAGCAGAGACTTACTCAAGATATCGAAACCAAACTGCGGAAACTCCAGACACAGCGCCTTGAATTCGTCTTCCGCTTCGGACCGCAGCGTATGCGATCTTGTGGCCCAAAAGTTGGCCACGGGCGCACGGATCGTCGTATCGTCGACCTGAGTGTGGGCATAGATGTAGCGCGCATATTCGATCTCGCCTTTGACGGTGGAGTTGATGCAGTAGATTTTGGATGAAGAGAGCGTCTGCAGCGCGGTGACGCCCCATTTCTGAGCCAGGGTGTAGATCCTTGCGTGCTTGAGCAGCTGAATGCCCGAGTCGTCGACCGCCGGGACGGAGGGATCGTGTTCGAGACTTCGCTGGCCAGGCAGCTTGCGGGGGAAATATTCCTCGGTATACAGGAATTCGAGGAAGCAGCCGACGGCATCGATGTCTTCGTCTGGGAGGTCGATTTGGCGAGGCTGGAGGATTTCTATTTAGCTCTTTCGATCACAGCATGATGGGAAAGGCAAGCCGTACGCTTTCGTCTTCGGCAAAGGTCTTGCAGATATCTTCAAAGTACGGGCTTCGCACGAGGAATTCCTGATGCGCCTTCAGGACTGCGGGCTCTTCCTTGCCGACGACGAGGGTGACGATGGGGCTCTTCAGGTGGCTCGCAAAGGACTTGCGCTCCTCGTTGTCCACCGGATCGGCCTCTGCGTCGACATCTTCCACGTTGATCGCAGCTGGCGGAGCGCGGTCGCCGCCCTCGTCCGGGTTCGACGCCTCTACGATCTGGACGGGATTGTCGGTTTCCTCCATCTCGACGTCGCCCTGCGTGCTGGGAACCTCGTCGTGGGCCTTGTCATTCTCGTCGGACGGCATTCGGCGGGCGTGGCGGTGCCAGAGGTCGAATTGGGGCTCGAGAAATCGGATCCAGCTTCAGGAATGCAGGCGGGAGCTGCAGAGGCCAAAATCTCGCCCTGAAGGTGGCGGCGTGGCCGTAGCAGAGCTACGATGCAGAGACGGTTGGTGGCAGCAGCTTGTCGCGTCGCGTCGGAAGCTTAGATGGAGTATGAGATACAGGCGGTTCTCTATGCCACACGGTGGTGCAGCAGGTACCGGCTACTCCCCGGATGCGTGAACATTGTGTTTGTACTGTATGAGAAATGGTTTTGCACAGTTCGTATGATGCATGCGGCATCAACACTTTCAACTTCCATGTACAAACTGAACAATTTGTTTCTCATTACACTCAATCTCAAGTTGCGAAATCCCCGCCACCTAGAATATCTGCTTTGCGATGGTTTTTGAATGAAAAGCTCTGTGTCTCAGCGGTGAGGCGTACGGTTACATATATTCCAGCTTATTCAAACACTATGAATAGAAACAAGAAATGACAAGCTAATGGCACCTCTTACTCCTCAAACTTGATTACAATATTCGGTAGTAGCTCAAGGAACGACGGGCTTCCAACGCTCCCCTTGAATGCCAGCTTAATCTTGTACCCGCTTTCTGAGGCCACGCCAAGCGTGTGCCGTGCTTGCGCTGAGCCATTGGGAGTGTTGAACCGCCACTCCTTTTCGCTTGCTCCCGTGTTGTCGACATTGTGAATAGCATCATACACGCTCTGTAGCTGTGACAGCTGGCTGGAAGGCACGTTGAGGCGCAGTCGAGAAATGCCGTGTGCCCCCGAGGGATGCTGCGTCTGTGCCTTGTCCTCCTCGTAGGGCACTCTGTTGCTTCGTGGCGTTCTGTCCAGGCACCAGAAGGGCAGATGGCCCGGTTCTACTCCATTGCCGTCTGCATCTTGAGCAACACCAAGAGCCCACTTCAGGACAACTCCATCTGGCCTCGTCCTGCCTCCTGGCACCGGGTCGTTGTACGTAAACCCGGCCTTTGCGTCCTTCACCCTCTGCTGAATAGCCCCAAAATCGCTCTCGTGGGGCAGAGTGTATGCCCAGTCGACAATGGAATTCTCCGGCTGGCCTCCCCATCTGTGCTTTGCGCGAACTTCAGGGTCGATGCCCTCGACGAAGGCGATGAGTTCAATGTAGACGCCGTCTTCAAACAGGATCAGCTTGTTGAATGTGTCGCCACCGGCATGAGTCCCTCCAGGGCTAACGACAAATGAGTCTTTGAGGCGCTCAGGAAGCTGTAGCAGGTCGCTGGCCGAGACGAGGATCACGATATGATCTAGCGTAGCGCGCGGGGCATTTTGCTGCTCAGACATGTTGGCGGGTGTTAGTTGGAGATGATTGATGTGATGCCAGTCCAACAATTGCTCTGTTGATTGATTGGAATTGCTTGATATACCTTTTGCTCGGCTTTGTACCGGAAGAGCTTTTAGTAAGTCGTGCAGTGATATATAAGCCGGTTATGACGCCATGCGGGGCATTGAGTGCTCAGCTATGCTGGTTGTCGTCTTTTCATGCGAATGTGAGATCAATGCCCTGTGGATCCGATGCGGCGTGTGTCTCTGCCAAATTAGGTAGAAAGATTGATCAAGCTATATGAGTTTAGATTCAAGAGATAATGCACGGAGGACCATGAATTTAGACGGCCAGCAGTTCTACCGAGAGGACTCTTGGCTTTCTATTCGGCATCTTCAGTTACCCTGTAAGTATTCGTTACGCTCCTGAACAATATAGTTTATTTGTGCCTATTAAACCTGTCATGTTCCTGAAAAAAAAAAGGTACACTCATAGACCCAAGATAAGGCGATGGCTCTCAAGTTTCTAATTGTGCTATATCGCTCGGGTACTTCATAGGACCACCTTGGTACTAATTTACATGGAGGTACTTTACATGTTCGAGACATTACAGTAAATATTCTGAACCACATGTCTCTGCTGTTGTTGCCATTTTGATCCTAGAGTAAGACGCATCTCCCTACCGCACCCCGGCCCCATTTCCCCAGTTTGTTTGGCACCGAACAATAGATGCTGCTTCCACTGTGGCACCGAGTCATGTTGAGATAGGCAGTGGTGATAAGGAGTGGAGATGCCATGAGCGTGGCTGAGATGGCGGGAGATCGACAATAGTGCATCGAGCACGGACGCTGCGTGAGATGAAATAAACGATGTGCTTTACTTGCATGCTTTTGAGCTCATATTTGTCCTTTCTTTAGAGTGAGCTGCCGGAGAAGAAGTCGAAGAAGCGAGAAAAATTACATACCTGAGGTACCTTTCTGGCGGCCTGCCAACAGCTGCTTCTACCTTGGCAACGATAATAGCGCTGCCACCATTCAATTGCCAAGAAACATCTCCGATCCGAATTACATGATTTTCTGCATACACAACAGCTACCTAGCTAGCAACAAGGCAGGATTTCCTTTTCATCTCAAATAAATGAGCACGAAATTGTTGCATCATCGCCTTCGCACATTTACAGGTACAGACGCGAAAGTACCTCCAGACCTCCGGATCAACATTAATCAGGCCATGCGCGACAAAAGGACGTCCCCCAAATTCATCCTAGAACCCATCTCATCAACAACAGTCAAATCTGACCCCTTCCTCTGCCAGGGGTCTGAGGCTATTAGCCACTTATTCCTTCTTTCGCCCGACGATGCTCGGATGTCGCTTACGCGGGACACGCTATGAACTGCGCTGCATAACGTGAACTCGTATTCGAGTATGTATTGTATTCTAGGCACCCACGCAAGATCTTGGGCTAACAGGTTCATAGCATCATTGGCTTATTTTGTCAAACCGCACTCTCATCATCACATGTGGCTCGGCCTGTTCTCCTTCCAACGGCTGGATGCTATTACTCACAGCTTTGGCGTGGGTGATATTGATTCGTCGGGCTAAACAAACGAGCATGGATTCCCCGCGCGACCCTTCCACGTTGGTTGATGAGGCTAGCCAAATCCATGTTTCGGATGTAACGTCCTGTCAAAAGCACCACCGGCCTTCCTCTTACAAGCCTAGCTCTATGCCATTGTCAAGGTTCTGGTCGTTACGCGCAGCCAGTGAATCTGCGGCTGGGCATCCAACCAACTTGGTCAGATTTGGAGAGGCTTGCGGGCTTTGACGATGCTAGCTGCCCAATAGCTCCTCTGTTCCTGGCAGCGAGCGTGCCGGCCGAGGCTCAGTCGATATAATCTTGGGCGATTTGATCTGGCATATGATTCCATCAGCCACATTCAGGAATTTTTCGTCCTCCTAGCTATGTCGACATTGGTTGCTACCGGATGAAGACCTCGTCCGAGGCTGTTTCAAAGACTTCGTTTGGACTCGGCAGTATCCGAGCTACCATGTATGCTGATCTCTCCATAATAGTAACTAGGCAGGTATTCTGTCCATCGACAAGCAGGCACTGTTACATACCTCGACAGCGTCTATGGGAAACCGCCTTCTTGGGGGAAATAGCAAGCAATGCCACTGGGGCTTCGAGGACACCATGCTAATGCGGAGTTGTCCTACCTGGCCATATCCGTGGTGGTTATTGCCAGCCGAACAGGGGCCAGCCGAATCAAATTGGGAGCAATACCCGCCTAAATGGACTCTGGAGGCAAGTGGGTATGCGAAGAGGTTTTTTCCCGAAGTGTGGTGAGAACTAATAAGCCTGTCTAATATGCTTCTCCTCCGAGCCAGGAAGAAAACCCGGGGCAGTTGCAGAAGATCCCACCGTATAGGCTCCAACTCGCCGGTCCTCTCTAAAATCAAGCTTGAAGCTGCATTCGCATACGAGATATTTGGTCATACTTGGTGCATCTGTCGGCCCAATTGACGCTCATTGACGTCTTTGTACTATCTTCTCGGGCCATCGGTTGGCTCGCTCCCCGCATTATCATGCTGGACTGCAGCTGAGTACAACGGCCAAGCAATCCCAAAGACTGTCGAGGCGTCATAACAAGGAGTGGATGGCAAGGATTCGCTCTTCGGCAACCACTCCATCCATCGACTGAGCTCCACCCCACCGTCTTGCTCGATGCTACATTCGGACCATCGCCGTCCGAGGGGGACCAATAATGCGCGCGAGAAGCCCATCCTTCGTGCCTTTTAGCTGGCCATTATGCAGAACAGCTGTACCAACCGCAGGATTTTTAAAATTAATACGAGGCTGCTAATATTGGTATGCTCAGGTCATGAGATTTTACTGCGAATAACTCGCTGGAGAGTGGTATTGGGCTCTCTTGGTCTGCATCTCCCAGCAAGACGATGACGGAATTGGAATCGTGCCAACGGGATGGCAAAGGAAATATGGGCTTCATGCGTCTAGCACAGGTGTTACTCTGTATCTTCGTGCTGAGCCCGCGCTTATATATCCATCTTCTCGCCGTCTCTTCTCACGCTGGCCGATCGCCTCCCCAAGTGCTTCCAGGCTAGTCTTGGGCTCACTCGTTGAACTGATACCCCGGATTTCTTGTGGGTTAGTCTCGAAACTTATTAGGATCCAAGTCATCTTCTTTGATACCCAGTACTCAGCATCCGACAATGAGACAAAACGTTGGTGCCGTGGGCCTTGTAGCCCTCGCCCGCGTCGTCGCCGGCTGGAGCTGCGACACTACCTCGCCTTGCCAGTCCAGCGTTGATGCTATTGCAGCTTGTGCTACAGATTGCATTGAGTCCGCTGCCGTCACCCAAGCAGCTTGTGCCACAGGAGACTACCAATGCCAATGTGACAAGACCAGTGTCATCCAGAATGCGGCGGTCGGTTGCGTTCTTGGTGCCTGCGGTAACGGAGCGTTCGTATAAGCCCATATCAGGTTTCTCTATTATACATGCCCATAGAAGAGGTGCTAACACATATGGTATAGGCTGGCTGTTCTAGATGAAGTCGCTGCATTGTGTTCTTGCGTTTCTGCTCATCCAACGACACCTTGCTCTACAAGCACAACGCTCATCACAACAACTCAGCCACCATCTTCTTCCGCTCCCTGCACAACGGACGTGCCGCCCACCACTGCTCCCACCACTACTGCACCACCAACTACGGCACCAACTACAACGCCGCCAACTACAGCACCACCACCGACCACGACTTCTGGCTGTGATGCGTTTTCGCCCTGTCAAGCTAGTGCCGACGCTGTATCTGGCTGTGCAAAGCCATGCATCGAGTCTGCTGCTGTAACTCAAGCTAGTTGTGCTCTCTCTGATTATGAGTGCCAATGCAGCCAGAATAATGTTATCCAGGCCGCAGCCATTAACTGCGTTCTTGGAAACTGTGGAAGTGGCGCCCTTGGTGTTCTCCCCCAGGTTAGCTCTCTATGTGCCTGCGTCACAGCCCATCCAACAACTCCTTGCTCAGGAGGTTCTACCACAAGCACACCTCCTACCACCAGTGAGCCTCCTACAACAAGTGAGCCTCCTACCACCAGCGAGCCTCCTACCACAAGTGAGCCTCCTACCACCAGCGAGCCCCCTACCACAAGTGAGCCTCCTACCACCAGCGAGCCTCCTACTACCAGCGAGCCCCCTACCTCTGAGCCACCCACCACTACTGAGCCATGCACAACGACAACTGGTCCAATCACTTCAGCGCCCCCAACGACAACCGGTGGCTGCGACTCAGCTTCTCCATGCCAGGCCAGCGCCGATGCCGTGTCTGCTTGCGCCAAACCGTGTATTGAGTCTGCTGCCGTGACTCAAGCCAGTTGTGCTGTCTCTGACTACGAGTGCCAGTGCAGCAAGAACAACGTTATTCAGGCTGCAGCCATTAACTGCGTTCTTGGAAACTGCGGAGGTGGTGCACTAGGTGTTCTCCCTCAGGTTAGCTCTCTCTGCGATTGTGTTACTGCGCACCCAACAACTCCTTGTACAGGAGGCTCTACTACCAGTGCGCCTCCCACAACCAGCGAGCCTCCCACCACTACCGGGGGTTCCAGCTCATCTGTCGAGACCTCTTCAGCTTCTTCTGGAGGTAGCGGAACTACGTCCGCCCCTCCTACAACCTCAGGCCCTCTATGCACAGGAAGCACTGCAGATTGTGGTGCCGTTGCCAGCACAGCTGTTCCTTCTTGCGCCCAAGCTTGCTTTACAAGCGCAGCTCCAAAGATCCCATGTGACGTTCATGACTATGCTTGCCAATGCCAGCCTGCAGCTCAGAGCTCCTTGACTCAGCTTCTGGTTCCTTGCGTTGCTACCGCTTGTCCTGCAGCTTCACTTCAGGCTGTCATTGCTGGAGCTTCATCAGGTAAGAATCAAGCCTGCCATAGGCACCTCGAGAATCTACTATACTGACATTGTCTCTTTAGTATGCGCATGTGCTACAGCACCTCCCAGCCCGGGTACCTGTGCAACCTCAGGCCCTGGCGGAGGCGGATCACAAACTACTGGACCCAGCGGATCACAACCCACGGGCGGATCTACTGTCGTACCGCCACCTACGACTACGGGACCTGGTAACTCGGGCTCTACGTCCAACTGCCAGCCAGTGACCGTCAAGCCCAACTGCGATACCGTGGCTAGCTCAGCAGTCCCTTCGTGTGCTCAAAAGTGCTTCACATCTGCCGCCCCTGGTGTTGGATGTGATGTCCACGACTATGCCTGTCAGTGCAAGCCTGCCGCTCAAGCTAGCTTGACCCAGCTCCTCGTTCCATGCGTGGCTACAGCTTGCCCTGCAGCTTCGCTCCAAGCCGTTATTACTGGAGCTAGTTCCGTGTGTGCTTGCGCCAGTGCGCCGCCCACTCTTGCTCCTGGAACATGCGCGTCAGGTAGTCCTTCCGGCTCAGGTGGTGGTGGTGGTGGTGGTTCTGGAGGTTCTGGAGGTCCCACAGGCTCTGGCGGCAACGGATCCTCAACAGGAGGAGGTGGAGGAAGCGGTGGTGCCAGCCCTACTTGCAACTCGGCAGCCCCAGACTGCGGTGCCGTTGCTACCACAGCTGTTCCTTCGTGCGCCCAGGCTTGCTTCACGAGTGCCGCTCCGGTCATTTCTTGCGGTGTTACCGACTACGCCTGCCAGTGCCAACCTGCAGCTCAAGCTAGCCTGAGCCAGATCCTCGTTCCATGTGTGGCAACGGCGTGCCCGGCGGCATCTCTGGATGCTGTTATTACCGGAGCTTCTTCAGTTTGTGCTTGTGCTACTGGTTCAACCGGCTCTACCTGCGGAAGTGGCGGTAGCGGTGGCAGTGGCGGCTCCGGCGGCGGCTCTGGAGGCTCTGGAGGTTCTGGAGGTTCTGGGGGCTCTGGAGGCAGCGGTGGAAGTGGAGGATCTGGAGGTTCTGGGGGTAGCGGAGGAAATGGCGGATCTGGCGGCGGAAGCGGTGGTAACGGTGGTGGTAACGGCGGAGGCAACGGCGGCGGAAGCCAGCCTACCGGTCCAGCCATACCTCCAAGCTCAGGTGCTCGACTGGAGATTAGCATCGTAGCTGGAGTTTTCGCCATTGGTTGGGCGATTGCCGTTGCTCTGTAATCTGATGTGAAATGCACGATGGATATGATATGCACTGACCTGAAATACTGAATAGATTGATACGGCTCAGATAATCTAATAAGTCTAATCTATGAGTAAAAAAACATGTGCATATCAATGATCTCGTGAGACTGTTCAAATAAAATGTATTCAATCCCTATCGCCTCTCTGAGACTCGCTTATCTGTATACGAATGCTCCAAGATGAAAGAATACTATTGTAGGCGAAAGATAGAGGAAATAGTTCGGAGCCATCTTTTTCTGTACTATCCAAGATCTTTATTTACTCTATCAGCCGGAACATGAAGTGTTGCCAAATATTAATGTACTTTGCTCTCGTTTACATAGCATTTATACTCGCCATAGGCAATGATATAAAGCGGTCAGGGATCAAAGTGCAAGCCTCTCTCCATCTAGAAGGCACGTTTGAGAGCAGCAGTCGCAACTGAAATCTTGTTTTAACTTAGTCACCTAGACAGTAATGAAAATAGAGAGAAAGAAAGATCCTATGAATGAAGTTTTCTTCTTGAAGTTGGAAGTGTTCGTGTGTAAGAGGCCGAATCTATGTTTCACAACACAGATGGCGATGTTTGCACAAAGCATGTAGCACTGGATCTAGATATAGTCATAGGTTTGAGATAAATTAGGAGAAAAAGAAGAAAATCGTGGTTTCCAATTGAGGTGGCCGATGTGCTTACACTGATTCCCTCTTGCGTGAGTACCTGTAGACAGCCATCACAAGCCGGCTATGCGTGGTAGCGTTGATTCCCCACTGAAAATTCTCAAGCGGAACCGGCCTCAACCTCTGCATTTCATATCAGCAGCCTGTCTCAATTGTCACTGCCACTCCATATCTGGACAAGGACAGGAGAAGAAAAGGCGCAGATATGGCCTCCCAGCAACCGCAACAAGCCCCCGAGCAGACCGAGCTCGAAGCCAAGCGAACAGCTCACGTCGAGCAGCTGTCGCAGTGGCTCACTCAAAACAGCGCCATCTACAACATCTTCTTATCCGGTGTAAAGCAAACATCCGTCGTCGCCGGCACAGTCGTCAGCCGCCTCACTCTTACGTCTACGCATTTAAACTCCAAGGGAGGCCTTCACGGCGCGGTCTCAGCGGCGTTTATAGACTTCACGACGGGGCTGGCCATTGCATCATGGGATTTGCGGGAGAAGACGGGCGCGAGCGTCGACATGCACATTAGCTACTTGAGCAGTTCGGCGGGCGCAGGAGATGTCGTTGAGATTGTGGCTACGGCAGAAAAAGTCGGGGGGTCAATGGCGTTTGTGACGATTTTGATACAAAAGGTTGAGGTGGTGGATGGCGAGGAGAGGAAAACGCTTGTGACGAAGGGGCATCATACCAAGTTTGTGAGAGGGAGCGCGAAGCCGAAGGAGAATGGCGAGACCAAGGTTTAGATGGGACTTGATATAATGTATCATATAGAGGGACTTGTGATGATAGATGGGATATTGATAGACTTTTAGACAACTTCAAGGCGCGCCTTTGAAACATCTCGTCGTGAACTGCCTCATTTCGATATACTTAGCACTAGGCGGCTTCAACTATAGCCGAAGCACCCTCTCTACATGTCGCTGGAAAGGCGCAAACTCACCTTACTTGACTCACTGCCGAAGCCTTTGGGTGGATTTTTGATGGAACCCCACTGGCTCGATGGGCGGCTAAGGTCGGGTTCCGACATCGCGATTGCCGGGCACTAAAAGCTGTGGGGAGGGAGGTTCTGGAAGACATTAAAGATTGATGGCGTTGAAGGACTTGACGGGTTTAAGGGTGACTATCTTGATTCTCTTTGCTTGTTATCTTTGATAATATCATTGTTGTCGTTGTCGTTGTTGTTTTTTGAATTCAATTGGCGTCAATTGCTGGGAGAAAAGTGCATTGGAGCCATGAGTGCAACTGAAACCACCCTCACAGTGGAATACGAGCTGTCGTCGCGGCGGCATTCTCAAAATTTCAATGGAATAACTCAACAGGATCATGAAATTGAAAGAGGGCTCTCGCAACTCGAGTTATCACAGCCTTATTCTCGAGTTCAAGATGAATCCGCTGGACCTGTCACGCAAGAGCTGAAGCCCGTCGATCGCGGCCGAGATGCCTGGTGCACTCTCCTCGGCGCCTTTGCTTTTGACGCCTTGTTCTGGGGTAAGTTGCACCAACCACGCCTTGTTCCATAAACGGCCGTCTAATTGTTACACACAGGCTTTCCCGGCTGTTTTGGTGTCTTTCAGCGATACTATTCCACCGTGCCCGAGTTCAAAGATGATGCTGTCCGGATACCCGTCGTTGGAGTCTTGGCAACCGGGTTCTACTACTTTGGATCTCCATTTTCAGCAATGCTGGCAAGGAAGTTTCCCAAGTATCAGCGCCATCAAATCTACCTCGGATGGGTTCTAAGCATAACTGGTCTCTTAACCGCCTCCTTCACATCTTCCGTCAGCGGCCTCATCGCCACGCAGGGGGCTCTCTACGGCATCGGCTTCGTGCTCATCTCCATGCCCATCGTCAGCATGGTGAATGAGTGGTGGGTGGCGCGAAAGGGCATGGCGTTTGGTCTGATATCTGCTTCGTCGGGCGCAACGGGAGCTGTTCTGCCTTTTATTCTTGATGCTCTGCTTAGACGATATGGATATAAAGTCACGCTGCGGGCTTGCGCGGTAGCCATGACCGTTTTGACTGCGCCGTTGCTGCCGCTTTTCAAGGCTCGGCTGCCAGCTTCAGATCAGGCCAATCTGGCGAGGATCAACTGGGACTTTTTGAAGCAGCCTCTCTTTTGGATATACGGCTCCGCGGTCCTAGTGCAAGGAATTGGCTTCTTCTTCCCCGTCGTCTTCTTGCCATCTTACGCCTCCATCTTTGACATTTCTTCCGTCAAGGGCGCCTTGCTGGTATCTCTCATGTCCATTGCGCAGGTCCTCGGGCAATTTGCATTTGGCTACCTCTCAGATAAAAACCTTCATGTGGGTTTGTTGATGACGATATGCTGCGCATTTGCCGCAACAGCATCCTTCACATTCTGGGGCCTGGCAAAGTCGCTACCTCTTCTTGCTGTATTCAGCTTCATCTACGGCTTCTTTGCTTTCGGATTCGGAACTATGCGCGTGGCAATGGGTCGGGCCGTCAGCGATGATCCATCGACCGTGTTTGCCACTTATGCGATATTTGTCTTTTTGATGGGCGTGGGAAATATCCTGGTTGGGCCGCTGAGTGCGGCGTTGATGGCGCCGCGAGAAGTTGTTCAGGAGCATTTTGCGGGCAACAAGTACGAGCCCATGGTCATTTTGACGGGAGCGACGTCTCTCTTTGCTGCTGTTATTGTTTTGGTGTGGCATGGCTATAAGAGTCTGCCAAAGAGCGAGTGATGTCCTTGGATGGCGCTTTGGCTGAAACATGGTAGACTTGAGAAAAGCCTCAATTGGTCGCATGGAAAGTGAACAGTGTCATTTGGTTTTATAGCCTTGAGACAAGGCTGGTTTTGGGTAGCTGTCATTTCGTAACGATTTTCGTTTATGCGTTGCATCGGGAGCCGTCTGCATTGGACAAATCCAATCGCGCAGGATAAGATGAACCGAAGGATGAATCCGGTTGAGTACTTGCAGTTGCTTTTGCAATTTTTTATATGAACTTGAGAGACCAGCCGATCAGCAGGTATATTTTGGTCAATGCAGGCCATGATCTGGAGGAAGAGACGAAGGATTCCTACTTTACGTGCTCCTCTTTGCAGGGGCTTCGAATCTGATGATTGTTTAGAAGCTAATTTGTTTCTGCGCGTAGTACACCTACATTATTCTCTCTAGTATGGAATATTTGTCGTTGCCATATCCCATCTTCAAGTTCATTTACAAACATTGCACTTTCTTGACGTGATAGAGCAACAGACTCGCAAAGAACAATCAGCTCAGTGAAGCGGGCTATGATGACCAAAATAATAGATTGTGCAACAATACTTCGTCTTTCTATACACTGTACATATATATATTTTAAATGGTTAAAGAATATAAAATTGTTTTCGCTTCCAAGTTCATATTGCCTTGTGTATCAAACACTCTCTTATTTACGCATTAACATTTTTCAAGTTACTTTATAAATCCGGATTTTATTTCTTGTATTTAAATATACAACTTTACTAGGGAGCAATTTATATATGATTTGATCAATATTATAACTTTACTTGATAAATATTATTACCTTTTGCAAATATTGGTAATCTTTTATTCATCTTCGGTAAAGATCTTATAAACACTTACCGCTAGTACTAGCGCAACTCGTAATAAGCCAATATAAGATTTTAGTGCTTACATATTAGCCCTTTTATATAAACAGCATGGTATATATTAGGTAGCATGAGTCACTGACCTATGCGAGCGATAAAAAGCCGAATCATACAATAGCTCGAATATTGTACTCTATATACAGAACATGCCCTTTGTAAAACTGGACCTACGTTATCTCGCATCAAGACCAAAACCAGGTGATGAATAATCGTAGTTACTGTACAGGATGATGCTGTCGACACGCTTGGTCAAGCGTCTTACGGCCCAGTGCAACATTGACGGCCATATTCAGAGACGCCAAGAGATAGCTGAAATAGATGTATGCGTATCCATGGGACAAAATCTCAATCTGTCTCCGATTTTTATTAAATCAACTTTCAAGGATCCACGTTCGAAGATACGAGTCCCGAATGACGCATCGCGGATATCTTGAATGCAGGTACCATGGAGATGTGATGAAGCTCAGCCCTTGTTACTGAGAAAGGCATTACAGAAAGGTGAAGTCGATTCAAATTTGATCGACGTTTTCTGGCCGAATTACGATGAAAAGAAATTGTTTGTTCAAAGGCAGGCTTTGAGGCGTGCATAAAAAGTGTGAATAACAGGCCATCAAGTCGTAAGAGCGAATGCGCTTGCAAGACTCACAAGATTATACCTCAGATTGCTCGATCAGAATAGGCAATACCCAGGGGAAAACGCATACAGGCAAATGCAATCTGTAAAAGTAAATCGAGTGTGGATAATTCCAGCGCCGTAGTAAGCCGCCATTAGTAATATCAGCTACATACCTAGGTAATTGGCTTATTAAAGCACTGTAGTAAGACACTGCAACCCGACTTAGAAGAGCTGGAAGGCATGACTACATCCGAGCCTTTGTCTCTGATATAAAGTCTCCTTCATAGTAGTATTTGTATAGCGCATAACCGGCTATTGACATTGCAATGGTACTTTTTTAAACAGTGGAATCATCATGATATCACTTGGATGCGGATGAATGCACAATGGGTTGATTGCGGTCGTACAACAAAGCGGGGGAATGAGGGGATCGGGAAAAGAGCCTGCGAATGAGTTGATAGGGCGCGCCTTGCCTTGAACACAACATTGAAACAATGCCTCAAAATTGGCAGCCATAACTTTGTTCTCTTAATCGTTGAATCTCATTGATACAAGATTATTACTTATTTGAATTCAGCATGGCCACAGCTTCTGATAGCCCACCTGTGTTTGTCACAATCTCCGCTCTGGACGCTGGCTGTCTGTCTCTGCCAGAGCGCATGTTTGTAACCGATGCCGACCCCGTGAAGAAAAATCTGGTTCCAACTCTCTCATTCCTCATTCGGCACCCGTCTCCCGATGGCGGCGTGGCCAACCTCGTTTTTGATCTTGGCATGAAGCGCGACTTGGAGTATTCTCCTGCGCAAAAAGAGCGCCTTTATGTCTGGGAGCCAATAACCACCGACACTGACTGCGCTCAAAGCCTCCGCAATGGCGTTGCTGGGGCTCCCGGAGCTCAGAGCGGCGTTCTTTTGGATCCGGCCAAGGATATTGACTATATCATTATAAGCCACGCTCACTTCGACCACACGGGGACGCCATCGGATTTCCCTTCTGCAACCTTTGCTGTGGGATCTGGAACTTTGGACCTGTTCAAGAATGGTGCCGGGCCACTCTGCTCTGGTGATTTCTTCATCGACGATGAGCTGCCTGCGCTCCGCACCATTGAGTTCCCACCAGTGTCTCGTGCGGGCACTTATGGAAACGAGCCATATGCCCCAAAGCACACGCCAGTGCCAGCAAATAGCAAAGTCAAGCCACCGGCTGCGGCGGCTTCGTGGTCATGGAAGCCTCTAGGCGAACTTCCAAACACGCTGGACTTCTTCGGCGACGGCAGTCTCTATGTAGTTGACACGCCTGGCCACATTTACGGACATGTCAACTTGCTCGCTCGTCTTGGTGAGAAAAGATGGGTCTATCTCGCCGCGGACTGCTGTCATGACAGGCGCCTGATTACGGGAGAAAAGAATATCGGACTGTACGACGATGGAAACGGTGGGCAGCGAAGTATTCATGTCGATATTGGGGAAGCTCGAGGCTCTTTGGATAGAGTGGTGGCATTCTCAAAGAGCCAAGAAGCTCAAGGGTTCACAGTGGAAATTGTTCTAGCTCATGACCCCATATGGCGGAAGGAGAATGCGCATGCGTGCTGGCCAGGCAAGATGTAGTCAGTCATTCAGTAATAGCAGCAAGCAAGGCCACTCATCTGTTACCAAAGTTGACTACTTTCCCGTTCTTCAATGCTTTTTTGGATGTATAGACGTGTATCGCCAGTACAGACGGTATATCAATGGGGCCGGCCTGTGAAGCGTGCCAGCTGTTTTCAGAATATACAGTATACAATATACGCTCGCGCAACTGCTTGTACCTTTTTATTGAGCATACGGAATCCTTTCTGGATGCGTATACTCCAGATGTGTGTTATTAAAGACAAGTAATACCCGCTAGCGCTTTCTAGAAATGGCAAAAAATAATAATTCCGTTGGGATCCTTTAGGATGGCTGTAGCCGTATCCTCCGAGGGAATATCGAGTCCGCGGCCACTGTGCCGTGCTTATGGTGAAATAAGAACGTTGATAAGAATGGAGCTCCGTGTTGGTTGTAATTGCAAAGAGGAGGAATAAATTGACTCATACCGTGCCTATACTTATACCACGTAGATGTTTTTATATAAACTGAAACTCTTGAATACTCCGGTAGCTGTCTCTTGTGAGTTGTAAACTAGCACAATAAAATGAGTATAATAATGAATGCCACTCAATACGCATTGGACAACAAGTATATGATCCAATCCACTGGTATTAGATGAGTAAAGAATGAGGTAATTCTGGTGTAGTATTTGTAATTAAACACCCAAGTCAAACAAAGCTGGGGCCGAGCAGGAATTTTATGGAGCATCGAGGATCATACCAGATCCTTGGGATAAGCAGTTGATAGCCAGCCTTGGAAGAAACCCCGAGATTTCTCCCTCGAGATCGAGCTACACAGTATCCATAATCAAGGAACCGCTTGATCAAGTCACACGCTTGCCAAATTTGTCTCGGAATTACAGATTTGGCAGGCATACCAGGGAGGATACTCCATGGGAATATGTACATGTTGGTTCCTTGTACTCATTTACTCAGCCTGGCGTATATCGGATTTAAGGCACACAGTATCCATGTCGCTTATCATGTGCTGTGGGTTATGATCCTGATTCGTTCTTTTTTTTTTTTTTTTTTTTCTTTTTAAGCGGTGAATCAAGTCGTAGGTAGCCACTAAATTCTGCATAACTGAGGTTCCATCGGACTGCAAAGTCAGCAAAGGCAGAGACATTTCGGCGCAAAGGGCAGGGTTTGATGTACAGTAGGGCTTTTTTAAAAGCACTAAAAAGGAATCTGTTATTTAAAATCTTGATCAAGAGGTATTTTTAATAAAATAAAGCGCTTCATATCAATTTATCTGCAATAGAGATGGAGAATGTTATATATTGTCGGATGCCAAGTGTTACTAGATGAGCTTGAATAATAGCAAGCAAGTACTTGGTAATAATGTAAAATATATCTTAAAATACGTAATATTTTATAAAATTGTAAATTTTTTCATCATCATGGGTGCGTTTAAACAGTATAAAAGAAAACACCAGTGTATGAGTTATCCAGTACGATGGAAAACACAGTGGAGAAATCACTAACGCCTGGAACGGAATTTACTGCGATGCTTTTAGCCTAGATGCCCAGATACGAAAAGAAACCCCCGCCAGAGATGAAACAAAATCGGCTTAGCTGAGTGCTCCTAGCAGGCCCTGTGCATTAGGCCGGGTTTTCAGCTGCTTCATGACCCCGGCGTATAGGTAACAGGTTTTGTGTAATTGGATTACAAGAAACTCAAGGATGCATCTACGTAAGCTAGCTGAATCCTGACATTTACATGAATATGTGTAGATACTACCTATTTGATACACAGGGCTGTAATGCTACGGTACGTTGGGGCCTCTGTACATATACACACTAATCTAGTGCTTACCTGTAATTGCAGCAATATATTAATTATAATATTCTTAAGACATATGTACATCACTACTATGCAAAGGATTTACATGCCAAGTTTGGTCAATTTTGTTATGTATCGAAATACTTGAGCACACATCTAATACATAGTCCAAGGTCATATCGTGGTATAAGAACATAGCTATACACACTGATGTGTGACTTTAATAAGCCAATGGCTATATATATCCTTGCAAACAGAAACCATTTAGCATTTGTTTCTGCCATTGAACTCTTTGGAAGTTCATGTAAATGTAGATAGGCTATTCTATGCCTACCGGGTACCTACTTGGCACAATTCTGCATATCTAGACACACAGCCTTCTCGCTTCCTGATATGGTGTAAGCTGCATTAGCCGGAACCATGACGTAGAACGATCCTGGCGTCCTAGCTATGAGCTCTAGCGTGGTGTCTGTTGAACAGGGGAGTATAAATATGAGGAGGCGGGCTGGAACGAAACAGTTTTTCCGTGTATGCCACTCCTATATAGACTTGCAAGCCCCTAAGGTGCGCAAACTGCGGTTGTAAACCATTCTTCCATCACTCGTCTGCTTGAGAAAGAGGCGAGATGAGACTTTCAAACGTTCTGCTCGTGTTGACTGCGGCGGCAGCAAACGCCCAGCGACCAGCCGATGTGTCAATGTGTGACTATTACACCAAGACTCTTCTTGCTAAGGACAACACACCAGAGAATCAGCTTCTCCTCGTCACTCTTCTTGTCAATACTGTGATTCTTGGAAATTGTAAGTCGAAATCACGCAGCTACATGATCTCCAGACGCGATAAACTCCACTCGCCGCTAACTCAACATTCTTTGTAGATACAACCCCCAATGTTGGCATCGCAGTGCCCGGTCTCCTCGCGCCAGCCGTAGTCAATGGCGAGAATGTCAATCTTCTCCCATACTTTAGCGGCGAGTACTCCACGACGAACACAGGAGACTGCCAGGGAGCGACCGTCAACTTCCTCGACGGCGGCGGCCCGGCGCCTCTCTTACAAAATAAGCCTGCCGACGACGAGACTTCAAGACAATAGTGCGTATTCAGCCCCGTGCCAAAGTTGGATTCATGTATGCTAACCAATTCTCAAGCTTCCTCGTCACTCACCTCTACCAGTACTTTGGCGCCCTCCTCGGCTGCTCCTTTCAAGGATATCCCGCCTTCCCTGCCTACGCCGGCGCAGCATCCATGTACCAAGTCCACAAGTTCATGGAACTCAGCTACGCGCAGAACAAATACTTCATCGACCAGCACGTCGTCGCTGCCGAATCACTGGGATTTTCCTCTGCCGATAGCAAAATCTTCAGCGACAACCTCTACAGCATCTTCGCGGTTCGCTGCGGTGGACCTACGTCGATAATCAAGGCTCAGGGGGCGCAGCTGCAGTCGACTTGTTTGACAGACGATTGCCCTGTCGCAGACGACTCTGAGTGCAATCTCTACCCAGCAAACGTGGCATCGTCTGGAAACAATGTAACAGCAGCCCCGTCTCAGAGGAGCGTCAAGTGCAACGCAGAGGATTGTCGCAAGCACTTGGAGCTATGAAAGACAGATTAAGAAGTATTTTGTGGTTTTGGTTGTAATTGCCATGTCTTGGTTTCAGATGGGAGTTTTCACTTTTACTTAAAGTCATTGTATTAGTCGATTTACGTGTAGACAAAGCAATTTGTTAGCGTTCACTGCACATTCAGTCATTCTTGCAACATTGTAACAATCACATGTTGTAAAATATTATCAATTGGGCCTTGATGTTTCTAATACCCCTTTTCTTTGTATATGCTGCTGCATGAAAATACCATACATTTAGTACTACCACCTGAAGTTACAACACCCAAGTAATTCTGCACCGAGCAACATATCTACATTTCAGTAGTGAATTATGAACGAATATCTCAACTTTCGACGTCTATTTTCAGTTTTAGCTACGCAAGTTGAGCCGGAATCATCTATAGAACCAACAGAGAGACAGCTATGGAAAAGTGCAGACGTTTGAAATCCCATTTCCCCTGTCTCATCTGCCACCGGGATTTCATTTTCATACAGTAACTTCACAACGGTCTCTATCCATGTATACTACTCTACTGTTTCCTCAACCCAATCCTTTTTCGAGACTCTACAATTTCCGGAAACTGCTGCTTACTGCGTATCCCCTGTTTATTGTTTATTTCTTACCGTCATTCCGACTACTCCCCTTACCCGAGGTAACCGCTTTTCCAGGCACGGGTAAATTTTTTCCGCGATACGGCTTGAACTCCTTGCAAGTCTGTCGAGGGGCCATACTCGTAGAGCCCGAGATACCATGCAATACGTCGTTTAGGAAGTTGCCCATATCCCCATACGAAGCATATCTTTTTCTCAGAAGAGCCCGTAATTCCGATACGATAGTGTTCGGCAAGTTGTCGAATTGGGACCTCGGGAAATTTCTCAGTATCCTAGCCTTTTGTAGGATAATTATTTTCCATGGAGTCTGGAAGCGCTCGTTGTTTAGTTTTCTCCTCGCACAATCTTTCCTCTTTCCATATTGGGGTACGTTATCTTGGGAAGAAAAAGAGTAAGCTACGCCAGATAATACTGCCGCCGACTATCGGTGAAGGAAGATGCCGAGCCGCCCAAAACGCCGCACCAAGCGCCAGATGTAACCCTATAAGATGGGGACCCTATAAGATTACCTACAGCGATGCCGCCGTAAGCTCAGACTTTGATTGGTTGTCGTGATGATGAGCTGAGACTATGCCGCTCCATACGCGTATAGAGACCAAAGATGACAGAGATCTACAAGCATTCTGATCCTAAGGAAGACGAACATATGTTTCTGTAAGCTTTCGGATCCGAAATTTCTTCTTTAGAAGCCGAAAACACCGAAAAACCTATTGACAAGACTGCATTGTTAACAGGGGATTTAGAAACGTTCCTGCAAACGTATAGTCTTCACCGCCGATCACTTTCTACAATAGGATTACGGCGTATTACGACGCCAGGGCATCAGTCGTATTACATCAGAGCATGATGGGTTCGTACATGCATACACCATTATCTATTCTTGAACTCTTGGGCAATATGGGAAGTGTCCCTGAGAAACTGGCACGGCGTATGCAAGGGTGATGCGCAGATACGCAGCTGCAGCCTAGGCGTCTTGTCAATCTGCAGGGACCTGTCACTGGATTCTACTTTCTCCCATGTACCGAGTAAATGGCGGCATGGCATGGCATGGCTTCCTTCATTCCATTGTCTCACATCCAACCAACAAAATCGCAGCATGGCATGACTTGGTTCTCGGCTTCAACGCTTCGAAACTCTTGGCTCAGCCCAACTCTCGGCTCAGCCCAATTGGCCCGGAGGAACGTCCGGAAAGGATCGCTTATTAAACCGGAACATGTTGATTGTCCGTGTGACTCATGAGATAACATCACTCTGACCATTGACACAGCTTCATCAGCAATAGCTCTTTTCGAGCCGTTTGACATCATAGCCAAGCTTGCTGGCCTCGGTTACATGACATTCTTCGGTCCCGAGGGCTGAGCATGCTAGATCCTGCCATCCTGCAATTCATCCTTTTGGCCCTAAGTCTCTGTTGTGAGATGTAGGGGGCTCAGGGGCTGGCGATGTCTGAGTTGTGCGAGCAGTTGTGGCCCATCATGGCCCTCCTTTGTCTTCCAGGACTCCCAACGTGCTGGCTCTATGGTACTCAACAGGCGAGTCTTTTTCTTCTGTCACTGGACTGGGTGGATATTTTTCATGAGATGAGTTTGGGGGACACGGTTGTAATCCTCGCGGATGTAGTTGCTCGATTGTTGTTACTGCTCTCTCACTAAGTAGTTGTTCCAAGTCTGAAGCTAATTGTTGATTACAGAGGGATTTGCCTTTATTGTTCGTTGAACTCGCAATGTGATATTCCAGCTTCCTAGTCCTCCCTTCAACTGCTTTGAGCTTCAATTTGAGCCTTGTGAATTGCCGCAATCTCAGCCTCTTCCTTTAGCGTTTTGATGGCAGCAGGCCGGGCATCAACGCGAGCCTTCCACGCTGCCAAGTTCTTCAAGTGATCAACATTCACACCAGAGCGGTTGTTCCAAAAAGTGCCCCAGACATATGCGTCGGCTACAGTAAAGGTTTCACCAAAGAGGTAAGAGCGCTTGTCTGCAAGGCGATCATCCAAGAGCTGGTATGCTCTCAGAAGCCTGTTGACATAGATCTGAGTGCCTGCTCAGTTGTTAGCTTGCGAACAACAAGTGTTTAAGGTTGGTATAAGCACCTTGTTCAGTCATCATCTTGAGAATAAGCGGGACATGCTTCTGCGCAATCTCAGTTGTAATCTGGACTAGAAACTGGTCTGCCTTGACGCGTTCCAAGGTACCGGGTGGTGGAAGCAAGCCGGATTCTGGGTGCTGGTCGGCCAAGTAGGAAGAGATGATGATGGTCTCGGAGATGACATCGCGACCAGAGTTGTCAAGTTTAATAACAGGGACATAAAGGAGCGGATTTACAGTTGCAAAATCCTCTCCATTTGACGTAGCCTTGGTAGAGACGTCGACATAAACAAGTTCATGTTTGACGCCAAGCTCATTAACAACCAGCTGAGCGGCTCGCGCACAAGTGTCGTTGCCAATGTAGAGCTTCATGGTGAAAAGATGTTTGTTGGTAAATTTAATATGAGATGTGATTGTAGTCAAAGCGAATCGTACGAGAGAGAAACTGGGAGTGATGCCAGTGGATGTTGTCACTAGGTTATAAATAAGATATTATAAAAAATATATTTTCCTAAAAGCTAAACTATAAAGGCATGGTACGGAAACTATATCACTGCGCATCATATTTGACATAAAACGCCAATGTAACCATAAGCACTACATCTGATGACCGTTTCCCCCTGGATACTCCTCCTCTTCTTCTGATTCCACTTTGTGCAGTCGACTCTTGGCTTACCAATTTCACTCAATCCTGTGGATCCTCTCCATGCCGTCAACTTTTTATCCTAAAATGTCGCGACCATTGCTTGTTTCAGGCAAATCAATTAATAATCTCGCCTCTCCATGAGTATATAAACCAGTTCCAGTTCCCGTACAACATACCCATCTATCATCAGTCCTCCATTTCAAGCAACAAACATCAATTGAGCAGCTTTTTTATTATACAAGATGCAGTCATTTGATGCAATCGTCATTGGTGCCGGGTTTTCTGGCATCAGCCAACTCTATCAGCTCCGCCAGCTTGGGCTTTCAGTCAAGCTATTTGAGAAAGCCGCCGACGTTGGAGGAGTTTGGTACTGGAACCAATGGCCAAACGCCACCAGCGACACTCCCAGCGAAGTCTACAGATTCAGCTGGGATAAAGAAGACTTGTTGACATATCCCTGGCCAACTCATGTTCTGCCCCAGAAAGAGACCCAGGCTTACATGAACCATGTTGTGGAGCGCCACAACTTGAGGCCGCATATGCAATTCTCCTCTGAGCTGAAATCCGCTGCTTTTGACAACTCAGATTCCAAATGGACGATTCAGTTTTCTTCTGGGGAAACTTACAAGACTACGTACTTGGTCCTCGCTACTGGACGTTTTAACAAGATTGCTTTCCCCTCTATCCCCGGCAAAGAAAAGTTTGCGGGCGAGCAATATCACACAGGGTAAGTCCCAAACCACCATGAAATAACAAACGCCCTTCTAACTTGAGTGTTGATAGACGCTGGAATGAGCACCGCGACCTCAAAGGCAAGCGAGTCGGACTCATTGGCACCGGCTCTTCTGGTGCAGCGCTCCTAGTCGGTCTAGCAAAGGAAGTAAAGCAGTTGGTTTCCTTCCAACGCTCGGCGCAATATGTCATCCCGAACAACAATAGTCCCGTATCAGCTGAATACAGAGATAACGTCAACAAAAACTATGATGAGTTCTTCAAAAACGTCCGGGGTTGTGGTGTCGGATCGGGCTTCGCCCCCGTCCCGGCTGATTACACAACCTTCAGCGTCAGCGAAGAGGAGCGCGAAAGGGTCTTTGAGGCGGCCTGGAATCACGTCTGGGGCTTGGCTTTCACCTTTGACACTTTTTCGGACATTATGACCAACGAGGCGGCAAATCGGGAACTTGTCAAATATTTCCGGAAGAAGATTACCCAGATTGTTAAAGATCCCGTGAAGCGTGACAAGCTCCTGCCACCGCCAGAAACCTTGTACGACAAGCGCCCTGTGTGCAGTTCCGGCTATTATGAAGCTTTCAACCAGGACAATGTGGACATTGTCAACTACAAAAAGACTCCGTGGGTTGCAATCACCGAAAAGGGCATCCAAACCACAGAGAAGGAATATGAGCTGGACGTCATCATTTACGCAACCGGCTATGAGTCTGACGGCACCTGGGCAGATATCGACATCACTGGGCCTGATGGAACAAAATTGAGCGAGCATTGGGCCGAAGGATCAACTTCATACCTCGGACTTGTCAAGGCCGGGTTCCCCAACCTCTTCTTCGTCATCGGACCCCAGTCATCGCTCGCCAACATCCCGCAGCACTCTCAATTCCACGGCGAAATGATTGTAAAGCTCATCTCAAAGGCGGAGCAGATGAAGAAGGAGGAAGCAGCTGCAGCAAACAAGAACAATACAGTTCTTATAGATGCTACTCAGCAAGCCGAAGACGATTGGGTGAAACTGTGCAACGCGGTCATACAGCAGACCGTGTACTATGGAGGGGGATCTTATTTCTTTAGCGATTATAATACCCCGAGAAAGCCCAAGAGTGGAAGGCATGTGCTTTGGTTCATGGGAGGGTTCGACAAGTATGTGGAAAAGGTCGAGGAGGCAGTCGGAGCGTATCGTGGATTTACATTTGTGCACTAGCCAACGAGTACGAGTATTGAAAAGCATCTAGATATAGAAATTTAACACATCCGACTTCTTATATCATACACCTAGAACCCCTAGTCTCGCCCCTAACAATCTCTCTGGCTAACCTAACTGAACATTTATCTTATAAGATTGCAGGCCTCAAAGTCTCATCAACGTGCCACGTGTATGTGGCAAAGAAGTGGTGGAAAGGAATCACCTTGTAGACTGTCCTGATATGGCAAATGAAGACTACCAAGCTGCCGTTGAATGGGCAAAAGCTTGAAATGAGTGGAGCGATTGAACACTTCTTTTGTTGTCCGACTCGAGCTACGACTAATCAATTAGAAGAATATGCTTTCGGGGGAAAGATACTTGTATTTATCGTCTAACAGTTTCTTTGATCGCCGGTAGCAATGGGCATACTGGTCGGCGAGTAAAGCCAACTACCAAAATAATAAGCCGACTGCATGATATAGACATCTCTTATGCTACCCCTTAAAGCCTCTGAGATATCGACGTCGCCATTTATCGGATATGTGAAAGTATCTTACTACAACGACCGTATAGACGTAGCAGCATCATTGGTTGGTTAGGGTGATGATTGTTATGCTACTGTAACTAGGGCATTGCAACTGAGAACTGAAAGAGCCGTTTCGTGTTCATAATGTGTACGTGCTGATACAAACTACGACAAGCACTTTGGAGACACGAAGCTGCGAGGGAATGACGACTGAGCAGGGCCGAGCCCCCAAGTTGGCTGCCTATGAACACGGCCAGGCAATCACGGCACTACCGTCCTCTTTGAACAATTTGGGCATGATCCAACGCCGGACATCTTTATGTAATGTTCAGTTGTTGGCACGAGCAGCTTCTCCACTGTGACATTCTTGCGGGTCTCAGCCGCGGAATGCCGAAGACTTGGCTCTCTGGGGCTGGAGAGCGTCATTGGTCTATCCGGGTAACCAAGACTTGGCATGGGCTAGGATCGGTTCGTCGTCTTGGCAGCTGCAGGGACAAGCCACTTACAGGTAACAAATCACATGCAATCCATCTTTGGACGTCGAAACGACAAGTCCAATGCGTGGAATGGACTGGTATGGCTGGGAGCCATGATTGTGTCTTTGCAGCAGCTGATGAGGCGCTACGAAGTATGATGAATGAGAAGGTTCATCTGTACGCAAGGGCGTAGAATCGCAGTTCAAAAGTATAACGTTGACATTGTTCACACTGTCCAGCTGAGTCGATTTGACTGTTCAGCAGCAGTAGTCTTGTTGAACAATGGTGCTGTATATGTGGCCCAGCACATCGAAGGAGTACTCATGGTTGGGACTTCATATACACGGTATAAATAATTGATAAAGTCTTGTTGATCCGACAAGATGCATAGTAATAGCATCAAAGTCTTTGAGAAATGATTGCATCGCAAAAGTGTTTCGTGTCTCACCGCGTATCAACACAAGGTCAGCGAGGGTTTGTGGTGACCTCAAAATACGCCCTCGCCCAAATCGACGATTCTCAGGTTCAAGAAACGATCGTGGAGGAAACAAAAGAGTACGGCAGCTACGATAGCTTGCTGGCCCTGCAACCTGTTGGTATAACGACAACAACAGAGGAGCGAAAAAGGATCAGATTAAAGCCATCTGTACGACGTATGATGAAGAGGGTTTTAAAAAAATTCTTTCCACAGCTGAAACCATCTCATCGAAACGTTTCGACACCAAGCAAAGATGATGGCGCAGTCACAATCAGTCTCTGAAGCTCAAAAAAGCCCAAACGATGGTGGCCTCTCTGCCAATCAAGCATCGAGTGTCGGAGACGTGAATAGAGGAACGGCGTCTTTAGAATCCCCAAACGAAGAGAGTCCAAGTATTGAGAACCCACCCAAGGATAGGGTAGCGCTCCCAAGAATTCCCGATGGAAACGAGCCAATCAACAGCATGACAACTGAGAAGCGACCCAAAAGCGGCGGCATTCGTTTAGGCTATCTATGGGCGGGATATGATATCGGGTATCGTACCGACCTCTGGGCCAACTGGAGTTTGCTCAACGGTCGTTACAACGATTTAAAAGAAATGGATAGCAGCAACAAGGTACGAGTGGCTGCTGGGAGAGGACGCGTGGTGTGCTCGCGTTGTGGGCGTTGTGCAGGGACGGGAGGATGGTTTGGATTGGGGCGGTGATGGGATTGATATCGAGTTTTTGATGTCGAGGCTGCGTGATGGAACAATGGCCGTACAGCGCTGGTGCGAAGCAGGGAGTGCAGTGCTATTGCAGGTACATCCAATTAGGGGTATCAAATACGTTGAGGGCAGCATTCATTCAGTCCGTCCAATCTTTTACGCAGGCTGCATTTTATTTTATAATAGAACATGGAGACTATACAATGCCATGACTGTTTCCCACTCTCTTGTTCCTTTTAAAGTCATCTTTTACAACTCCATGAATTTGTACTGCCACATGTACACTCATTGATTTGGAATCCTTACCCAGACGTCATCCAGTCACCGATACATGCGGCACTGGGGACAGTGCAGCACAGTACCTACAATAGGTACAAATAGGTATCATCCAGTCCCGGCATCTGCCCGAACATCGCACATGGCGATAGATGCTGGATAGACACGAGAGTGACGGTGCCCTGAGTTGATGCCCCAGATCGGAGACGGCGTGATTGATTGCCATGCAGGAGCAGGGCTTGCTGGCCAGGTGGGTGTCGAGTCTGATAGGAGATGCAATTGCCTCGTATCCTTCGTATTGCAGCGCCTTCAGGCTCAAAGCCGCGCCTCCACCCAACAACTTTTTCTGTCGCTGTCCCATCTTGACGACGTAGGGGAGGGTACTGTACCTGGTATCAGACCTGTCAGAATCAGACACACGTGGTCTCCCATGTCTCCTTTTTGCGCTCCCTGTCTGCTGCTGCGATGGGCATCGTGGAGTAGTAGGTACAGAACGCAACAGCATACATCATGAGTGTTTTTGTATTTGGCACAACAAATGCCAGCACTCGAGTACTGTAGCAACACCATCATCGCCATCACCATCGCGCTGCTCGCGGTGCCGTATCTGGTACGTGCTGATACTTGACACAAACTCCTCCACAGCGCAACTGCTGCGGCCGCCTAGCGTCCCCTGCGGAGCTGCTCGGCACCTACCAGCCGGCAGCTGCCCCTCGAGCCAGCCTGGCGCAGGTGATCTGACCCGAGTCTGGCGGAGATGCCTCAGCAGCGTTTCAACTGTTTGAGACGCCACAGTGCGGGTTTGCATACTTGACATTTGATCAGACGTATGTCGCAGATGAATCTGCCACAGCAGGGAATGGCGGCATCTAGAATAGATTAGACAAAATAATTCACTATATGAATACGGTCATGGCATGCAGCAGCACGCAGTCAAGAACAGTTATAGTGCTGATACCGCTCGCTATGCGACATAATCAAGACCAGATGGCCGCAGATCAATCGCAACTGGCCCACGGCAGCGGCAACGGCAACAGTTTGCGCCCTCGTCGCCCCCCGCACTGTACGCCCCCCAACCGCCTAGTGCCAGCAAAGCCCGCTTCCACCGGCAACGTCTGGCCGAGCAGCGCCTCGTGGTGTGGCCCGGCGGCCCAGCGGCCCAGCAGAGAACCGTCACAGCACAGCACCGCGCTTCAGGCCTCAACCCGCTGAAGGAACTCACATGCGCCCAGCAGCCCCCCCGTGCTCTAGCGGCCAGCGTGGGAGCATCGAAGCTTTCGTGCCCCCCCTAAGCACCCAAGCAGCCCCCCCCAAACGACCCAAAAGGCTCCAAAGGCCACTGCGCGCGCCTGCCATTGGCCCGCCGCCTGGGCCTACTCGGATGATACGGCCGGAAGGGCCCGCAAGGCGACCGACGCTGGCGCAGATGCCAGATGCTGAGATGCCGATTTTCCGTGGTCAACCAAACGTCGCCAGGGAGGCTTTGCAAGGCGGGGAACCACAAAAAAAAAGCGAGTCGAGCAGGACGATCAAATGGCCCTTTTGCCGTGCGCGCGCAGCGGCAGTGGCCAGCAGTCGCAGTTGGCTCGTCGTGTCTTGTGGCATCGCACTGACTGGTCCTTTTTATCCGGGGGTCCGACTTGTCTCACAGGCTCGGTCCCAAGTCGTTCTCCTCTCTCCTCTCAGCCTCGATCCCTCTCTGTCTCAATCTCTCCGTTGCTGCGTTGGTTGCTGCCAAGGAACTGTCAACCAGCAGCTTCTTCTTCTGACGTGCTAGCGCTCTCTATTTCTGCGTTCCGGTCGCTGCTGCTGCCCTTTTTGGCCACCTCCAACACTTTGCCTCCGCGGTACGAGCGACAGCAGCCGTCTTTGCTTCCTCGCCATCGACCGAACATCTGCCCCGAGCGAGACTCAAAAAAGAAGAGAGGACAATAGAGAGAAACAAGAAGATATTCAGAGACGCGACAGACCATAAGGGCAAGACAAGTCAAGGCAGAGCAACGGATTACGGCAACCGAGAGCTCCAAGGACACCAACCAGAGGCCGTGATGATGGCCTGAAAATGCCACCGTGTTGAGGACCGCACAACCACAACCACAACCACAACCACAACCGCAACCGCAACCGCAACCGCCGCATCCACATCCGCGCAGCCGCAGCCTCGTCGCAAACGCACAATCACGTCACAGCATCACTTAATCGCAGTCGCCCTCCACTCAGCGCCAAGCAGGGCCAAGCAATCGTGGCTTGGCGATATCGATTGACTTCCGCGTTTGTGGCAGATTAGCGAAG